ATAAAAGCGGAAAAAAAATCCTTGTAGGCCCATTTCTCCTGGCTTGCCATCAACTTCTCTACAGTATAAGGTCTTTGAGGGAGGAATGGGAATAAAAGGATTACATCTACTTGTAAGAGTAACACATGCAAACAGAGTCTTCACCATCATCATCATTGTTGTTGTTGTGCCTGGCGCTAAGGTTGTGGTTATTCCGATACCTCGGGTATGCTTTGCAGGTTGGGTCTCCAATGGCCATCCCTGCTCTCAAGACAAACCTCACCTATCACCACGAGGTCCGCAAGAACCTTCTCGATCGACAATCCTTTCTCGTCCACTTGACGTAGCAGCTCTTCCATCTGCTTCTTGCTGATCTTGATCTTGATCTCGGACGACCCCACCACCGCTTGTTTTTCCTTCGCCGGTGGTGGTTCTGCGGATCGGCCGGTAGCTGCTCTCTCAGCCTTCTCCTGTTCTCGACAATGTACAGGACTCTCCGGCTCCGGCGTCTCCCAGTCGTCGTCGTCCACCCACAAGATCGGCTTCTGTACATCGATGCAATTCCCCATCTCGATCTCTCTTTCTTCTTTTCCGAGGAGATGGAGAAGCTTGGTCTTCCTGCCTCCTCTTCTCTCTCTCTGTGGTGTCAAAGCTTCTCAAATGTTGAATGGAGAAAGAGCATAAGATGCGGAGAGGTAGGAAGAGGAGATGAGTTCCATATTTATAGATGGAGAGGGGGGCAGAGGCAGGGAGATGTCTTACCGTATGCATTCTGTTGGACAACAAAAGGAGGTGGGGAAGACCAGAAAGAGACAAATATGTAACACAACCCACGGAATTGCCATGTTGGATGGTCAGCGCAGCTCAAGCTATTCATTTGGTGCTGCAGTTGAAGCAACTCCGGATTCAAAAGAACCGATGATCCACCGTCGGATTCCATGTCATCATAATCTGTCTCGCTCTCCACCGCTCACATTCACCCGTCGCCCCGATGGGACCCACGCGGCGAAACCCAACCGCAAGAGAGTTCCCGTCAGGGTCAGGTAGTGGGTCGCAATCCAGGGAATTCGCATCTTGCGACCCCCACATCGGCGGGACCCACGCATACCCAAAGGTGTGAACACGGGTAGCGGGGCATCTCTGTTCATCACGTGCCGTGCACGTTGTTTCACCGCCGCCCTAGGTTGCTTACGCGGTTCCTCGGAGGAGTCGGTTTGCTTTGTGTTGGCGTCGAGAGTCTAATGTCTTCGACCGCAAGTCGAATGCCACCACACGCGGGAATTAACGCTCTCCGTGGTCAACGAGCCACCCTTCCTGCCGGCAGGTGGGCCAATCTCAACAGCGTACATGCAGATCATGTCCGCATCTCAAGGGGATTGTAATCCCGGGGGACGAGGATTCTGCACTGTAATGCACCTCTTCGGCGGAAGAGGGTTTTTTTTATGTTGCATCCCAAGGTAAGTAAGAAGATCTGATGTTACCTCGAAGTCAACTTACTTATCGTAGAACACTTGTATGGATTGTGAAATATTACTGCATTTATTGGTAATAGGAACCTCTTCACTTAATAGGGCAAATAAATGGGTAATCAACCGCAATAGAGAAGGATTCAAATTCAAAAGGTAGGGTTGCTTTTGAGCATTAGAGTTTAATGCTTGAGCATATAATAATGGATGCTGAATTTTTGTTGATGTAGAAAAATATTAGAAGGCATTGATGCATTTGTTGGGGCACAATCTTATATATATATATATATATATTTGCAGTTGGAATTAAGGGAAGCAAAACTGGTTGACCTCCTACGGTGGTCAACACAGGAATTTGGACGGTCTAATAGGTAATAGGTTAAGTAATATATCCTTAACTAAAAGATTGCTTGATATCCTGAAGTGCTGAAGATGTAGTTTCAGCACATAGAATCTGAATCTTCACCAAAATGAAGATTTTTCAGCAATAGATTGATAGATGTAGTTTGCTTGATATTTTTTACACCTATTAATCTGAATCTTCATCAAAATGCACAGACTCCACATATCATGATTTGGCATTTGAAGTACGAGAATGATGGAAAACAACAAGATTCCGGCAGGGTAGGCGAAGAATTTTACTTGCTTTCTTGAATTAAGATCATTGTATGATGTGTTGTGGGTACCAAACTGTTTGATGTTAGTGGTTGAGGAAGAGTGTTGAAAAGGAGCCATGGAACTGGTTAGGTCAGTGTGAAAGGTCCAGCATAAGGGAATCTCTCACCAAGAAGGTGTGAACGCACCATTCCTATGATATCTTCCACTAAATTCTTTGCAGAAGTGATCCTATCCTCTTACCTGGAAGTGTGAACACACCATTCCTATGGTATCTTCCATTAAATTCCCTCTCTCTCTCTCTCTAGGGTATCTTTCACTGAGTTCAGTTTGGAAAGGTGTCCTTATGGCATGATTCTTTCACTTTTAAGTGTTTGATCCTTTCCAGCTTTCTTTTGCTGCCCACTGGATTGGATATATTGTGGCTTGCTAATTCTAGGATCATATCCAACTTCCAGGATTATAGAAGTTAGGTCAATGCTAGACATGGATTGGACTTATAATATTGATGCCCCACCTTCAATTGACTGCTATTCCTAACTCATGTGTCAATTACAAGGCTGCACATTGAGTGCAAAAAATTTATCTATGGGTACTGCTGACTGGACAATCTCAAGCCATTCTGTATTTCTTTATTTCTTTTTCTGAAGAAAAGATATTAGGTGAGGTATCAACCTCTGTATCTAGTCTGCCCATCGTTTTGGATGGATATTTTAGAATGTAAACTATAAATTCTTGATGAGTTCCTATAGCTAATTTTTTAAAAAACTATCAGATTGCATCAGTCCATTTATCAGTACGGTTGAAGATCATTAAGAATGGTTTTTTTCTACCTTAAGATGGTTATCATTAGCAGATTATGGTAGATCACAGCAACCATCATGTAGATGTCAGAGAAGTCTAAGCGAAGAATTAGTGTACTTGTTTTGTTCTAAACCAAAAGTTACTATACAGATGGTTGGCAGTATTTAGGTTACTAGATGAGATGTATGATCACATGAGAGATTCAATTTGACAGAAACTATTCCTGCTCCTGAAATAGCAGTAACTTAAGTTAAGGGAGCAAAACATGACTCTTTTAATGATCTAACTAAGTGTGAGACAGCAAGGTCATCATGTTGTGTCCTCAAAAAGAGAAAAAAAAGTTTATCATCTTCGGAAATAGGTGTTGTGCATGACTTAACAGAGAAAAGAATTATGACAGGAAAGGGAAATGATAGTAACTTGTTCTTTGTTTTATCATCGAGGACAAAAATGCAAATCTGATTTCTTAAGTAATTGATGAATCAAATAATGAAACAAGTAGGTTGTACAATTCTCTACAAGAAAATAAGAGATAAATCTTTCAATATCGGTATTAAACTTGAAAGTTTAGGTCTAAGAAAAATCAGTCTTGTACTTGAAGACTTCATTGAAGTCAGGATAGGATAAACTCATAAGGCAGACTAAAAAGAGAGGGCAAACAGAAGTGTGAAAAGGGCATCTGAGGGAATCTCGGCATGACCAACAAGAACACAGTAAGTTATTTAATATAATATAATTTTCTCTAGTTTTACGTAGATGTTAATGTCACGGCTATGTAGCACAGTTTTCCTAATATTAAAACTTATAACTATGTGCAAGACTTGTTGAAATTTTATCTCGGTAAGTTAGGTGCTGTCCCAGTCTTTAATTACTTTCCAACTCCACGTTTGAAATTGGGAGTTTCATTCTTATTTTGCATTGCTTGTCAACCATTCTGTCTGCTTCTGTGTCATTATTTGAGTTGCATTGTTGTTTGCCAAAGTGAAGGATAAACAATCATTGATACTTATAAAATATAGCTATCAGTAGAGAGATTCCAAACTGTGGGCGGTATGAACCATTCATTGAACCATATCAACTGCTAGTCAATAAGGCTTCCGATATTGTTCAAAGGCTTTACTGGTTGTAAAGCAACTCAAAAACAGTGGCTGCTAAAATTTTTCTGTCGGATCTTCAAGAAACTATAATAAAATTTCTGATCTTTAGTCTGATAACAATGATCTATGCAGCAATTGCTTTGTACTTTGTACAGCTTTTCTAACAAAAGAAACGAGCCAAATAGATCTAGCATATAACTTACAGCTAAAAACTCACATAAGAATGTTGGAGATGAGATGATTGTATGATCCAAAATTCCAAGTAGATCTTAGTCTAGTAGTTGACCCTGAATATACAAATTGGTTTTTCTATACTCTTATACTGCAAGTGATGATTTCCTCTTGTAGCATTTTCGTCAGCAGAAGTAGGTCTTCCTATTGAAAGTGAAAGGATGCTGCTTCTTGATTGATTAGCCAACTTGTACTGAGTGATTTTTATCAAACAAAATAGTTGAGACTGACATTTACTTGGCTTGGATTTTCGACACAAGAACAAAAGTCATCCTAAATTCAATGTCATTCTCCTATCTTTACATTAGAACTGCCATCTTCCAAACAGCCTTTTCCAGAGCAAGTTGTGCAGCACTTGATTAGGGTTAGGGGGAAAATGCTTGGCCTCAAACACATTGACCACAAATAATTTAGATAAGAATCCTTTAGTCAACATAATTGGCTTTCAGTAGCAAGTAAGGTACTATCTACCTGAACTTGTAAAGAGTCATTTTAAGCCTCTGTTTCTGTACATGCCCTTCTCCATCTGAATTCCAAGTTTTGAGGTCACTAAGGTTCCATATGGAGATACATATTAGTGATAAATCATGATATGATTTATAACATTAGCAATCAACAAAAATTAAGCATTCTTCAAGTTATAAAATATTGATAAAAGGAAATGACATATTGTTTAAAGAACTATGCTATGACAAAATAGAGGCTAACTTACTGTGCTATCATCATAACAGCATTTGCTATGGTACTATTGCTTCTCGCTTATGGGAGATTTGGCTAGTTTACAATTATTTCAAGAAAGAATCTGTTTTAATCTTGAACCAAGCCTGACACAAGCCTATGATTCAAGCTGAAAATTATATATGAAGCTCGACGAACCTCAATTCAAGATTAGATTATACTTGCATGCGCTTTTTTTGTAATTTTATATCTTTATGAATTACCATAGGTTTTACCTTAACAAAATTTGATTCCATATGAACCTTAACTTGGTTCATATGGAATCAAATTGAAATCTGAGTCAACACCTTCTTTAAAAGGTTTTGCAGTGTGTAAATACTAATTTTAGCTGCAGTATAGCTAGATTTAAAGATTCAAGCATGCTCTTTTTTTCTCTTCTTGCCTCTTCATTTTTTTTTATCGTTCTTAGTGCAAAGTATCTCCAATTTTCTATAGGAGTTTGAATTTGAGTTTATGCACCCTTCCGTCTCCCGTGGCACATGGTTTCCATTTCGGTATTCCGGAGTTGCCTGTGGGTGACAAACTCATGCTCCATATACTACAAGTTTTAAAGCCTCCATATATCACACAATCTATTGAGTTGTGCACAAGGAAAGCTGTTCACAGCCTCAAAAAGTAGTTCACAAGTCAGTCTGTCACCAACATTTATCGAGTTTTAAAGGCCTCCATAAATCACACGATCCATAGAGTTCTTCAGAAGGAAACCCTGTTAGTTCACAGCCTCAAATTCACCTGAGATGTCACTCCAAAGAGTAGTTCATAATTCAATCTGTCACTAACATGTAACCCACACTGCCATCTGTTTCAGTTTCATGGTCCCTGTTCTTAGACAAAGCACCATGCCAAATGTACTCATACATTGGATGAGGACAACGTCCCTTCATTCAACACTCAACATGGCCAGTTTCATGTAAACATCCAGACATTCAAAATAAACCTAATACTCGCACAAGAATCTCTTTAGGTTTTCTTATGATCTTCCCATTGACCGTCATTCACATGCTGACCCGGACTGGTCCATGTATGAATGGCAATGTTATCCAATCTGTCACTCCGGTTTCTTTTTTCTTCTTGAGCTCAGTACCAGGTAAGATGACCTTTCTGATCCAAAAGAGAGAGAGAGAGAGAGAGAGAGAGAAAGATAAAGAAGCATATTGCAAGATTATGCTCCAGATAAAAAAAATCAGCTAGTTATCTTTTTGCTTGGGCCCAAATGCATTAGCTAAGTTTCCTTGTGGATTGGGCATCTGCTTCAAAAGTTCTCTTTATTCTTCTGGATATTAACAAGTTTTCTTCAGATGAGACATGAGGGATTTGAGTCGTAGTGCACTGATCACGGACTCAAAGTTACATTCTCAATTCATTCACGGAGTAATCTGAAGCTGAAAAACTAGAAGCTACGTATTGCAAGGTATGTGATCATCCTCAACAAAAGTCACAACATGCGGCGCTCATCATAGACATTTTGTTCTCTTGCAGGCAGATAATTGGATGATGCTGTGAGTCCCATGAGCTCTTCGTCTGTTGTGACCGTCCTCAGCTTGTCTTGTCAGTATGACAGCTCCTGTTCTGCTAGCTTTTTCAGAACATGGGCGGGCCATCCCCACGACGAGCTTCTTAATTGACCTTCACCAGCAATCATTATTATTGGATAACTTTGTCTCGTGGGGAAGAGATCAGAGACTCATTGTTTTCATCTCAAGAAAAAGATGCCAATTGTTCGATTCCTTGATGAACAAGACTGTTTCCTGCATGCATGTCAAACTTTTTCTCCTTTTGCCAGTGCCACAGAGGAAATGATGGAGTCATCGACACTGAAGGTAGTCTTACAAAGACCACAATGTAGCTGCTCCTCCGGTTCATGATTTTGAGGTGTGTGTGTGTGTGTATGTATCTCTTTTATTTTGAGATTGCAGCACCAAAGTGTTGTTTACGAGCAACAAGGACCATCAAAAGCATAAAAGCCAAGTTGATGCTCACATGCCACAGATGGTTGTGCATCGAGCTTGTGATCGAGCTGTTGCATTTTTAATCCACCTTGTTGGTGAATGCAAACAGTGGATGATGTGCTTTATTCACATGATGCCTCTATTTAAGTACAGGAACAGAAGCAATTATATTTAGGATGAACACAATGGGGCAAAATGCCGTCTTTTTCGTTGGTAGCAAATGTGTTTGTTATTTTCCCCCCTTTAATTTCTATTATCCGACTTCTGAAGCCATTACATATTCCCCACGATAGCAGTGCGATGGCGCCAAATAAGTTATGCCTGATGGGACGATCCACCGCGCAGACACAATTCCCGGAAGTTGCCGCTCCGGCGAGCCGCTCTCCCAAGACCATAACGCTGCGTCCCTCCTCCGATTCCCTGCCCGGACGAGCTCGCTACCTCCGCCGTCAAATCAAGAAGCCTCCTTTCTCAGGTGGGAGGCGGAGCTTCCCCGTCACTCCCCACTTGAGTTGGAAGCTGGACGATGCGGAACGGTTGGTGCGGAAGCCTGAGCAGGTCGGTCCGAGCGGAGAAGGTCGACGGGATGACAAGAGTGCCGCAGGAAGGCTGTTGACTGGATTATCGGCGAGGAAGCTCGCGGCGGCGTTGTGGCATTTTCAGGCGGCAGAGGTTAGTGGTGGCGGGCGGGAACGCCGGAGAGCTCGGCTAGGGTTGGAGGTATGACCGCATTATATGCTTTCTGGTCGAATGTATGCCGGTAAAGTTTGAGTTTTGATTGATCTCTCTGACCTACAATCCTCACCCTTCACCGTGATTCTCGTGTGGTGGAATCTAAAAGTGGGAAGGGTTTTCACCTACACAACCTTCTAGCCTGGGAAGAAGAATACCTTAAATTTGTCATTGGATATTGGAATTTGTTTCTGAGGATCTTAGCTGTCTTCGCGGTTCTTCCTTTTTGTTTTGTGGGGGAGTTTCGGTCAAATCTGTTGGAAAGTTAGGATTTTGCTTGCATTTTCATCCTAAAATTGTTTTATACCTACAGTTTCCATGTGGAGAAATGGCAATGTTGTTGGTTCTCCAATAACCAATGAAGAATAATTTCCCAAAATTATTAGTAAGTGGGATCTTTTGCCTTCATGGGAGATCCCTTGAAGCTTCAATCTTGTGATATTAATCTTATAATGAATCAAATGGAGAAAGGAATGATTTTGATTCACTTGCTTTGATCACTTCCTAATTTTGGTAATGAAAACATTTCTCATCTAAATTTCATACCTATTATAGTTTTTGTCAGCCTTCTTTTGTGCTCCTACCAGTAGCTCTTAGGTGGTTTCTGTGTTTATGCTGATTGTATACTAATTATCTTACCGTACTTGTTCAACTTTGTAGCCTGATCCAAGGAATCTTCGCCTTCCAAATGTCTGTCATCATGATAGAACAGGCCTCCTCGGTAGCATCAGTAATGAGCTTGTTAGTTCTATCTCATCCGACCCGAAAGCTACTTCACGGAAGGTAACCTTGTCTTTGTGGTTGATAGGCTAAAGGAGCATTGGCCATTCAGTTTGATTTGATATGGCATCATCTTCATTTGTTTTGTCCGAAAGCAGCTCGAAGCATCTGCTTCATATCTCAATTTGGCAATGGAGAAAGCAACAAAATGGGAGGCTGGGTGCTTAAGGTCTTCGGATAAGGTTTATCACAATGATGGTCACCTAAAGCTTCCCAAGGATTGGCTGACGACTACTTCCATCATTTCTATTCTTCAGGCAGAGCTCAAGCAGGCTCGTCACCGCATTAATGAGCTTGAAAATGAGAGACGATCTGCCAAGGAAAAGCTGAATCACTTCTTGAGGAAGCTTGCGGTTGAGAAGGCTTCATGGCAGAATAGAGAGAGTAGAGAGCATGAGAAAGTTCTGAACATTATTGAAGTCATCAAGGATGACCTCAGTAGAGAGAGGAAAGGTCGGAAGAGAGTGGAGATCATGAATTCCAAGCTTGTACATGAGCTTGCTGAGGCCAAGTTATTAGCAAAGCAGTACTTGCAAGACTATGAGAAGGAGAAGAAGGAACGTGAGCTCATTGAGGAGGTATGCAATCAGTTTGCAAAGGAGATCGGGCATGACAAAGCTGAAGCAGAATCTTTGAAGAGAGAATCTACAAAAATCCAGGAAGAATTGGATGAAGAGAGAAGGATGCTGCAGATGGCAGAGGTTTGGCGTGAAGAAAGGGTACAGATGAAACTGGTAGATGCAAAACTCATGCTCGAGGAAAAGTATGCAGAGTTGAGCGAGCTTCAAGCAGATCTAGATGCATTTCTCAGAGCACATTCTGATTCTAATGGAAATATGTCATTGCTGAAAGAAGCTGAGGCGTTTAGAGAGGCGGCCAGCTTACTGAAGTTCCAGGACATTAAGTTCCATTACCAGCCTCCTCCATCTTCAGGGGATATCTTCTCTATCTTTGAAGAACTCCAGCCAAGAGAAGAAACTATTGAAAGAGAGATTGACCCATGCTGTGGTTACAGCCCTGCAAGTCATGCCTCCAAAATCCACACGGTGAGCCCTGAAACTGATATCTTTCTGGAAAATCCAATGAAGATGAGAGATGAGGATCACAGCGACTTGGAGTCCATGAGCTATGCTGAGGGGCAGGGTTCTTGTAATTCTCCAGAGGCCCACGAAGAAAGCGTTGCATCAGTTAGTGGAACTGATTGTGATATGAAAAGAGATAATGACAGCTTAAACAGTGAAATTAGCGAAGTTTGTTCAAGAACCACCAGGCAATCCAGGAAGGTGTCTTCTATAGGTAGGTTTTGGAGGTCAACTTGTACAAGCAATGGCAACAAGAAGAAATTTTCAGTAGGTTTATCAAATGAGAACCTATTGAGAGGTCGGATGTTGAATGCCACTCTGTCTCCTGACATGAATTCAGGTGAAGTTTGCCCAAGCTCACCGAGTGTGGGGCAAGAGTGTTCCTCTAATTCGATAAACTCTCATATCAGCAGAGGAACAGAAGGTTGCATCGAATGAGCAAGGGAGGCAAAGAATCACAGTTTGAAGGCTAAGCTTCTCGAGGCAAGAATGGAGAACTGGAAGATTCAGTTGTGCGACGTTATGAAACATAATTCTTAGGATGAACATTGATCTCCCAATGGAGATTGTACTCTCAATCAAGCTGGTTGAATTTTGTCTTTATAGTAGTACTTGTATCATATCTAAAACACGAGTACCAGAGTGTGTGTACGTATTCCATGGAAAGTCACTACCACAACTTAGATTGCAGTTGAATGAGAATTCATATCTAAAACATGATGTATAAATATTCCATGGAAAGTCACTATTTGCGGCTGATCGAGAATTTGGGTCACTCTGTTTTACATTCTGCTGTTGAGATTGGGAATCTTAAGAATCTAAAGATAATAAAGCATGTTTTCCAAACATTGTAGATATTTTGTCATCTGCAGTTGCCCAATCTGAGAGACGTGTATTCTTGAAGCAAGCAACAGTGTTACATTTGGTAGACCTTTTTTGATGTCCTCGGATCTGTAGTTCCTTCACTTTTGTTTCCTTCTGTTCTATATTGGCCTTTCATACTTGTTCTACCACGCCATTGTTGGAATGGTGTGTGCTAAAGAAACCCTGCGACTTTGTCTAGCACAAGCATCCTAACAGATGATATTGTGATTCATCGAGTAATATTTTGTTCACCAGGAATTCTCTTACAAACATAATTTAAAACTGGTTAGTGTGTCACTGCCCAGGGAAAGGATTAACATATCGTCCCGACGCTTAGAAATTACTCATCCAATACAGAAGGCTATTATGAAGTGAATATAAACATACAAGATACTGTATTCAGAGTAATTTTGTGTTTCTGTTACATATATGATGTCGCTTTCAACGCTCCTGGTAGATCATTCGGGAGCAATGTTTTTGGATCAAAATTAATGCATGTTGGACTGTGTTTGAAAAATATAAAGATGCCAAAAATTCTACCCAAACAAAATTTCCTAAAACCTGAACCCAGACAACATCAGCGCTGTTGTTATAGGACAGCAAAAAATCACAAATTGACTCGTTCACGAATGCATAGATCTCAATAGATCAAGGGCCAGGGCTTCTTGCTCGGCTAAAGTGACTGAGTCACTCTTTTTAGCTGCCTTAGCATCATCAACTTCATCATTGTCATCGTCATCAAAATATATCTTCGTTCTTTTGGGGTTTCTCTGTTCATTTTCATCCGAGTCTGAATGGTCATCCCCTGTGTCCCCCTCTTCCGCTTCTTCCTTCCGCTTCTTCAACTTTAGTTTCTCCTTTGTTCGTTTGTCACGCAAGCGCTGACGGTGCAGAAGCTTGTCCTCTTTGTCCCGCACCTTCATCGCTTCCCTTAGTTTCTCATATCGTTCTTTAACTGCAAATACATTTTCAATATAGCTAAAGTGATGAACAAGATATAAAAGCAGTTTTAATCGATGCAGGAGAGAACTGAGCCCAGACTTGCAGAAGTAAATTGGAAGAAAAAAGTCCCAGTTGCTATTAGAAAATAAAAAATTACTTGTTCGACAAAATTGAATACAATATTTGAAAGGCACAAACCTGTACCAAGGTGAATAGAACCATCACCAGTCTCTTTATCAGCCAAGGCAGCTAGTGGAGGGATTACATTCCCATCATCATCATATTTTACCCTTGTTCCAAGAGGTCTATGCATATTGATCTTCAGCTTCTTCTTCTTCAAAATCCTGGTAGATAATCTGAATAAGCCAACTAGTTAAATCAAAACAGGTTTTGAGGAACTAAAAACCGACAGCGTATGCAAATAAATATCATGACATACTCTGCTTTATCGCCTTCGGGTTCAAAAGAGGGCGATTCCTTGGGTAAAAGAACATCATCTTCTACATCATCCGACCTAACAGTTGCTTGTGAATTAATATTATGAACTTTAGATTTGTCATCAGATGCTTCGACTTCCTCAGTAGTTTTGGTAGATGACATGTGCACATTCGATTTTCGCTTTAAGAATCGCAACTTCGGGGTCACTGAGAGACCCAAAGATACTGCAAAATCTTCTATGGGAAGTTTGGATACATCAAATACATCTTTGTCTTTCTGCAGAAATATGGACTTAAGATATGTGACAAATGCCCTTTGCGCTAACTGTTGCATAGAAGGAAATTTAACCAGCAGAGACGACAACAACGCAGAAACTGATACTGGTTCTTTTGCCTGACAAAGCATTCACCATAACGGAAGTTAGTGGCAGAGGATAAACTACATTCAGATTAACATAAAAAAAATTGGAAACTAAAAATGAACATGTTAATGGTTCAAATAAGATTGCAGCTATACTGAATGTGGATAGTCAACCAGATGTTATTAGCTTGTTGAGACAGCAAATTGTCACATAGAAAGTGCTTATTGAGAATATGAACATTGTTCTCATCAACCCCAACTCTAGGACTCTAGATAATATGATAAAAGATACAAATTCTTGAAAGTTAACAATAGGTACAGCAAGATTACATGGATATAAAAGGTGCCAATTAGGATCCTGAACAGTTATTTTAGTCAATCATCCATTGTTATAAATGCCCCAAGATAATCAACCAGTAGATGAATAATGGTTAGTCATTCACCTTCTTCAACTTGATTGGAATTTTTGGTTCAACAGCTCGTAATTTTGTGAACATCTCTTTCTCAGAAGGCATAAGAAACAGTAATGACTTCCCTGCATTTCTGAAACGGGCAGTGCGGCCAACTCGATGAATGTAAGCTGGAATATCTTCTGGGCAATCAACCTGAATAGAAAAACCAATTAGCACAAGATCCTTTGCAGCAAAATTAGTCACCCAGACTGCTATTCACCTGGACCACCCAATCCACTGCTGAAAAATCAAGACCCCGAGATGCCACATCTGTGGAAAAGAGAACTGAAGTTTCCTCACAGAATTGAAGGTATGTAGCCATTCTTACATTTTGCTTCATGCGACCATGCAAACATTTCAAAGGAATTCCTGGTCTAAGCTTCTTGAATACCTCATATACATATTTAACCTGCTCGCATCAGGTGCAGTGTCAGGAAACAAATAATATAAAAACATGCATCTTCAAGAAAAACTAGAAAGTCACAAAATTAGGTAGTCCATCGACAGCACATCTCCATTCAGTAGTGCACAGATGAAATCAGAACCCTAAATGCAAGGCTGATGTTTATAGGAGGCATACTTAAATTGCTGTTTGTGCATCATCACAGTCATCACAACCAAAAGAACACTCTAGTACACATCATCTTTAAAGAGTCTGCATGCAATAACCATCTAGGCTTCTAGCCTTCTCTTTAACACAAACTCATTCACATAGCTCGCAGATACCACTACATATCAATAATGTAGTAATATCTTACATATGACAACAGATGTAAATGATATTGAACCATTCCTAGGAAGGATCCATCCACGTATCATCTCTCAATGCTACATATCAGGTCAACGTTTAATTTCAGGAACTCTAGTTTCTAATGGCCACTTACATATAAAAGAATCTGGTATGAAATTTGCAATTTGATCTGTGCCCAGATGGTTATGGGTCAAAACAAACTTACAAGATGATCTGATCAACCAGTGCCCATGTCTGAATTTACAAAATTGACTCAAATGATTTACTCAACCAAATTAATAATATAGTTAACCATGTTAACCTTAAACTTGATTTAGATCAATGATCCAACATGATGATATCTCTAAGACATGAATGTGATAGTCTTTACAGAAAACACTGCATACAGAAATTTTTATCAGTATAATTAATAGGTTAATACACTGCATGCACACATTTATTTCATTTAAATAACAAATTAACCTTTGCTCCGAAGAATAATTATCATAACAATAATCATGGATGGATGAATACCAGAAAGTGGTGAACGTCGGAAAAATACCTGCTTGCAACTAGAAAGAAAGACAAGAATTTTTGACTTAAGATTTGCTTTGATGAAGCTCCATAACAAATTCAACTTCTGGTCAAGGGGAACAATGATGGCAAGTTGAGTCAGTTGCTCAGGAGTGGCTGTTACTGATTCAGCATGCACACTTATATACTCTGGGTCCTTCAAGCTGAGCCTAGCCAGGTCTTTAACTGACTTTGTTTGGGTTGCAGAGAAAAGCAAGGTTTGTCTTCGCTTGGGAAGCTGAGATATAATTGCATCCAATTCCGTCTTAAAACCAGCATCAAGAATCCGATCAGCTTCATCAAGCACCAGAATCTATATCCACGAGGAAAACATGACATTACCTTCAACCATTACATTCAAAACCTTATAACAATTAAAAAGCTAATTTATTACACACCTGGAGCTGTGAACATTCAAAGTTTGCAGTCTCATCCATGTGCTGGAGGAGTCGACCTGGTGTGCACACCAAAATGTTCAGACTACTGACACGTTCCTTCTCTGCGTCAACATCTTTACGTCCTCCAATCAGAAGGCCTGCACTCAGACTGTGGTGTTTACCTACTGTTTTCAATTCCTCAAAAAGTTGTCCTGCCAATTCCTTCGTAGGGGAGATTATAATGCTACCAACACCATCTTCAGGACCCCATCTTGCTCTGTACAACTTTTCTATGACCTAGAAAATAAAAACTTCTCAAGTCAGTACTTGAAAAAAAAATCACCTTAACTGATCGAGAAAGGATGTCGAAAATCGTCTGTTGCTATCTTCATGCATATCAGAGTATAACTAATGATACATACAGTAAAATAGAAAACCAAATCTCTGTCAAAATATTTGGATATTCCCAATAAAATCACGTAAATCAAAATTAAGAGCCACCACAGGATATTTATTTGAATTCTAATGACAGCCCGTTTTAGTCTCAATATAATGCTCATCTTAGAAAAGGCGAAGAAACCTAACAATGATGGCATTCAGCAGAAGAAAAAAAACCCAGAATATATGAATTCCAGTCACGGTACTATAAAATTCTGCATTTGATTTGAATATGTTAGCATACCAGAACACCGTGACAAGGCAGAATTTTAGCAACATATCAATATAATATTCGTCTACAAAAAGGAATTTAACAAGATCAAGCTTACGCACGGGGATGACGAAAGCAAGGGTTTTTCCGGAGCCGGTCTTGGCAGCGCCAAGGATGTCACGGCCGCAGAGAGAGTGGGGCAGGGAGGCGCGCTGGATGTCGCTCATCTCGACGTACTTGGGCGCAAGGCCGTCCTTGGTTCTCTGTGAGATAGGAAGTTGCCGGAAGAACCGGACTCCGGCATAGGGAGAAAAACTGCCGTCCTTGGTGCGGCCGATGGGGGCGTCGGGCGGCGGCGGGGAGATGGCGAGGGGGTTAGTTCCCGGGTCAGGGATCCCGGCCTCGATCCATGAGTCGAGGAGCTGGATCTCCTGCGCCTCCGAGAGCCGGCGCTGCTTGCGGGCGCCGGAGCACTTGGGCTTGGGGCGGCGCATTGTCGAGTTGACGGGAGTACACTCGCTAGGGTTTCAACAGAGAGGAGGGTTTTGTTACTTGCGGGCAACTCCTGGGCGACGGGACTCGTTTGCGAACAGTTTTATGAGAAGCCACCGTTTCTACGCATCCGTTCGTACCCGAAGTTTAGATACTTGTCGTGGGGATTGAGGTTACCGCAGTGGGACCCACTATAGCTTAAGGCGGGTGATGGTGTGGGTCGGGAAATTTGGTCCGTCTTTTATTCCTGGGCGGTCAGAAAAGCAAATTTAGGTCGGCGACAAATGCGAGCACCTCCAATCTCTCGAATCGTCTCGTCCGATGCTATCCACGGGAACCGTCGGATCACAACGTCGTTCGAGCATGCGTTCGCATGCACTGCCTCTCTGGATGCCCTCTTCAGAGGGTAGACGATTGCATATTGAGGCTATTGATCATGTGCGTCCTCTGCTGCCGACTAAATCTACCGTGGATTGAAGAAGATGAAGACGAAGAGACCTTCCGTTCTTTGGATCCCTGTCTGCAGGGAGCATTAGTGAGTCCCTTCTCCCCTTTCTCTCTCTCTCCGCTCTCTCGTTTAGGTTTCCTTCTTGAATATTTCTGGCAAATCTGCCTCCCTATTCCTTGATGCAATGCGATTTTTTTTGTTTTTGTTGATGCGGCATTATTGTACGAGCTTGTTGATTCTTGAACAGAATTAAAAAGCTTTAATCTTTCAGTCTTTTGTGGGCATCCGGAACTCATGAACTTGTGAAAGTTTATATCTCGATGTGTTTGGTTTTCTTGTGGGCTTCTGCGGTGGGTTTACTGCGGCTTCTGTGGAATTTTGAAGCGAAATCGAGCATTGTTTTCCTTGTTCTTGGTTTTGGGTTTATCCGAGTCAGTTCAGATCTTTAGTTTTTGATCTTTTATTGAGATATATGTGCCGATTCTGCAGTGCTGGTGCAAGAAATTAGAGGTCGCTAATTGACAACTCTTTTGGACCGAGGGATCTCTTGTGGAAAGGCGATCTGTAGTTTTCCTTCTTCAACAGAAGCATTTACACCATGGAGGTGCATCTCAAGGACCTGTTTGCCAGATTCCAAGAGCAATTTGGCTCTGGGCCGGGCCTTGGACCTAGCTGTGGAACTTGCCTTCTGAAAGTTGAAGGAGCTCCTCCGGCATTCATCAAATCCCTCTTCCGGGCTGCAGCCGCCCTCTTCCGTACTGAACCATGGAAAAGGCTGAGGCCACGGCATATGTTCGGCATCCGAATTGGGAAGGACACAGACTGGTCCAACAAGAAGCAATTGTTTCCTTGTGCTCAGTTCATTGGTGGAGATGGAGGGGACCTTGGCTTCCACTTGTTCAAATCTGAGCAGGATGCCATGAGAATGACTGGAGTTAGGGAGACGAATCGAGTTCCAAATGTGGAAGTGCTGAGAGTCCTATTTGATCAAGAACCACTGTTGTCCCCTTCCAATAAGAGAATGATAAGGTCACTGGCTTTGGAATCCTCTGGCCCTGATAGGTTTCCAGCCATTGATGTCGCTCGATGCACTTCAACAGGTGGGCTGCGGTTTAGAAATCCTACGTTTGAGGAGCTCCGATATGTCTATGCTTTCATGAAAGCTATAGCTCTTGTGCACCCGTTGCTTCAATGGGCTGATGATAGCATTCCCAGAAGAGGAAGGTTTATGAATTTTGAACCGTTTATTGAGACAGTCGATGTGCAGTGGCCTCCTGAAGTCATCAAGGGAGGGGACCTTGTTGCTGTCACGATTTCACATCCAACGAGTCAGGTATATGAGGAGAAGAAGCTTGTTTCGGCCTCAGCAAAGTGTCTGGAACCACCCAAGGAAGAGCTTCCTCCTGCTGAAGCGATGACCAATTGGACTACTTTGAGGCAGTGCGCGATGTGTGACAAAGAGATTTATGGGGATCAGTCTTTGTGTTGTGGACGATGTCGTGCAGTGGTTTATTGTGGCCCTGTGTGCCAGAAGCAGCACTGGAAGGATGCGCACAAGGGTGTATGCGGTCTCTACAGAGCAATGATGGAGAGAGAGGAAGAGTTATCTATCAAGATATTTATCTTTCCTTGCTTTGTTGAAAACCCATGCAAATGGCTTGAAACAAAGGGTGTCCATCAGAAAGGAATGTGGAGAAGGAAATGCAATTGCTATTCTCATTGTCCATACGGCCTCCTCCCTGTAAAGACAAGTGGAAACTCAGAGGCATGGGGAGGTCTAGGCGATGGGGAGTATCCACCAGATTCAGCATTAGCGGGTTATTTGAATGGAAGTTCGAATCCCACTCTTCTCTCCGGTTGGTCTGAGTACTATAATCTCCGATCTCTCCCATTGTCAAGCCCTGTTTCTGCAATACTCTCACACCCTTTGACAGTTCACCATATAGTGACTGCCCTAGCTATAAGTTCTAAGAATCGATTAATTAAAGGGAAAGAGGTGATTGTGCATTACCTTGGCCCTGCAGGAGAGCTAGATTGGATGCCTGCATTTGCTGAGATTGGGCATTTGCTGAATGGGTTGGGTAACATACAGATGGTTATGATTGGTCCTGAAGTTCCAAGTAACCTATCAGGGACTTTCTCAGGAATTAGTGGTAGGCTGAGAGTCAACATGGTGAGAGGAATGTATCAGGAACAAGCCCCTTACCTATCCTCTCCGCATGTTGTGGTTGCTCTGAACTGTGGACTGGAGAACTATGGGAGCTGGGAAAGTGCCATTGACCTAATTAAGTCGATGAATGTCCCAACTTTCTTCACCGAAACGTCTGAAATATCATGTGCAAATGCTAAGCAGGTGCTACGTGGAGCTGGCCTGCACATCAGCCATCCGGTGACACCAAACCCATTTCGTTCACCACTGCAGAATCAGGCACCTTCAAGTAATTTACCTTCATTCAGCAATGGTTTTGTCTTTGGTGTGAATACATGAATCACAGACATTTCTTAACAAGCGTTAAGAAACTTAATGGGTTAGGCACCCCTTTAGTTGATGAAGATTGCACTCTGATTACTCGATACGTAATCATTATTTCTGTCACTACTCCTAATTACTTGATAGCATGTCATTTGTTTCCGTTTTCTTGTTGGATTAGTGCATCTTGTTATAAGCCAGAGTAGGAAGTTTAGTATGAGGATCTTGATTGTATAATTAAATCAGGAAGTTTCATGTAAACTGTGTTCAATCTATTTACAAGCTTGAATTGGTTTGGTTGTTGAACTGTATATGTTTGTGAAACCAAGTTACAGTTTGACAATTTGGTGTCTTTTTTGTTTGTTAATAGGATACACATGGGCAAGACGCGCACTAGACAAACAGTATAGTGTCTCTGACATTATAGTGAATAGATCAAGTGTGACATTATAGTGAATAGATCAAGTGTAATGCTTGTCTAAGTGAAGCACTTTCATAGGTAACAACAAGGTTCCCAGAATCGCCCGAAGAACCATTATTTCCGCCAGTGACGATCTCCAGAAGCAGAACACCGAAGCTAAAACCATCGACTTAGTTGAGAAGGTTCGATGCAGAACATACACTCCGGTGCCATGTAACCACTGCATGCCACAAAGGAAGCTGAGAAGATGCTAATTGAATTGTAGATTAATAGCGGCAGGAACGGAGCATGTCGAGCTTACAATGTCTCAGCAACCTTAGTAGTGTGTTGATGGGTCTGATCGTTGCCACAATCTGCTATCTTAGGGTTCATGTTCTTTCTCATCTAGCAAGATGTTACTGGCTTTTAGATCCCTGTGAACGATCTTTGTTGAATGAAGTAGGCGATAGCCACAGCAGCAGTGGCGTTGATGGAGAGGGAGGCTGCTATGCGTCCGGGGAATGAAGTCCAGTGATTGGCGTAGATAAGAGCCGGAAAGCAATTCCATTTTCCATTTCCTGTGAGGCGAGTAGCAAGAGAAGACTTGAATGCGAACAAAATGCATTCAAGAATGTCAAAAAGAACTACTCTGTATCTTTTCATTGGAGCTGCAACATACACACCCTCAATCCTGTGAGCAGGTTCTTGAAGCATACCCTACAAAATTAAGCTTTACAATAACAGGGATTAGCTTCATCTTTAAGACGACATTGTAATTACAATATGGAAAGGTCACCACTGCTTTTACAACTCCGTCTTACCCCATTTAAGTGTTTTTTTGTTTCTTAGGGTGAACCCATTCTTCATCGACAGTCTTCCACATTCCATTTAATCCAGGCTTGACAGATTTTTTCTCTCTAGATCTGTGTATACATAACTGAATCTTATCCTCAAGGAACTTGGAAATATCACATAAGCAAACACAATATATACTACCATTTGTAATAGGTCCAGTAGTGTCCATTGTGGGGGAAACAAAACACAAAAGAATGAATAGGCAAACACTTTTCCAAGTTCAATCTACAACTCTCTTACTAAGAAAGAGAAGAAAAGTTTATTAACAGAAAAAAGTAAACTTTGTCTAAAATTACTGTAAAAACAAACATATATATATTTTTTGTCTAGTCCAACATTCCAGTGATACAACCTAGCCATGCGTCATAGGTCCCAGTGACATGCTAAAATTTCGATAAAAAAAACAAAACATCTCAATCACTGGACTTGGTCCTGAAGACAGATCTAGGAACAAAGCATACAAAGTAGATGCAACTGAAAACCTTATGAACCCGTAGAGCTTATCTGCTGACAAGTAAATACTTGGAAATGAATACTGTCAAATTATTGAAAGAAGCTTGACTTGTGCAACCCATGGGAACTCCTGCAACCACAAATCCCTCATGTTAGAACACTTAGTAGATATAGATAAAAGCATAATCACAAAAGTAAAGAGGTCATTTTGACTGTGATCCTAAACAAATTGATGAACGAGTATAAATGAGGGGTACTCCTGCTGAGAGCAAGGAATCATTTGTAACCTAACTTCATAGCTTATCTGGCAATAGGAACTGAGGCCTGATAGCACATATCTTGATCCCCTTTTCCTATAAAAGTAGTGCCAGCAATTCTGACCACAAAATTGTGCATATTAATCCAAAAATTGTAGCCTCTACGCATTTCTTGCAGGGTCTCCCATCTAAATTTGACACATTTCAGGTCATAGAGTGCTCTCAAATATGTAAGACAGGAAGCAGCTAATCCAGTCAGCCAGTTACTAAGCCAACTTAAAAGTGAATCAGTCTCGTGGACCACTTTATTTACGGAAGGCAATTGGTTAGTCTTTTTTCAACAAATTCCAAATAAAGCACCTGACCAAAAAGAAAGTGCATTTGTTGGTAAGGTTCACATAGCACAGGGCATACCCAGTGCACGAGGCTCTCGCCAGTGCGGAGTCTAGGGAGGATCAATATACATAGTCTTACCTTTAAATATTTAAGAGTATTATCATGACTCGAATCTTGGTCTCTCAAGTCACAAAGGAGTAACCTTACCATTGCTAAAGTTCGTATAGCATAAGTTATCTCAAAAAGGAACCTATCACCTTCTTGTGGAAGTTAGCTGCCCTTGTACATGCTGAAAGGGACTTACTAAGCATCATGCTTAATAGCTCATCCAAGTTGTTCATGCAGATAGTGACACATGCAAGACCAAAAAGAGACTAACTAAGCAGATAACACAAATAAACTTAATAGGTAAAGCATGTTGCCTCAAAAGAATTCAGTTAGGCATGCCTTGATTTTACAAGAGAAAAAGTCAAAATAAACCTAGATATCATAATGGTGACACTTTAACACTTGTCTGACCAGCCACAATATTCATCTATTCCAGATCATATGTCGTGAGTGCCAAACCTCCAAATGCCAATGGTTCTTTCCGCTTAACGATGCTATATCTTCTGAAGCAGGCAGCTCCTTAAGAAGTCAGATTACTACATGCGTGTTCAGCTAAAGAGATCATGGTCTCATCTTCTAATGACCAAGTTTGTGTCCTTTGTATTGTAATCACACTCTAGGAGTGAAAGTCAACATCAATAAGCACCATCCTCTTCATCTTTGAACACTTTAGAAGTCTTACCCCGAGCCCTAGAGTGAGAGGTTCTGCTATAACATGATATAACTTTATGGCTACTGCAGGGAGCTAAATCAAGCATTTTACACCATTAAGGCAAGGAGATGTTGCAAGCTCAATGCCACTAGCATGCCTCAGAAAGTGCTGATCTGCAATTGTATGAAGAAGGAAATTGATAATTCGGATAAATGATGCTTCCTACAAATCCATGTATTTATAATTGAAGGCTGTGAAATGCCACATTGTGATGATTGTACACCGGGCTGGGTATGGAGGGATTCTTCCCTGATGAATATCCTTACGTTATCATTTTCACTTGAATCTACATGTAACAGGACTACAAAAAGATGAAAAAAAGAAGTATAGTTGAAAGGACTTCAAACTTATGCCAACGGTTGGCTGCTGAACAAGTCATATACATTTTTGGTGCACATTGAAGATACTTTGTGAACTGAAAAAGTGATAGAAGCAAAGGCTCCAGTAGTTGAGTTGCACATTGAAGAAAATAGAGATAAATGAGAACTTCCATGGCTGTGTGAGATCTCTTTGAGAGGGAATTCTGACAAGGTAAAGAGATTCTCAATCGACAAGGCCAGAACCAGGAGAACTCAAATAGTATAATCAACTTTAATTAGGTAATGCCTCTGACTTGAACCATAGATAGTAATTAAGTATTTTTAATGTATAAAGGTCAAGCAGAACAAAACTCTCAAATAAAAGTAGACCAGTGGGAACACAGGATAGAAAACCTTGAATTACTAGTTAACAATACAGATCGTAAATGTTTCTCCATCCAATTTCAAACTATTTGTTATCACTATGAAAATTTATAAAGAATCCATTGAAGCCTGCCATAGTCAAGATTATTTAGTGTGATAGGCATAGTTAACATTTATACAAATATCAATCTATACTAGTCATAATACAAGATACTTCTTTTCTATACCTTCTAGCGCTTGAGCTCTATTACATGTTCACATGGCATAATTTTGAAGAACAAGGAAAAACATTTCATCCCTTTTTAGTAAGCGAGCATAAAAAATACATTCCTCAATAACACATTACATCATTTTTATTAAGATTCAAGTATGAATATATGAACAAGGAAACAAAGAAATTTATGAAAACTAAGTAATTCTAAAGGGAGACAAAGTGATAAATTGTTGAATCCAAAGGTAGGCTAGTCTTAGGCCTAGTGGAACAATACTAACTACAGGGTGAGAAACAGATTTATAAAAACCATAGATTAATGTCCCATTTGATGGCAATGTTTTGTGTGATCACAGTTGATTATGATCATTAGAGTATCATAGACTTTCACTGTTACAATTGAGAGAAGCAACAGTGAAATTTCGAGTTAGACTTTGACAACAATGTGCTGGAAAGTCATCTTGGCAAATAGGATAGCAGCATCAAGACTCTAGGTAACATTAGATGGAATTAAGTCTTCCAACAATCACGATAAGGCAACTAATAAAACACAATCATAAACAAAGCATAGTATGAATACTACTGTTCAGAGTGAATATTATTGGATGAAGCAGTAAATGACAAAATTTTGGACAAGGTAAGAGAAAAAGAGAGAAAATCACAAGAATGGATAAAAAAAGATTTTCAAACATGGAGAAATCCATGGGCTGCCAAAAAGTAAGAAACCAAAAAACGTGACCAATATCCATTACATGAAACTAAGCCTAAAAAGCGGATGTCATAAGCTACAGGTCTTGGTTTCTAAGTAAGATAGGAACTAGGTCAAAGACTTGGAACAGCACAACAAGTCAGCCACTGATGATACCTCTATTTTTCTTTCCCCTATTGCAGATAATTGTGAGTTCCACAATTCAGAAACTAGCATTTCACAAAAGCATGGCTACATAAGTTTGATAAAGAACTTAAACATTAAGGTTACTCATATATAGTTAACCACACCTTTATTAAGCAAAACTCAAACCACTATCACCTATCATACAACATATAAAACAAAAGCCAAGAAGAAATACCACTTATCATTTCTTCCTTGAGACTACTGAGGCAATGCTTCTTCCACTTCCTTCCACATATCTGAGTTGCCCGAGAACTTCTCCTTCACCCTCTCCATGATCTCCCGTGCCTCCTCGACCTTTGAATTGCTCAGAAGCCCTTTCACAAGCATCTTCATAGTTGAGAAGCACGGGACCCAGTTCTTCGCCATGGTCTCTTTGCACACCGACAGCGCCGCCTCAAAGTCCCCGCCTTCGCAGAGGTAGTATATAAAAGTGAAGTAACAGCTGCTATCTGGAACGCACCCTCGACCCCTCATCTGCCTGTAGAACTTCTTGGCCTCCTCCAAGTCGCCTTGTTTGCAGAACCCAAATATCAAGTGGTTAAACGTGACCCAATTTGGCTTCATTCCCTTGGTCATCATCTCCTTGAAAAGTGCCTTCGCATCTCCCGGGCGCTTGAGCTTGCAGAGGCTTTGGATCCTCACGTTGTAGGCGCTGAGCCCGGGGTGGCAGTCGTGTTTTTTCATTAGCTCCAAGACCTTGTCAACGTCGTCGAACCGCTCCTCCTTGTAGAACCCAGCGAGGGCGGTGCAGAAGGTGGTCATGTTGGGCTTGATCCCGGCGCGGCACATCTCATCGAGGACGGAATAGAAGGATCGGGAGGTGCCAGACTCGCAAAAGGCCTTGACGACGGTATTGTAGGTCTCTACATTGGAGGCAATACCATGGGTTCCGGGGAACTCACGGAAGATCCGGCCCACCTCGTCGTGGCGGCCGGCGAGGATGCAGGCGAAGAGAAGGGCGTTGAGGGTGCGGACGGAAGAGGAGTTCGATCCGCGGAAGGTGCGGATGGCGTCCTCGAGCATGCCAGCCTGGCCAAAGAGGACAATGGAGTGGGGGAGGTCGGAGCGCGGAAGGGAGTCGAGGAGGGAACGGACATGGGAGAAGGAACGGGAGTCGGCAAGGGCGGAGACGGCGTTGGAGAGAGCGACACGATCGAGGTGGGATGAGGAGGGGGAAAGAGCGGCGGCGCGGCAGATATCGATGATGCGTGAGGGGTCGGTCTCGGACTTGAGCAGGGCGAGGGCGGCGCGGGACTTCTGCTTGCTGGTAAGCACGGCAGAAGGATCGGACGGGTTGAGGATGGCCGACGCGGAGGAGAAGGAGCGGTATCGCAGGTGGTTAAGGAGACGATTGCGAGCAGCGGCGACGGCGGCCATGGCGAGTGAATCTTGGGAGGTTTAGGTTTCGGGCGGCTTCCGCATGTGGTGTTTATCTTCCCACTTCAAACCCGGTAGACGCCGTCGCACAGTATGTTACCAGGTCGGGTCCGAACAGGTTAATAAAATGGATCCGAATCCAAAAAATGGAACCATTCGTCAGAGTGGTACAATTCGGCCGAGTTGATCTGAATCCAAATACCCGTATCCACATATGGATCCTACCCAGAACAATCCGATATCGTCCTCGGCAATCGGATCCCTATAGATCATCGGGCATCCGATCCGATAACTTAATCAGGTCTAAGTTTGAGAATCCACATGGAGTCGGACAAATCTTTCTTCATCAAACCCTAGCAACAAGAAGAGTTGGTGTTCTTGCGTCGTCCTCGCTGTGATCGAGCGGCCGGGAGGGATGGCATCCGCCATGACCGGCCAGACTTCGTCTCTCAAGCGGCGGGATACAACGGCCGCGACGGCGGGGCCGAGGGAGGGGGATCAGCTTATCGTCACCCCGTTGGGGGCGGGCAGTGAGGTGGGCAGGTCCTGCGTCTACATGTCCTACAGAGGAAAGATCGTCTTGGTAAAAAGCCGTCACCTTTTCTGCGTTCGTTCTATATCTTTTATCTTCTATTGCTTAGATACTCGGTGAGGGATGAGTTTGCCATGTATGAGATTGTATAGATGCTGCATTAAGCTTCTCGCTTGGTTTCGGATGGCAGTTTGATTGTGGGATTCATCCGGCCTACTCTGGGATGGCTGCACTGCCTTATTTCGACGAGATTGATCCCTCGACTATTGATGTGCTTCTCGTCACACAGTATGTGGTCATTCCATTTTCCTTTTCGTTCCTTTTTTCTATTGTATATTGGGTATATTGCAACTCTTAACTTGTTAGCTTCTTGACCTATTGCTCAAACAAATAGTAATAGATGTCAGTGGAAAGTGAACCGAATAAGCAAGCGCAAAGAGTGGACTGTTGTTATCCTATTCCGGATGAATCTTTCTAACTGAGACACGGGAAGCTAGAATTTTGTATTTTGCTTGTTGCAGGACAGAGCACAACCTCTTCTCGGTTAATTCTTTTTTGTCACATGTTGATTGTCTCCCTTGCAATAACCTGTCAGGTTGCACTTCTTGCTACCTCTTCTCATCATATTGTAACCACAAAGGGGATCAGCAGTACAAGTTGATCCCTCAGGACATATGATATGCACATGATAAAATTTTCAAAAAGAAGACTTTGCGTCTCATTGGAAGTTGTCGCTTGGAATTAAGAATCCCAGGAAGACTTTGCATTTTGTCAGATGATGCTGCTTGAATCAAGCATTTCTAACTCGCAATCCAATTTAGTCTTGGCAGTGAATTATGGTTCCAAGTGCTATTCATCAGGCCCTAGTTAGATTGTGGTTGATTGATCATATAATGTGCTGGATCTAAGAAACCTAGTGTTTGTTATGATCATATAACATGCTGGATCTAGGAAACCTAGTGTTTGTTAGTCCACTTTAGGTCATTGCATTCACCAATTATTTTTCTTGTTAATTCCGTTCATTGCATTCACCACTTATGGATGTCACATTTAACCTTTTGAGCGAAATGATCTAACTTGGTCGAATGTTGGCTTAATTTTCAGTTTTCATCTTGATCATGCTGCATCGCTTCCATACTTCTTGGAAAAGGTGTGCACCATTTTTTTTCTTGAGAGATTTCATAACCATACTTTTTCATGCTCACATGTTTAAAATGTATTCCAGACTACGTTTAAAGGTCGGGTTTTCATGACTCATGCTACAAAGGCTATTTACAAGCTTCTTTTGTCGGACTATGTCAAAGTGAGCAAAGTTTCAGTTGAGGATATGCTCTATGATGAGCAAGACATACTTCGCACGATGGATAAAATTGAGGTATTACATCTTTAGAATATTGTTTAACACTACTAATGTTGTCTTTTCACTGTCTTTTTCATTAGTTAATTTTTGCTTGAAATTGATTGGATGATTTCTCCAGAAGCATCTGTTTGTCTTTTGCCTCATTTGGATGATTACAGTAAACACGATGGGCAACTTAAACCACTATTTCCATTTCAGGTTATTGATTTTCATCAGACTGTGGAAGTAAATGGGATTCGCTTTTGGTGCTACACTGCTGGTCATGTCCTAGGCGCTGCCATGTTCATGGTTGACATTGCTGGTGTCCGGGTGCTCTACACTGGAGACTACTCCCGTGAGGAAGATCGCCATCTCCGTGCTGCTGAAATCCCCCAGTTCTCACCGGACATCTGTATCATTGAGTCCACATATGGCGTGCAGCTCCACCAGCCCCGCCTTATACGGGAGAAACGATTTACGGATGTCATCCACTCGACAATCTCTCAAGGCGGTCGTGTGCTCATCCCTGCTTTTGCTCTTGGCAGAGCCCAAGAGTTGCTCCTTATCCTTGATGAGTATTGGTCGAACCACCCTGAGTTCCATAACATTCCGATATATTATGCCTCTCCCCTTGCCAAAAGGTGCATGGCTGTCTATCAGACCTACATAAATGCAATGAATGAGAGGATCAGGAACCAATTTGCAAATTCGAACCCCTTTGACTTCAAGCACATTTCTCCATTGAAGAGCATAGAGAATTTTGATGATGTTGGTCCCTCAGTTGTGATGGCAAGTCCAGGTAGCTTACAAAGTGGTCTCTCGAGGCAACTATTTGATAAATGGTGCTCAGATAAGAAAAATGCTTGTGTGCTTCCTGGGTATGTAGTGGAGGGTACTCTCGCCAAAACTATCCTCAATGAGCCCAAAGAAGTCACCCTCATGAATGGTCTCACTGCTCCTCTTAACATGCAAGTATACTACAACTCTTTTTCAGCTCATGCAGACTTTGCACAGACAAGTGCTTTTTTAAATGAGCTTATGCCACCAAACATAATTCTTGTACATGGAGAAGCCAATGAGATGGGAAGGCTTAAGCAGAAGCTTATAGGCCAATTTGCGGATAAAAATACAAAAATCATGACACCTAAGAATTGCCAATCAGTAGAGTTGTACTTCACTTCTGAGAAGATGGCTAAAACTATTGGAAGGCTAGCTGAGAAGACACCAGAAGTAGGAGAAACAGTTAGTGGCTTACTTGTCAAGAAGGGTTTTACATATCAGATAATGGCACCGGATGATCTTCATGTCTTCTCTCAGCTTTCTACTGCAAACATTACCCAGAGGATATCCATCCCTTATTCTGGTGCTTTTTCAGTTATAAAGCATAGGCTGAAGCAAATATATGAAAGCGTTGAGGCTCCTATAGAAGAGCCTGATGTACCTACATTGATTGTGCATGACAGAGTGACAATACGGCAGGAAACGGAGAAATATGTGACAATGCAGTGGCCATCTGACCCAATTAGCGATATGGTATCTGACTCTGTGGTTGCTATGATCTTGAACATCAGCCGAGAAGGTCCAAAGGTAACAGCTGTTGCAGAAGCTGAGAAGACACAAGAAGAGATGGAGAAAATGGCCCATAAAGTCATCTACAGTTTACTGGTTTCCCTTTTTGGGGACGTCAAGGTTGGAGAGGAAGGAAAGTTGATTGTCACTGTTGATGGGGACGTCGCACGGCTGGATGGAAAGAATGGTGAAGTAGAGTGTGATAACGAGGGTTTAAAGGAGAGGGTGAAAACAGCATTCCGGCGGATCCAGAGTGCTGTGAGGCCTATCCCACTTTCAGCATCCTGATTCATCTTGTTAAGGAATGACGGTTCAAAGGAGAGGGTGGAAACAGCATTTCGGCGGATAGAGTACTGTGAGGCCTATCCCACTTTCAGCATCCTGATGCATATTGTCAAAGAAACTCTGAGCTCACCATGTTCCGTGCAATAGTCTCAGATGTACTGTTAGAATCCATCCTGATGCATATTGTCAAAGAAACTCTGAGCTGACCATGTTCCGTGCAATAGTCTCAGATATACTGTTAGAATCCATTATCGTTATTGTAACATTATTGTTTCTGAGTTTCCTTATATGACATTTGACAGTATTTTTCATCGTCGCTAACCTTTTGGTTGTTGTATGTGGATGACCTCTTGTTGGATGTTGGTTGCATGTGGATGATGATTGATAGAAAATTTTGCACCTGTTGCTTTGTATGTACCCGAAGGGGTGTTTATCTTGATTCTTTGGTCATGTTGGTATATCCGATTAAACTTATGAAGAGTGGGATTCTCCATCAGATCTATGAGGCCTCTTAATTTCTTCTGCTAGCAAACAATTTGTGCTCTGTGTTGGGTTGATTGCTTTGCTGGCAGTTTTATCTCACTCTCCCATTCTCCATTTGGGATGATTCTTAGCGTTCGTTGCTTGATTTGGTGTTTGCAATGTTGCGTACTCTGTTTGTGTTTCTGTACAGTGAACACCGAGGATCATAACCAAGATCTATTAAACTTCAGCAAAAACCAACATCAATCCCTATAGCTTGAATTCATCTAAGAGCTTCAGTCTCAGCCTTTACCGAGCTTGAGAACTCAGGATCATTAGATCTATTGGCACTAACCGGGCTGAAACGAGCCATCTAAGAAAAAGTTTCAAGAGAAAAGACCTCTGTACAAGTATAAATGTTAAAGCAACAAGAGGGATCTAGCTTCCGTGATAATAAATGCTAAACAAGCTATTTTTCATGGCAATGATGGTGAGAAAACCTCTGCAAAGAATTTATGAGAATTAGAATAAGAGAGCCGCTGACATGAAATGCAAGCAGAATCATTCTTAGATGGTCATCTTGACCGTCTGACATCTTTGTTTCTAGAAGTAATAGCAGAAACAACAATAGATAGAGCACAAACCAATGCTGAAACAAAAGTAACACTGGATACAATGCCTCTGTGTGCATCATTCCCAGAAGGAACACGCCACATGACTGCCTCTGCAGGCCCAGCATTGACTTCAGTGAGTCTCCACAAACACGGTTCTGACTGAGCTTCCTTTGACCTGCAATGCAGAAACAAATCCGGATGTCCCAATTGGACTTCTGCATAGCCACTATCATCAAGGGGCTGCAAGAGAAATGACATGTTTCAGGAATCCTAATTGAGTTTGGTAATTGGAAGAGTTTGAAAAGCAAACAAATACAACATAAAAGGCATTTACAAAAGGAAATAAGCTTGATTCCAAGCCCAGATTACAGTAAGTTCATGCTTCTTTTAGGATATTTAGCACCTCTGTGCAAAGGTATTGTGTTATTGTAGAATGCTGATAGGCCTGACTTCACGGAAAGGAGAAACATTGTAACAGATCATCCAAAAGTATTCAGGAAGCATGAGAACATGATACTGGGAAGCTGGCGGAAGTTCAAGAGTTAATATAAGTCTTCAATGAAAGCTGTGGAAGTAGAATATGGAAGAGGTACCTTAAATGACATACATGCTTGCCATGTCAAAATTTACTTCTAAGTTTCTGCTAAGGTAGCTTTTTTCAGCCAGTCCAGAGAAAGAAAAAAGCTTGCTTAGTCAGCTCCTAATTTTCCTGGTGTTTGCTAGTAATCTATTGCAACCATTTCATTAGTAGTCAGGCATTCAAATCTACAGCTGCCGAGATGCTTAAAGCAGATACAGGAGACATATACTGGAACTACCTCATCTTAAAAGAAAAATGAAATGATAATTTAGCTGGCACAATAATCAACAATCTCATAGACTGTTGAAACAATAGCAGCTTCTGATGACACTCCTTCCAGCTTGATGATCATCCTCTGCGTGATGGAGGAGAGTTCACATAGAAATGAAACTCAAGGTTGCTATAGTCATCTTATTTAACAAGACTCCTCTCCTAGGCACAAGCACATGAGATCACAAACATGTGAAGATGCAGAATGCCTCTAACAACAAGACAATGGAGTGCAAAAAGTGTATAAGAACAAAAATCAACTAAGCTTTTCCCAAAGGTTCATTTTAGTTAAAGACTGACTCAAGATGCCTTAGCACAAGGAACAAATGCTGATATTTTACTCTAAAATTCCTAATTTCTGTTTAAAGCTCCAAAGGCATTTTAGGGGGCACACGATTTGTGTAAATCTGGAAAATAGTTGGCATAGCTTAAAGATTTATAGTGTAAATTTTAGCTTGTTGACTGATGATTGTAAACTCCCATGTCCTAGGAACATGGTTTCCAAATTTACAGTTTAAAAGAATAGGTGAATGAGAATATGAGATAGAAATGTGAAAAATCTTCCAGTTGCATGCATTAAATATACAGAAAGAATTTTCTATCCTAGTAGATAACTAATGTTATGGGATCACAAGATGATAATGCCCATAATAATGTAGATACAATTAGAGAAAACTGAGAGATAATTGCCAATACCAGCAATGTCCAAATTGATGCCTATGGAATAATATGATTAAACTCAAAAAATGTTGGATCTAAAGTCATCCATTCATTCACTACATAATTATTGAACTAAATTTAGCGATCAGTGACAGAAGTAAAACACAGGGAACTTGTTATCAGAAGCAACTGGTTTCTTGTGCATCTATTTTCCTTCATTACTATAAAATTATAGCACTGGGTTGCAACTTGCAAACTGCACAATAATGAAGCAAAATACAAACTTGCAAAGGAAGGTCAAGGAATCCAATAACAGTTAAGTCATCTCAGATTATTCTCAGAATCATCACTAAAGTCTGCCATAGAAATAGCCAACCTAAAATATGATTCTCTTAGTAAGTCAGGAGTCCGTGGAGCATTTAGTTTGAATTGAAAAAACTTGGTGAACTAAGATACATAATCAGGTTGCTTAGTGTCTTTCAGTTTAATTTTTATAAATGCCATATTTGCAGGACCTTTTTCTGCAAAATTTTTGTTTGTCTTCAGTTAGTGTAGAAATTAATCAAACTAAAATATCTGTTACTTCTCAGAAGTGCTTCTGTTTTGAGCTCACCGGGTATCTAGCATGCAGAGGAAGTTCCAGTACAGTTTCATAGCCCCTCAAAGGATTCTCATGGCCAATATTCATGTGAACCTCAACAATTGATCTGTTGGAGAGTGCAGAGGGCAATTCCAAATTTGTGTCTCCGAAAACAGCAGCGTCCACAAAAACTGCAAGAATTGATGAGGATGTAAAGGTTAGACAAAGAATAAAATAATTGGAAATGGTTTGTAGTGCACTTTTTGTTGTTGACCTTTGCGGTGGACAAGATGCTGTAGCTCAAATAAATCAGCAAAAACACCGATTGGAAGTCTCTCGATTATTACTGCTTTGCAGTCGTGAGAGTCAAGCAAAGACCTAATGTATGATCTGTTCATGAATTTCAAGGTGGATATTAAGTGACGATGAGATCCTTCACCATGAAGTCGTCGCTGGAGATCTGAAAGTTGAAGCAAGCTAATTTCACTAGCCATCCCTTTACAGAAGTCACCGGAACTATACTCTCCAGCTAGATAATCATGACAATCTGAATCAAACAGGCTTTTCTGTTGTGCAAAGTATGAACTAGTAAGATATGCTTCAGAGAATGGCCAACAGCCAACAAGTCTCTGACTGCTTTTTCCAACATGGTCAGAAATCTTATTATAACTGTCCACCTGGCACAAATACGACAATACAGAGCTCAAGATAGTCTGTGGATGAAAGTAACTGCCAAAATAATGATAGACACAAATATTATGTGACCAAATTAAAAAAATTAACAAAAATGATCATTCTAAATAAAATGTAAACAAAAAACTTAAAACTCCAAATTATATGAAAAAGCAAGTGAAGCTAGATGAGACTTCCTGCAGTCAATGCCAGATACTTCAGCACAAAATTGTAAACAAGCTAACCTTCACATGTGAGCTTTTGTGAATGATCTGTGCTAATGCTACAGTAATATAACATACCAGAACAAAGATTTTGGAAACACAGGTAGCATCATGGTTTCTGTAGTATAGTTGTCGATACTAACAGTTACAGATTCACTTTTATTGTGCACTGGGGATATTTTGCATTCAATTAAGGTATGTACTTAAGTTCTTATAGTTTTGAGCACACTCAGTGGCAGTTAAGTATTAGACATCTTTTGCCCCTTAACTCTGCAATTAACTTGACAAAATCCTACTAGATATCATAACCCTACTGGATATCATGTGTGTTTAACTTTAGAAAAGCAATAGGAGGCAATTCATTTTGCATTGTTAATATTCTGTATCATAAGGAGATTTGCTAGCTTTCCTTGAGCAAGGACCATTTTTTTGGCATTGCTATATTATCCATCATATTGAGATTCTTTAGTTCTCTTCATAATATGAAGTGTTCAATCTTGTGAATAGAATAATAATTTTATCAGAATCAAAGATGCAAAGTTCTCAATTTTTGATAGATCACTGCCCTAATCACTTAGGAAAGCAAATGCTAATAAAATACTGAATGATAGCAATAACCATCGGCAAAACAACCATGAGACATAACAATAGAACTAAACAAAGAAATCTTCTGTAATCCTGACCTTGATAAGTGATGAAACGATGAAGATAAGACCAAATACCATAAGTTTCTGGTCTCTAAGATGCCATAGGATGTCCCTAATGAATGATAACATCTCTGTATAGAAAGGCATTAAATTGATGTTAGTACAGATATGACTAATTATGGTTTAAAAGTTGAACAACCTAAAGATCTTTAGACGGATATAAAAGAGATAGAAGAATGGAAAGGGTGTGATGAAGTGGGTCAGAGAGGAATAGGACTCCTTTCATTAAATCTAATGCTACTCCTAATCGTTGCAAGTTGGTCTACTCCTGATGGTAGATAAGGACTTACAGTAGAACTTCGCCGATACACTAAAAACTAACGTACAAGTATTGCCTATATCATATCTATTTATTTTCTTTGTGATCTTATTTGAACAAAACTTTAGTATTCCAAGATCTTCATTTTCTTCCTTCTTCCTCTAATGAATCTTAGTTCTACCTTTGAAGGCTTGCCAGAGCAGCCATGTTTTATTGCTTCCGTTCTGTGTCACGGCACATCTTGAAATCTGCACTTTGTGGATTTTGCCTAAGACATGATGCAGATAGTCCTTCAACAAAAACTATAAACAGGTAAGGGGACAAGGATCCGCTTGCCTTTAACCTCTCTCCATCCTGAGAATCTCAACGGAAAGCGACAGAACGAGTAGAAACATAGCCCGTCACCAGTCCAATGTTAATGAAATATAAATTTTCTCGTATCATTTCACGGGCTACTCTATTCTACCATAAATTTTGAAGCATGACAAAACTCTAAAGCACTATCACATCTTTTATTATAGCTTCCAGACTTCATGTTAGAGGAACCAACTGCAATGAAACTTTCAGATTTCATGAATTTATAAGACAAGGTATCTCTTCCTATCCCATTATGTACAAGCTTGGAAGTAGCTCCAGGATTCACCTTTCTGTGTGATTGATGGATTAGTCCTCACCTCTTAAGCTAATGTTTCCTAATCTGTTTGGGATTAATTCTAATAGGAAGGCAGAAAGTGCAAATCTTGTAAAGAGAGGCAAGATTGATCGGGACATTGTTTTCATTTATGACGCGAACCTTGGAACACCTATGACTGGGCTCTGCGTTGGCGGACCAAAGGTGCGAAATATTCCTCCAGATCCATGAATACGATGACGAGATCCAGGGCTTATTATGACCCCTTAAGAGATAGAAGTGAGAGAAAAATAGCAAAGCGGCAGCAGAAGGAGAGGAGAAGAGGGAGACTCACTAATCGGCGTCGCAGCAGCGGCGGAAATGTGGAAGAGGAGCCGAACGAAGACGACGGCCCGATCTCTGTCGCTCAAGATCCAAAGAATACCCTAAAACTGGGCCCTGTATTGCTCCTGGGCTTAACAGAAAGCCCAACACAAAATGTTTCGCTTTACGCAACGACTCATGTCCCGACTCGATGACCTCGTGGATGCGCGCCACGTCCCTCGATCGTTACGTAAGTAGCGACGGAAGACGCACTTCTTGCACGATCTCAGAACACGACGAAGCGAGAAGAAGAACAAATCTGCAACGCTCTCTCGGTTTATGTGAACAGATTTGTCGCGACACAAGTACGTGAAACAGCCTGAGGCGCGACTCTGCCCCCGGCGCTGTCCATGTCTTTCAGCTATGGCCAGACCGAATCATAAGCTTTCGACAACGAAGTCAAATCTCCGCTGGTGGTAGTGTGCGTGCGGTGCAGCGGGCGCTGAGGAGGGCAACGCATCAGTGGGTGGTACCGTCGACATGGTGCTCCCATCTCGAGGCCATATCACCGTCTTCCTACAGCTGCCGTCCGTGAATCCAGCTGTTCGCGGCCTTGGCTCCGTTCAACGAGGACGCTTGTGTTTAATACTATTGTTGTTAATGAACTGCTCCTTTGTTGCCTCGTTTTTAATTCTTCCTCTCTCGGTGCGCGCGGCGAACGAGACCTCGAAACGGGTGCGAGTCCAGGAACGGAGACCTCGCCTCGGGGAGGTAGGCAGAGCATCGATTCGAACCATGGTCATCAGCTACTTCCGGAGCTTCCTCTTTCCTTCTACTTGTGATGATCAGCTTTGTTGCAGCGATTAATGGAGCACTATTCTCTGCTACTGCTGCTTTTCTTCTCCTTCTTGTTTTGGGTCCAAATGGTGCGTTCCTCGGACCCTCTTCTTTCTCCCAAAGGCGTCAACTACGAAGGTACGTGGCCGCACACTCTCATTGCTTTACTCTCTCCATGGAATGGCAGACGGGTTCTTTTCCTTTTGTCTTTTTCTTTGGATTTATGCAACAAAATGACTTGTGGGAATGTAACTTCGGAAGCAGTGGCGGCTCTGATGTCCGTGAAGAGTCGGATGAGGGATGAGGCCGGGGTGATGGACGGGTGGGATATCAATTCGGTGGACCCTTGCACATGGTTCATGGTCGGCTGCTCCTCCGACGGATTCGTCATCTCCCTGTGCGCATTACTCTCCCGCTGCTGCTGCCTCTTTCTTTTTCCCCTTAACTTGGGGTTCTTTATTTACTGGCGTTGGGTGAACAGGGAAATGGCGAGCAATAGTTTGTCTGGGACTCTGTCTCCAAGCATTGGCAACCTAAGTCACTTGCAAACCCTGTGAGTAGTCCAAAGATTTCTGCCTTACTTTTCGGTCTCCTGCCAATCTCCATCGCATTTTTAGATGAGTTAAAAGTGGTGTACAAGTTTGGGCTACTAGTAAATTAATGTTTTGTCCGAAGGTCTGGGTATTGCCTTAAGCCACTTGACAGATGAGTAGCAAGTGTAAATCTTTGGTTAGATTCTTTGTTAAAAGTCTCGAGAGGTCAAGGATACAACCTAAGTCATCAATGTTCATGGCTGAATCGAATGTGATTGAACAGGTACCTAAAAAAAGAAAGTAGACAAAAGATTGTAAGAGATCTGTTGGTCAAGACATGAGTATCTAGTGTTCCCATTATTTGCATAGCATTTACAAATATGTAACTCGAGTACTGAAGATATCTTTGATTTCAGGCTATTGCAAAATAACAAAATTTTAGGTACTGTTCCTCCAGAAATAGGGAAGTTGTCACAGCTGAAGACTCTTGATATTTCCAGTAACCAGTTTACTGGGGAAATTCCAAAGTCGCTTGGGCTTCTGACTCAATTAGTTTACTTGTAAGTGAAAATTTTGAACTCAGTAGGGCTTTGTTTAGAGAAATTGATGTTTTTGATGTTGTTATGCTACTCTGTCCTGCTTTAGGCGTCTCAACAGGAACAATTTGTCTGGTCAGATTCCTGAGGCTGTTGCTAATCTTTCAGGTCTTTTGTTCTTGTATGTACCCTGTCGAACTATTTTACATTTCTCCTTTTATTTGCTAAGTAAAACTTATAATTGTAAACTATTTCAGAGATGTCTCATATAATAATCTCACTGGACCAACTCCAAAGATCCTTGCAAAAGATTACAGGTGGGAAGGATGACCTCAGATTAGATATAATTCATTTTTTTTCTCCTGTTTTATGCTTTTGTTTTTCACTGGCTTTTGAAACTGATTGACATTATGATGGCTTGAATTAAGATTAACTATCTTGATTTAGTATAATCTCAATTATTTGTTTTTTTCATTATTTTGTCTTCTCTTGTTTAAATATGGTTCTATATCAAATTTTTAAAAAAAGATGACTTGCTATATCATGTCTTTATCTTGATATCGGTTCATGCAATTAGACATGATATATCACTCCTATAATTACCTAAGGAATTTTGAGTTCCAACCTTCAGTTGTCAACTTTCAGCAGACCTTCGGTTGGCTTATAGTAACACAACCTTTATGATGCAATTTATGTTTTCTATATAAATATTCTATTGAGATGGCAAATACCATCTGCAATTATGTCAAATCAAAAATGCATATGGTCAACCTCGTGAAGGAATCCGAGGTAAACATTACTGGAAATCAACATAATTAACCTGGTATGGAGCAGAGACCTTTTCGACTAGCCAACCTTTTTAGGTTTTTGGTTCTGAGTGATCATTTTTCGTCGAATCACTTCAGTTTTGGAATTCTTTTTCTTATTGTGTTTCTCTGATTTTTCTGATTAACATTCTATGACATTCTTCTATTGAAACTTTAGTAACCGTAACTTTGTACGTATAGTGTTGCAGGTAATATTTTTCTTTGCAACACATCTCTCTTACATGGTTGTGCAGATGTACCCGTACAATTCAATGGTATTTCACTTGCTAAATAGGATGTTGTTACTTACCATAGCTTATCATCAGAGGCACTGATCTGTGTTTGTTTGACTTGCAGAAACTAAAACTTCAGGACAAACAAACAACCATCAGTTAGCAGTTGCGATTCCTCTAAGTGTTGGTTGTACCTTAGTACTGTCTTTGCTGCTACTTGTTTTCTGGTTATGTTGCTGCAAATGGAGTATGCACTTTGCAGCTGACGGTATCCTTCAAGCACCCTATTTGATAATCATGAAGAACACAATGCATGCTCACCAATTACTGATTTCTCTGCAGATCTGGACTATGAGTTTGAAATGGGCCACTTGAGGAGATTTTCATATCGTGAACTTCAAGCTGCAACAGAAAATTTTAATGCTAAAAATATATTAGGACAGGGTGGATTTGGAGTTGTTTATAAAGGCCATCTTAGAAATGGAACCATGGTGGCAGTGAAAAGATTGAAAGATCCCAACTTTACTGGAGAAGTCCAGTTCCAAACAGAAGTTGAGATGATTGGCCTAGCTTTGCACAGGAACTTACTACGTCTATATGGTTTTTGCATGACCTCAAATGAGAGACTGCTTGTTTATCCTTTTATGCCAAATGGGAGTGTTGCTGATCGTTTAAGAGGTAGCTGCATCTATTTGGTTCTCTAGCAACATGATATGGATACATGAACTTAGTAGCTATATAACTTGATGAATCTCATTAACTTGGCGATTCTTATTATGTTCAAGCTCTGGAACTAACTCATCATGGCTAAATCTACTTATGTTTTGGTTTTTGGTTGCATAATTTTTTTAAAATCTGATGTAAGAAACCCTTTCTTTTTTATGAAAAAACAGCCTTAGGAACTTCATCACCTTATACATGATGAGGAACAGGTTTGACATGAAGCTGTTAAAGGATTATTCTTGAAGATTTTTATGATTTGTTTTCCAGTTCAAATTTGTTTCTCTTGGTGGATTTTACAATTGAGCATCGCTCAGATAAGCCGAAATGCAACTTATTGTGGCTTGAGTTGAAATTTGCACTCATTTGCCTTCCAAAATTGGTGTGGTCAAAGATAATTGGCTTTTGTTTACTTTCCTTGAGTTCCTTCTTTAAGTAGGTATAGTTATTATTTGCAGATCGTTGTCAAAGTAAACCATCCTTGGACTGGAACAAGCGCATGCGAATTGCAATTGGAGCTGCTAGGGGTCTTTTATATTTGCACGAACAGTGCAATCCAAAAATCATTCACAGGGATGTTAAAGCTGCAAATATTTTACTTGATGAAAGCTTTGAAGCAGTTGTTGGGGACTTTGGATTGGCAAAACTGCTTGATAGAAGGGAATCTCATGTCACAACTGCTGTCCGTGGCACCGTAGGACACATTGCTCCAGAGTATCTTTCTACTGGACAGTCCTCAGAGAAGACTGATGTGTATGGATTTGGCATCTTGTTATTGGAGATGATAACAGGACAAAAGACCATGAGCTCTGGAAATGGTAATGTCCAGAAAGGAATGATCCTCGACTGGGTAAGATTTTTGTTGAAGGAATATCTGCAATTTTTCCTTGTATGTTTGCCTTTATCCTTTTGCTTAACCACATGGAGTTTAACAAGTACTTGACAGAATGAGAAATGTCTTTTCTATAATAATTCTTATGTCATTGTTCCATTCATTAACAATATATAACTAATACTTGTATAATTGCTGCTGCATTATTTATTTATTTCCTTTTTGAGCATATATCATATAGGTACACATAATTTTATACTTCTCTGTTTACTAGGGAAGGAATCTGCTATAACTGGTGATATAGCTGATAAGTTGAATAGTTATTTTCAACATTCATTGAGTTAGGTTGCTATTTAGATTAGATATCAGGCTTAGTTGCAGCATGTTGGTGTATCTCATACATTCCTAGTTGGCTGTTTAATTAAACTTACATCTCAATCAGCTACATAACAGATCAAAGTCAGGTTCATTGCCTATCGGAAGTCAAATTTGACATGAGCTATTTGGATTAATCTTGTTTGTTATGTTCTGATTTGTTATTTCAACTATCAAGCATACATCATGTATGTAGTGACATACGTTTCTTTTGATTTTGAACTCCTATGCAGCACACTACTGCATTTGAACTTCTCTGTCATGTGATGCTACAGTGATTTTTTACTGACCATCAAAAGTTAATTATAATCATCAAAGGATTAGCCAAGTAAAGAAGAAACTACATTAAGACAAGGCTTTTGTTGGAACTGCATATTTCGATCTCCTAGATTTGATGTTCGAGTGTCATTATAAATCTTGCCATGACTGAAAAAAGGTATGTTGAACCAATCCCATACATGCATATGGACTGTCGGACATGGCATCAGCTTGGATTATCAAGTTAAATTAGGTTTTAGCCTGCTCTAATTTCTAACTGATATTGAACTGCTACGATGTTAGTAAGTAGGTCTGCAACAATGAAGCCGACTTTTAAGGAAGCATGGTTAGGAGCCAATAATAAGTGACTTTCTGGCACCCGAAGCACTCAAATTAGATAATGAACAATGGTTTGCTATAACATACGGTGTGTGATCAGAGTAGAAAATAAAGACATGAAGATTATGTGGTTGGTCATTTAAACCTATATCCACAGGCAAAGCTGAAGATGAGCTTTCAGAAAAAATGAGAAAAAAATATTACAAAATTGGACATTCTGCAAACTCCACCACTCTAAAATTTCTTAGTTAGGTGATGTATGCTGCAGACCAAATTATAAGGCACTCCTAACATGTACATAACCAGCACAGGCTGAATTCCTTTGATCCAATGATTTGGTAGTTTGTGTTGTATTCCCTTTCAATCATAACGGAACTTGGTATGGAGTTAAAGAGCTGCCTTATTACTGGCTATTGATTGGTGAACTAATGGCTGTGCAGGTCAAGACCTTACATGAGGAGGAGAGAGTCCATGAAATGGTTGATAGGGATCTTAATGGTTCCTTTAGTGCAGCTCAACTGGAAAATGCTGTTGATGTTGTTCTTCTCTGCACTCAGTCTAATCCCAGCCTCCGGCCGAAGATGTCTGAAGTTGTTAAGGCACTTGAATCCATTGCCAGGCCAGCTGAACAAACTGAAGAATCGAACGGCGAAATAATTTACGGGAGGTCTTGCAGTTTCTCAAGAAGTTTTGATGGTGCTAATGAAGCATCTTCTTTCATCATCGAGGCGATAGAGCTCTCAGGACCCAGATGACCTGCACCGTGAATCTGTTATTCGATTCCTGTTTTGTTTATCAGATAGCAAGATTGGTTAACCCATACACCACGGACAAGAGCGTCCGATCATTTTGGCTGTTGGAGTGATAGAAACTGTACATACAGATGAGGTTGCTGAAACGTTTGAGCTTGTCTAGCAGTCTGCTATGAACAATGTGAATCAACTTGAGCTACTTGTGCACTTGTCAATCACTCGTTTGATCATTTTGCTGCATTCTTTCTTTTCTCTTGTTGTAACATAATTGCCATCATGTCATGAGGTCTTGACTTCTAAACAGATGAGCCTCAATTAGTATATGAGCTACTGGGTTGTAAACAAGTGCAAGAGACAGAACACTAGTCAACTCAGCAATTTTCGTTGTTTAACCCAGAGCAAGGTTCATACCGCTGGGCCAAATGGCCCGACAGAGGCGTGTGAAATCTAATAAATAATTTTTCTTTATAGAGAAAATGCTCTGATCCTTTTGGCATGATGAATGAGCGTCGGAATCAATCTCCGCCAAAGACTTGAATGGCGGCTACGTACCCACCACACATGTCTTTCAACGACACGACAGGGACCGAATCAGATCTACGTCAGAATCTGCTGACGTAAATGAGCTTTGTCTGTGCGTCACGCGAATCTTACTCCCACATTTTGTCTTCACGTTATTATCGTGATCTACCACAGATAGAGAGAGGGCAGCATTCACGCAAGTTTCTTAAAGAAGTAATTTGTTTTGGTTACATAAAACAGCAGGCACCGAGGAGTTACTGCGGTGTTCATTTCTTGGGCTAAAAGGTTGAGCAGTCGGGAGAAAGAAGCTAAACCGTGGCTGATTGGCATATTTCTTCTCCTCTTGATGAGCATTAGGAATAGTTCTTTGCTTAAATCTCTCCACTGTAGCAAAGAGAGTCCGGATTCCTTTTCCTTGACCCAAGTAGACCCTAGGAATATCAGGTGGCAAGGCAAGTGATTCCTTTACACCACCACAATGTCTATAAACAGATCTCCATGGTGTGTTGCTCAGTCTCCATGCACATCAATGTCAATCTTTTGGACCTCAAAAGGGGCTCAAAACCTCTTCTCATGAGATACTCATTGATGGGATTTGAATACTTGGGAGTCTTGGTGAGTTGGTTCTTTAGCTCTGTCTCTCTCTCTCCCTCTCTCCATGACCTTGGATTTTTCTCACAGGTAGGTTGACGTGCGGACCCTCAGCACCGGCGGCAATGTCATTCTGACCACAAGCCGCAAGCAAACCAACCTGTGGAAGATGGTCTCGGTTCCTCTGTTGGCTCTGTGTTTCTCCGTTAGCCTGGTTGGGACCGTGGCTGGCAGCGGCAACATTGCCTCTTGGCCGAGTGCTGTCAACGTAGGGGCTCTTTTCACCTTCGATTCGACGATAGGGAGGGCGGCGAAGCTGGCCATCGAGCTGGCCGTCGAGGATGTCAACAGCAGCCCGAGCGTTCTCGCTGGGACGAGGCTCAACTTGTATGCGCAGGACACCTACTGCAGTGGGTTTTTTGGGATTATAGAAAGTATGTGAAGTGACATATAACTTATAAGCAGAATCATTTCCCTATTTTATAGATTGATTGTGCCTCTTGTTATTTGAAGCCTTTAGCTCATGTTTTTCCAGTGAAGTTTTTGACAATCCATATATTCTCGCTGACATAATTTTTTCGTGTCGAGTTGTTCTTGTGTCTTCTGATTGAAACTTTCTTCCTTTTCTTTCTGTTTTGTTGCTGTTTGTCACTAATATCTTCAGTCTCGGCGTTTATTCTAGAAATTTTTAGATAGTCCTGGTGACTTTTGACAAGAAATACTTTGACAGGATTTAGTTTGAGATGGAATTTGTTTAGATTCATTGTAGAACATGTAATGCGCTGTTACAATATCAAGGGAATCATGTCCTTGTTCCACCATTCAGATAAGCAAATCTGGTTCGGTACCATTAAAGTTCCTAAGAAATTTGTTGTCTTTTGGTGATTGGAACATTGCAAGAGTCTGATGAGGAAAAATCTTGGATTTTGCAGGCTTGCAGCTGATAGAGAAAAATGTGGTGGCCATCATTGGTCCACAGTCCTCTGGGATTGCCCATGTCGTCTCTCATGTTGCAAACGAACTCCATGTGCCACTTCTCTCATTTGCAGCTACGGACCCAGCCCTTTCTTCTCTCGAGCATTCTTATTTTATACGCATGACTCAAAGTGACTATTTCCAGATGAATGCCATAGCTGATTTGGTTGGAAACTATGGTTGGAGAGAGGTCACTGCGATCTTCACAGATGATGACTTCGGGAGAGGTGGAATAGATGCTTTGGGTGACGCACTTGCGAAGAGACACACTAAGATCTCCTACAAAGCTGCCATCCCTCCTAATGCCAACGAAAGTGCTATTGATGATTTGTTGGTGAGAGTAAACTTCATGGAGTCTCGAATTTATGTCGTTCATGTGAACCCTGATTCTGGTCTTAAAGTTTTCTCCATTGCAAAATATCGTGGTATGATGGCTACTGGTTATGTATGGATCACATCAGATTGGCTTACTTCTGTTTTAGATTCATTTGGTTCCCCCAATCCTGATACCATGGACCTTATCCAAGGGGTCATTGCTCTTCGTCAGCATGTCCCAGATTCTGATGTCAAGCAATCATTTATATCAAGATGGAGTGATATGCGTCGGAGAGGTAATACCACGTCAAGCTTGAACACATATGCATTGTATGCTTATGATTCAGTTTGGTTAGTTGCCCATGCTATCGACCAGCTCCTCAAAGGAGGACAGACATTTAATTTCTCTGATGATCCTAAGTTGCAAGATGCAAATGGAAGTTCACTGCATTTGACTGCAATTAAGAACTTCAACACCGGGGACAATTTGCTTCATGAGCTGCTGCTGACGAAGTTTACAGGCCTGACCGGTCAAGTTCAGTTCGATTCAGATGGCAACTTGATCCATCCAGCCTATGATATCCTTAATATTGGAGGGACAGGTTTCAGGAGAATAGGATTTTGGTCCAATTATTCGGGTCTTTCAGTTATTTCTCCAGAAAGTTTGTACAGTAAACGACCAAACACTTCCGACGGTAGTCAGCAGCTTTATAGTGTCATTTGGCCTGGAGAAACTATGACAACGCCTCGTGGTTGGGTGTTTCCCAACAGTGGAAAGTCTCTAAGAATTGGAGTTCCTTACAGAACAAGCTTTACAGAATTTGTATCTAAAGATAACGGCCCTGACAATGTGAAGGGATACTGTATTGATGTGTTTAAAGCTGCAGTCAACTTGTTGCCTTATCCAGTTCCATTGTCATTCATTCTGTTTGGAAATGGTTCTAAGAATCCAAGCTACGATGAATTGGTGGAGAAAGTTCATGAAAATGTGTGTATTGCCCTTGTATCGAAATTATGCTTTAGTATTCTATTCAAACTCCTTTACTGCTTTGTAAATTAGAAAATGCCTTCATCTGTTGTCATTTGCATATTTGATAAATCGCCATTCTTATAATGATTCTCAGAAAAATCTTAACTTATTTACTTGCATGTTTAGTACTTCGATGCAGCTGTGGGGGACATATCTATCGTGACAAATCGAACGAGGATCGTTGATTTTACGCAGCCATATGCAGAGTCAGGGCTTGTCATTGTTGCACCTGCCAAAGAGCAACACTCAAATGCTTGGGCTTTCCTAAAACCTTTCAACACTACAATGTGGTGCGCCACAGGAGCTTTCTTCCTTTTTGTGGGTTTAGTTGTTTGGATTCTTGAGCATCGTCTGAATCAAGATTTTCGTGGGTCTCCAAAGCAACAAATTGCAACTATTTTTTGGTCAGTATCCTCTACTGCTGAGAGTTATTTTAACTGATGTAATAGACTGATACACTAGAGAAGTTTCCAGTACCTGTTAAAATGTGGATATTACGTGACAGGTCATATTACTGGCAACAAGTCAAATCTTGAAGGCATAAATCCTTTTCTCTATTTTTTCATCTGAACTATGTTCATTCATTTGTTGCCTGACATTCTCGTGAATACACATGTAATATTTTCTATCTTATTATTATGATATTTAATACCATAGCAGGTAGTCTTGGAAGTGTGGGCTTTTTTCTGTAACAGGGACCTTCTTGCATGGTGATTGACGATCGTAGTTGTTCTATAGGAATAGAGGGCTGGACACTCTCATCAGATACTTCTTGGACTCCATGAATTGTACACTGGTTATATGCTTGGGTCTTATTGCTTTTGGCAAAATAAACCATTCCATATGTCCCTTGGCAGTGTGGTTCTCATGCTTTTCAGATGGATAAGAGGCATGTTTCCTTTAAAATCCAAATGTCTACATGCAGACCAATGTGAAAACAAAGGATAAACAACGCATGTGCTTGTACTGATATGTTCTCAGAACATTCGATTAATTGTTCTTGCAATTAACATTGTTGCATTAATGGTTATTTACTGTGCATCCAGCATCCATTTTGTTATTAGCATCTTGATGCCTGAGGTTTTATCTCTGCATAGATGGGGACAGGGTTGATTCTCTGTGTATCTGGGCGTCGCCATGTATCTCAGTTTTAGTACTGTCACATCACCATCTCCTGGCTTAATATTTAACGCAACAGTGAAGCAACTCTCATTTATATTTTCTGCATCTGAAATTCAACATATAGAATAAACTTTTGGCTGGGTATGTCTTCTTCAGCACTTTTAGCGTATGTATTTCACATAATTTTCACTTCACTACATCAAGTCCTGTAAGAATGGACAACATAATGTCGTCCCAATCGTTTTAGGAAGTAATTTTTGGGTTATATTGGGCTCACAGGTGTTTGGTTTTCATGCTTTAGATATGCTGGAGATAATTTTGATTCAGCAACAGGAGTATCAATTAGCCCAACAAAAAAACTCTAACCCATTGGGTGAATCTAAAGTTTGATGACTATTCCAAGGATCCTCTTTTAAGTTCCTGGTTTTAATGTAAACTTTATCATCAAAGTCTCATTATATTCAAGATGGATATGATGCTAGTTGGGTTAAGTTTTGATCTTTTTAATCATTTTCCATCTAATGATTAATGTAAATAGATATACCTCATCTTCGATGGAGTGTCTTAGCAGATGAGCCATGTTATAATCATATGCTGTGGATCCTGTTTTCGTTAATTTTTTGTTAGGCTTTTTGTACTTTTCTTTCCCAGATACTCTAAGACTTTTTAAAATTCCATACTTTTGCAGGTTTAGTTTATCGACGATGTTCTTTGCTCACAGTAAGTAAACCTCATTCACACAACAGTATCAGTAAAATATAGGAATCTGAAAGTTCTGTTCTAAAGCTATGGTTGTTTCAGGAGAAACCACTGTGAGCACCCTTGGACGGTTCGTGCTGATTGTATGGATGTTCGTGGTCTTGATTATCAATTCGAGCTACACCGCAAACCTGACATCAATTCTTACTGTTCAGCAGCTCTCGTCGAGGATTGCAGGCATTGATACTTTAATGTCAGGTTCCGACCCAATTGGATACCAAGTTGGTTCGTTTTCAAAAAACTATATGATCGAAGACCTCAACATAGATGAGTCCAGATTGGTGCCACTTAATGATCCTGACGAATATGCAAGGGCACTTGACCTTGGGCCACGAGGTGGGGGCGTAGCAGCAATCGTCGACGAGCTTCCGTACATTGAAGTTTTCTTGTCTGATAATTGCAAATACATCACGGTTGGTCAGGAGTTCACTAAAAGTGGATGGGGATTTGTATGTGTCGATGTTCAGCAATGCTGCATTACTCTCTGCTTCAAATCTTAAAGACTATTGCGGTATTGAAAGTGATCGCTTTTCTCTTTCAGGCATTCCCAAGAGACTCTCCTCTTGCGCTGGACTTGTCGACCGCCATCTTAACGCTGTCAGAGAATGGTGATCTGCAAAGGATCCACGACAAATGGTTGACACAGAGCGGATGCACTTCTCAGGACAGTGACACTGATTCAAACCAGCTAAGCTTTGCCAGCTTCTGGGGCCTTTTTCTCATCTGCGGTCTTGCTTGTTTGATGGCTCTCATGATCTTCTTCCTGAAGACACTCTGTCAGTATCGCAAATATAGTACTCAAGCTAAAGTTGGGTGTTCTGAATCCGAGAGGAGCGTCGAATGTACAAGTTACATTAAGGAGTTGCTTTCTTTTGTCGATAAAAAGGAAGAAGACGTCAAGAAATTTATGAAGAGTAAATCGAGTGAGAAACAACAACAAAATCAGCAAGATTCTGATGGACAATCCATGTCAAACAAATTCGAGATATAAGTGAAATAATTACTTGGTTGTCAGGAATATATCTGCATGTATAACATAATTTTCTCACTATTTTCTATTCAATTTCACTATATTACTTGAAAAATGCTGTTGACTTAACCTATATTTGTAGGCATCCTTTGAATTTTTTGTTTCTTCATTATTATCCACTCATAAATTGAGGAATTCTGAAAGATGCTATGGATAAAGAAAAGCATGTCGAGGAAAGAAAAAGGGACTTCTTAACTACAAGAAGATCTCAGAATGATTATTTATTGGTCGATGAATGCACATCTCGTCGATCTCATCGTCGCAAACGATTGAAGACACGCCAAGTTGGGGTTATCCACGAGGATGAAGACCGCGGAGGAGTCAACGCTCTCCCACCATAACGACAGCATAACACAACGGTGCAGCGTTACTTCCGACCGTTGTTCTTACCGTCGGGAAGGTACCCGCGCGTCATTATTGTGAGGCGACGGCCGAATTGGACGCGCGAGCGACGAATAGAGATATATTATCGTTGCATGGGTATATAATGAAGCTAATTAGCATCGCTAGAAATAACACCACCCCACGCGTCTTTGGCTCCTCGCCTCTGTTGATGGCCGAACGAGGCCTCCAGCCGTCCGTAGCCGCCGAACCATGACCCGCCTCGGCTGGGCTCGCTTCCTCGGGATCGCCTTCCTCCGCCGCTTCCTCCGCGCCGTCTGGGACCACCTTCTGTACTGCTCCTCGCTCGGCGGCCGCGGCCGGTACCGCCGGCTCAAGGCGTGCGTCCCGCCATCTCATCTCGTGGCGGAGAAGGACGGGAAGCCGACCGCCGCCGTGGGGCGTGCGGCGCTGTGCGCGGACGATGAGGGGGATTCTGACCTGGTGACCTTGAAGATCGGCCTCCTTGGTGACCGCCACACGGGGAAAACTAGCTTCCTGGTACGATAGGTGCATCCAATTGAATCGTGTGCTTCCTATTGATGAGATCTCGTTGCGTTCGGTGGTGGCAGATCAAGTATGTGGGGGATCTGGAGGAACAGAGGGAGCTGCACACGGCAGGATTGAATACGATGGACAAGGTTCTATTTGTTCGGGGAGCGAGGATTGCGTTCAGCATTTGGGATGTTGGAGGTAACCAAGACCTAAATTCGAGCTTTGTTCTCCGCGCTCTTACAACCTTTGTTAGATTGGGATTCCAGCCCATGTTCTGTCTCTTGAGAGATTTCTCCATCTGGATAATTGCAGGTGATGACCAATTTCTCGACCGCGTTCCTGCAGCTTGTCAAGATGCTGTGGCAATTCTTGTATTGTTTGATCTCACCAATCGTTCTACCCTAAACAAGTCAGTAATTTTCTTTTCTATCACTGCAACATTTTTCCATATCTCTTATTTTGGGGTCTCCGATTTCCCTTTAATTGTTCTATTTGTGGGTGAAACACCATGCGATGAACTGCTTCAAAGGTCAAAACTTTGTGAATTGTCACATGAACTCATAAGAAGAATATTAATGAATACTGACTCTTAAGCTTTTGACCTCCAACTGATGGCTCTATTTCTCTGTGCCCTCTTTTGCAGTGCCATTGGCTGGTACCAAAGGGCAAGAAAATGGAATAAGGTGCAGATCTGTTTCCTGTTCTTGTTTCTCACTAAGCATGCTAATGCAATTATTGATTTTTGGTGAACTTTCATTGTCTTTTTAATCTGACCATATTAAATTTATTGTGTGCTTCTGCTTCATTCAGACGGCGATTCCTATCTTAATAGGTACCAAATTTGATGACTTTGCCCAGCTTCCTGTTGAAATGCAATGGACGATCGTGAATCAGGTAATCGACCTTTATGTTTTTTCATTGTATTGCTGTTTATATAAAGTTTTCTAAAAGGAATTGCCTAGCTGAGTCATTTAGGTTTAGCTAGCTTCTTATATGCATTATAACTCGATACATTGAATCTCTACACACTGGTACTTCTGATGTGTCCATGTGTCTTGCTGTTTAACAACTTTAGGATTTAGACTTGTCTCACTTCATCCACCCATTATGGTATAGGTTGCTCATTCAACATGGAATAATAATTGATCCTTATGTAGTTTGAAGGGATGAGGCATGAAATAGAACACTAGGAAAGATGAAGCTGATTTGGTTTTATTGTTTGCAAGCATATAGACATGTTACTTCAGAGAGCTTTTGATGGATCACCTAAAAACACAACCAAATAATGCTCCAAAGATAGATTTTATAATGCAACCGAGTGTAATTGAAACTTAGAGACCATGTATACCCGAGCAAAAGCTTGCCCTGGATCGAGCGCCTTGCATGTGTGATCTGTAATCTGTAGATCATTTAGTTCTTTACACTCCTAGATCTAAAGATGGCCAACTTAGACCAGCTGTCTTTCAAACTTGTCATGAGATAAAAGGAGTGGGATAGCTTTTTGTGGAGTCCATGTGACACCTTTCTTTCATGTGTCCGCTTTCATTATGTACTATCAGCTGATCCAAACACTAAAGTAGGGTCTCAGTGAGTTTCAAGATTTAGTGTGTGCAATTGTCATTCTAAGGTTGTTTTTATGGTGGGTGGTACCTTTTTCACGCAGAATACTCGATTCAAAATTAAAGAGATCGGGGACAATGCCCTCGTTTGGTTGTCTTGGAACCTAGATTGGAGATCATGACTAGAGTCAGAACATGAACCATAAGAACCAGCACTTGTCTAAAGCGATCTCAAACCCTGTTCAATTATTTATCTCTGGCATTTTGAGGCTTCTAAAGCAGTAAAATAGAGCTGTAACGATATTCTTTATATTGGGTCATCCATCCATGGGGATAATTGCGATACTCCTTTGCGTCGGGTTCACATGAATCAACTTTTGATTCATAGAGCACCATTTCCATTATGCTTGCCCTGAATTCTGAGGTGATAGCTGCTTTTGATTGATGACATGATCGAATATAACCTTGAAATAGTGTCCTAAATGGCATCCATTTCCAGATGGGATGGACAAAACACAAAGGAAGACTTAGAAAACAGGCAATAAATTTATAATTCATTTCAATTTAAAATCTGACCCTTGTGGTTAGCTGATGGCATAACCAGAAACAGGGACTTTTTTAGCATTAACTATTTCTCCATGAGATGCTCATTTTGTATTATTTGGTGTTGAAATGGATGGAGTAAACCTGTTTTGTCTTGTTAATTATGCAGGCGAGAGCATATGCAAGAGCGATGAAAGCAACGCTATTTTTTTCAAGTGCTACTCACAACATAAATGTGAACAAGATTTTCAAGTTTGTGGCAGCCAAGCTCTTCAATTTGCCATGGTCGCTGGAAAGAAATCTGACTATTGGAGAGCCTATTATTGACTTTTAGCCTTCTCATTTTGTTTTGACTTTTTTGTATTGCAAGTGCCAGATTGTATATAAGAACTGCTGAACATTTTTAGATCAACACTTGGTCCTCTTTTTTCTTCATGAGCAGCCAAGGTAAATTATGCTACAAGTGAAAGCACTGCTATGTATGTATACATTTACAGACATCTAGAAGTTGACAAACTTTAATTATGATTTATAGAAATTATAAAAATTGAGGATTTACAAGTCTCATTTTGATCTCAGAAAACTAGGACTTGACTTTTTTATTGCAAGTTGAAAAACTATATTTTTTTTGTAAAATAAAGCAATCTATTTATATGAAATAGAAGATCTTGCTGCCAGACTCTTTTGGGGCTAATATAAATTAACACTATTTTAGCCTTAAAAAAAGGATTGAACAGAAGAAGTGCATGACAAGCTAGGACTAAATTTGTAAAACTGAATACACTTTAATTTATTAGTTATCTTTAATATCTTGATTTTAATATTTTTAAAAGTTATATAAGGATCTTTATATTTAATCTTATTTTTTCTTACGTTGTGTCTCTATTTACGAAAATATGTTGCTATCACATGTAAAAAAATAATGTTAAAAAAAAATTAAAAAGATAATTTTATAAGATTAAAAGTCAAGGAAGATAGAGAAGGGTTTTGTTGATAAATAAAGTGAGACAGTGCTATTCAATTTTTTTACTTTTTTTATGTCTTAAAAGTTTTGATGAGAAATGAAATGAAACACTCGATAAAACGAATCTCTCTTGTGATTTTGTCGAAGTTAGAAGAGAAAATAAAGTTAGAGAAAGAAAACGCTTTCAAGAAGTTATAGAAAGATAAATTAACAACGATAATAATAATGTTATAAAATTATTTTTTTTAATCTTATTTTAATTTTAATTTTTGTATGTGATAATATATGTGATATTTTCGTCAATAAAATCATGAGAAAAAAAGAGATTAAATATTTTATTTTAGTAAGTATAGATATTCTAATATAATTTTTGAAAGCGTAAGGATAAGAATGTTAATGATAGTTAATATTTAGAGATAATCTTTAATTAGCCCTTTAATTTGTTTTAAGTGAACGATAATTCTTGAGGGTATTACCGGAATATTATATTTCAAGAAACCCTAATTCTAAAACTTTCTGTCCTCGTATATAAGGAGCAACCTCCGCAGCGGCCGCTGGACACACATCGCTATTGGCCGGCGGAGGAGCGGAAACCCTAGCCGTAAACTGCAACCATGGTAGTATGCCCTCTCGATCTATAACCTAGGCTAGTTTCTACCGCATGCAAGAAACTTTTTAGATCCATTTTTTTTCTGTCCTGCTGATGTCGTTGTTATCCTGCTCCAATTGGAAAAAAAAAAAGAAAAGAAGATCGATCTTTTCTGGTTTTTTGTTGGATCGAAAGTCGCACTTTGCTGCTGGGAGTAAGGATATGGTACTTGTGATTGTTGGTCTTTCTTAGGGTTTGGATTATGTGGGAGAAAAAGGAAGTGTGTCTGACCAATTCTTTTGAATCGTTGGTGGACAATTTTAGTTTTAAATTTTAGCGATTTCTATATTTTTCTTGCTTGAAGGTCAGTGATAATTGTATTAATATTTGTAGGGTTCCTTGTAATTCCTTTTTGGATTTAGGAAGATTTTTATCTGCTGTCAAGAATTCGTGGAAAGTTCGTGAACCGGGAGCAATTTAATTGAAATGAAGTTAAATGGCCAACTCTGCATTTTGGTTTAAACTTTGTATGATATTGCACTTGTTCTTTAGGTTTTGTATGATAATTTTTTTTGAATGGCCAAACTGTTGAAAGTGATTTGCAATGGCAGATGTACGCAGGATATTGATATGTTTATTGCTGTATAGGGAATTTGTCAAGTGATGTCTTCTGTAAATGTTTCCTACTTTAAGATCCCTAGTTGGATCAAATTAGTGGAAGAAAGGCATAAATGAATGTTGTTGTTTATGATTTTAAAAATTCGAAAGGCATGAACGAATGACTATGTCATGGTTCAGCTGAGATGTCAAATTTATTTATTTACAGCAAGTAAAAATTTGACCGAAGCTTATCATGTTTTGAGCATGGTTGATTTAAGTATTGAGTAATAGGGGACCTATTTGACGGTCTCAGTGCATGGATGCCCTTGGGGCCCCCTGAGGTTCTGATGGGTAATATTGCCTTGATTCATGCCCCTAGCCTAAAATTTTGTCATGCTTGTATACATTCATATATATGTGGTGTTCACAAATATATTCATAAATGTAGCATTCAGTATGTTTATCTCTTTATATGTCCCTAGATATAAAAATTTAACAAAAAGTATTCTAAAAGATTGATTAGTTTTACTTTGATTATAGGAAAAGGTTGATGCTTCCAATATTTGTTTTCTGTATATTTAAGAATTTTATTCAAGGGTTTGGCTCAAAGTGAGCCATATTATGAACTATTTCTTTTTTCAAGTGATCTTGGATTATTTTCTTACTTGGATGGTCTTACTCTCGCTTGTATGACTAATTAGAGTCCTACTTTACATAAAAATTGGGTTGAAAGTGTCACTAGATCATTAGGAATGTGATCCTGAACACAAGTATTTTTTCAGTTAGGCTTTTCTGATCTTGCATATCATATCATCAGACCAAAATATTATGTATGTCAGATTGATAAGTTTGTCGTATAGTGACTATTGCTTAAGCTTTAAATACCTGTAGAGGGTGACACTCTGTGGAGGTGCAGTAATTTGAGATTTGTGTTGACATCAATAGTTGACAGTGTTTAAACATCTTTTGGATCAATACATAGTAGCCACTCTTCTTAACCCCATTGAACATCGTAAAAAAATTGGCCTGCATATTATTATCATGAATTAGGAAAAAAGATATTGACAGGAAAATATTTTGTTCCTAACATTTATTTGTACTCCTAAATTTTCTTTGGTATGTTAATTATTAGTTTTTGCTGTTGTTTTTTTATGTTTAATTCAGGTGAATGTTCCAAAGACAAAGAAGACCTATTGTAAGAACAAGGCATGCAGGAAGCATACTCTGCATAAGGTTACCCAATACAAGAAGGGGAAAGATAGTCTTTCCGTTCAAGGGAAGCGTCGCTACGACAGGAAACAGTCAGGTTATGGTGGACAGACAAAACCTGTTTTCCACAAGAAGGTATCCCCATATGTTGTGTGTGCTGGTTCTTGCTCGAAACTTCTGGGCATAGTGTAGCGGCTCTTGTTGCCAAGGCTTTCTTTCCTAATAGATGGTTCTTGCATTTGGGATACATGGTTCAGCAGGCACAAATGAAACATTCTTGATGGATTGGTTGTGTTGTGAACTTTAAGTTGTCATTCACTTGTAAGATAATAATTTGTTAATCTTTGAATTGCAGGCAAAAACGACAAAGAAAATTGTGTTGAAGCTGCAATGCCAGAGTTGCAAGCATTACTCACAGCATCCCATAAAGGTTCGATTTGATGTTCCAAGTTTCATCAGTTTCAAGGTCTGCATCTGATTTCTTAAGAAACCATTTGAATGTTTTCTTTTCAGAGATGCAAACATTTTGAGATTGGTGGAGACAAAAAGGGCAAGGGTACGTCCCTCTTCTGATCTGCTGCATTTCACCTTAGAAACTTGTAATGTTCTAGAAACGAGCAGCGAGAGTAGCTCTGAATGCTGTTGGATTTCTGTCATCTGAGGAAGGATGGATGCTGCTGTTTAACATTTGCACGATCCATTTATTTCTTTGACTTCTCTCCTTGAGATGTTGCAGTATCTTTGTGTAACTATGTTTTTGTCAGGAGGCCGACCATCCTCCGACTGAATCAAAGCTAACATTAGTTTACAGAAAACTGAAAGCTATCACTCGTCAACTAATTGCGCCCCTTCGAAGGCAATCGATCCATCACACTGCTGACAGAATGGCCACGAGCACTAGGAAAGCAGCCGCTACATGGCTAACGCTACGGGATCTCGTCGGGGAGCGCGCATTCTTCTCCGTCGAAGTATAGCCTCGTGGGGAAACCCTCCCCCTTCACGATGTTGATCCCTGGCGTTCCCTTCTTCGTGAAGGAGATCACCGACTGCTGCTTGCCCGGCACTCTTGGATCCACGGTGGGGTTCTTGCCGTCCGTCCCTGCTGTCAGATAATTCAGACCCTCCAGTCCCCGAAGGAAGACCGTCTTGTTGAGCCTCCCTGGACCTTCCAGCTTTGTGCCGTTGAAGGAGTACGCCTTCTGGAAGCCGAGATAAGCTTTGTCCATTTCCACCGTCACGAACCAATCCTTGAAGGTGTAGCCCTTCCGGTTGAACAGGGTGATCCTCGCCGTCCATCCGTTCCTGTAGTTGGAGACGATGTGCCCGTTGATGCTGACGCCGCAGTTGTCGCCGCAAGGCAGTGGGTTCGGGACGTGGTGGTGCTTCAGCTTGGCCCAAGCTTTGGCCTTCGCCGTTCGGTTGTCGAAGGGGAAGAGAAGCGCCTCCGGAGGGAGAAGCAGCGCGGGCGCGTCGGGATCGCATGCGACGCGCCGTCGTCGCAGCCGCACGCGCAGGTGTTGCAGGAGACGACGGAGGCGTTGTAGAAGGAGGAGTAGGTGACGCAGCATCGGGAAGCCTTGCTCTCGGGCCGGGAGATGTTGCAGGCCACTTGCCAACTAGCGACCGCTTCCGTCTCCGACATGAGACCGCTCTCCATGGGGCTGACTCTGATGGGAGGGCCGCAGATGTAATGCGGGTTGAGCATGCCATTGATCTTCCAACTCTGGGGAGGGTAGAAGACGGTGCGGCTGAGGTCCGGCGGGAGCTTGTACACTTGGAGCTGGAAGATGGCCTTGGATTGGCTGGAGTTCATGGTGGAGGGGAGAAGGGTGCCGTTCCTGCAGCAGTAGGAATAGGTTCTTGGCCGTCTTTTTGGCCTTGAACTTGGGGTTCTTTACGCAGCAGACGTACATTCGACGTAGTATTCTTACCTTTTCGAGTGGGTGCAGGGCATTTGAACCCATCATTCTGCGGCTTTATCGTCCTGGGCATGGGGGTCCCCGGTGGCTTCACGCCAAACTGTGTGCCCGTCATCTTGATCTCCATGCGGATCTGCGACAAGCCCCCCGCGGTGTCGATGGCGTTCATGAGGTCGGTCTGGGGGAATCCGGCCAGGGTGGTGCCGTTGCCGACGTGGGCCGGGAAATCGGTGCCGTCGGTGATCACCGCCCCGGACGTGGACACCAATATCTCGTTGTGCTGAAACCCGATGAACATCTTCCAGGCCTGGAGATCCGGGGGGGAGGGGGTTGTTTCTCGGGGACAGTGGATTCCGAGGCATGAGCTGCGGGGAAGATGAATTCATTTGTTCGGTATGGGCTTCAGAGTCCATGCCGTGGCCGGTCTCAAGTTGCAGTAGCGTCTTCAAGTTTGAGCTGAGAAACCTTCTCCTGTGATTTCATTCACGGAGGGTGCAAGTCCGTGATATTTAATGTAATGCACCAGACATATGATACAAGAACGAAGGGCAATTTCAACTGACATTTTAGCTAAAAACTATTTAATATAAACTGATGAGTGACGATTACCTGCCATGGATTGAATGAAAATATTATAAATCTTAAATCCAACATTTGTTCGGTTCGTCAGCAAAAATATGATGACAGTCAAAACAAGTTCGATGCTGTATGCTTGCACAAATAACGTACTCTGTCACATTTCAACACTGATTCTATGATAATGACCTCAACAATAGGCGATCAAGTTCCTTTTATTACAATGTAGGAACTGTCGGATTGTGAGGCGCCATATTTCTGTCGACTAATTTTCTGCAAAACATCAGAAACAAATGTCAGAGGCTTATATGTGTTTAACAGAAACAAAGTATGATTGTGTAAGAACGAAGTTGATGCAATCAAGCTAGAGTTAAAAGAGTGGTCAAAACTGGTGTATGGTTCAGACAACTAAAGTAATTTTTGAAGGCCAGGGTCTTGTTAGGTTTGTACAAATTAACGTGTTATCTTCGCTTTATGTAGCGACATCAGATATATCTTTTACTATATTTAAGTTCTGGAAGAAAGAATGGGAAAAACAATCGAGCCCTGACGTAGGCGGAAGCAATTCCATTATGACATCATGCCATGTGAACTTAATATCAGATCTAGTATATACATAGGTATCAACTGATACAGAAATCATGCCAGCAATTATCACCATCACCTAGATGCATGACAACAAGAGAGGCTGCCAAAAATCTGCTTCCAGTTAAAGCAAGAGAAAGTTGATAAAAATGAGGAAGAGTGCAATGATAAAAGGCATAAAAAAAATAGGAATGGGATGCCTTGTGATGTGATCAATATAATAGATGATGGTCTTTGACCATAAATATGGCAGACAGATGGTAATTTAATACACCAAAGCGGTTGGAAGTAGTATGTGCAAGATCAAGGTTCTGTGTAGTGCATGATGTGTGTGCATATACAGTCCTTGCGCTGAACCCTAAAAAAAGAAATCCAGATTTTTCAAGATATGGAGACTCTATTGAATTGGAAATGAATTAAATCAGGAAAGGTTTGAATAAAATCTAAAAAGAAAACTTGAGGGAAGACTTTTAGATTGGTTTCTTGGGCCATCACAAATATAGATAACCCAATGAAAGACATCTCATGTTATGGTCACCGTATGATAAGTAAAAGAGGATAAATGAAAGAGGTGGGGGGTGGGGGGTGGGGGCTGGGGAAAGGGAATGTTGGCAAAGGAGTGAGGAGAAAAGATGGACAAGGTGGATTAGATACTACAGAACAATAAGCGGACTGGAGAAAAAGAGGTGATATGCGGAATTCTAAACTATCATCAATACAGAAATCTAATACAATCTCAGTCCAAATGGTCCACCTCTTAAAATAACCTAGAACACCCAATCTATATAACTGCATGAATGGCTCTCAATCTGAATGTGGTAAACCAAATTTAGACTACATATTGCCTACGCAATAAGGCCTACTGACTGGACATGCAAGCAACACCACAAACATGACCAAGCATCATTTGTTAGTAAAATGGTGCCCGTTTATCACTGCATCACAATCAAATGAATCCAGTCATCTTAGAATTGATAAAGATGAAATGACTAGACTAGAGGGAGGAGTTGGAGGATTGATAAGTAGAAATGGTGAATGCTAGAAAGAAGAGAAGGAAGAAGACAAAACTGTTGCATGTGACTGGAGACTTTAGGGGTTTGACTTAGGTTCTATTTTCTAGTTTATAATTCATGTTATCAGATTAGAAAAATTGGATATTATATTCACATACTTTTCTGTATGACACGATTATGCAGATATATTAGTTTGCAATGGACTAAATCAATGTTCAATATCAAACAATATTATCAATCAAGTTACTGGGTTAGTTCATGTACATATATACATACATACATATAAACATATGGAGACATATAAAATTCTTAAATAAAATATCTTGTCCACACCAGATTTGTATTGGAACCAGATCATATAGGCTCAAGATCCCAATCCTGTCAGTTCAGTTTAGTGTATCGACCATATACAATTAACAAAAAAGAAAAAAAAAGATGCTACCAATTATCTTATTAGATCCAAGCATCACATCTCTCACATGTGTGTTTCTGTTTGTTAAAGTTTTGTCAACCCTCACAAACCTCTGGATAACACTTCCTTAATTCTAAATGTTTCTAGTGTACATGATGACAAATATGTCATTGTGAAAATAACTATTACATGCACCCTGAAACCATTTGGTTCTTAAATGTTTACATTCTATGCATTCTTTAATATTTTTGGTCCACAATTCAAATAACTTATTTATGACTTCCCTTCATATCCTATCCTGCTACAGCACGAGTTATATGTACCATATTTTGATAATTAAATCTTTCTTTCAGAATCTAGGCTGTCAAAATACTACTTAGCATTCTTAATGTAATGATGTTGTGATGGTTGAGATCCCTAGTATGGTAACTTTTTCTTCATTAGGTACAACATCAGATCATATAAGTTACCCATAAACAATAATAACTCGAATACACTTTTATCAAGATCAAGCTTCTTTTGCCTTATTTTCCTAAATGTAACTTTTTCTTTGTTAGGTACAACATCAGATGATATGTTACCCATAAACAATAATAACTCAAAAACAATTTTATCAAGATCAAGCTTCTTTTTCCTTATTTACCAGAATATATCCATCTGGCGCACTCTAACATTTCTGGATAAAGTTGATGCGATAAGAATCATACAAAAAAAAGCACAAGTTCTGTCAAATGCAAGGTATAGGAGGGTCAGATGGTAAGATTTTTAGATGACATGAACCTTGGCACCTGGTTACAGTAGAGCATATAACCACGAAAACAAGGCTCACCCTCATAGAAAGGGTGCAAAGATTTACTAAAAATCATGAAGCAAACTAATAAGTCAAGATACCAAAATAATTTATGTTTCTAATCATCGAACATTAACTGTTATGTTAACCAATTTGACAAGAAACTCCCTTTCCAACATAGCAGTAATGAATGACAATTTCTTTTCTTACTCTTCCTCTAACCAATTGCTTGATCCAAAACTTGGGGACAAGCAAATATTTCAATGCGACTTCTGAACATTCAGAATTCAAAAGTTGAGATGACCTGCAGCCAGAAGAACAAATATGCTCCAAGGCATCATGAGATGAAAGATACCATTTGTTGAAGAAAAAAATCCTTAGATCTTACGTAAAAACTCAACATTAACAACCTTATCTTACCAAGCATGCTCCCTAACTGTAGCACCAATAAGAGCTTGCAACCACCTTATTTATGTGCCCAACTATATCAACTCTTTCTAACCTTTCTTGTGACAGCTGTTTAAACCTTAAAAGGCAGACAATGCTAGGGAATTTTCTTCAATTGTATTGCATTTGCCTCAACTTAAAGTTCCTTCAGTTGTACTACATTTGCCTAACATAAAAGTCACGAAACAGTAGCCAAATACTTCCAGGCACAAACTGATCTTCGAGTTGCTTTGAGCTGATCAATCAGCCAAAGATGGAACAAAAAGATTAAACCATAAATATTATATGAAGAGTCGAAGGCATGAGAAATAATTTTGCAGAATAACCTAAGAACCATATTCAAGATTCAAAAATCCAGCAGAGAAACAGAAACAGAGACGTAAATAACAACAATTAGAACGAAAATAAGATACCTCCCAGGACAAAACAGAGTAAATTGTCTCAAGAAAGATGAAAGTGGACCACTCACTTGATCTCCGATCACCTCCAACTATTTGGCCAAAAGGCGTGGATGCTGTAGCCAGTCTTCCAGTTATCCAAATAGATCACCTTGCTCACAGCCCAGTACGCCACCAGCATGCCAACGAGCATGAACCCCCTCTGTGCGGATACGCTCTTCCATCCGGCCAGCGCGTGTGTCGCAAAAGCTAGCACCAGCCCTACAACCATGTATAAGAACCCGACCGCAAAGCCTTCGGCGCCAAGCTGCATCCCAGATCCCTGGAAGAAGAAGATGAGCCGGTCGGGGTTGCTGCGGTCCGGCAAGAACATGGGCATGTTGCGAATGATGTTGTGCATCGTGCCGGAGACGCCGAAGAAGTAGACGAAGAGGGCAAGGGCCATCCACAGGCGGCGGTCGTGGATGAGGGTGTCGCCAGCGAGGACGCGGCGGATAAGGAAGGGAGCAGATATGAGAAGGGCGGCGAGGAGGAAGAGAGCCTGGCGGGGGGAGATGGGGGGCGGGCGGAGGATGGGTCCGCCGAGGGGGATCTTGGCTTTCGCCTCGACGAAGTCGGCCATGGACTCTGCGCCGCGGGAGAAGTCGGACTGGTCCATGGGGATGGAATCATCGCGGAGGGAGCGGGCAGAGGCGGGGACGAGGCGGGCGTGGGGGAGGCTGGAGACTCCGAAGAGGCCGAAGGAGTGCTGCGACTCCCCGAACTCGACGTCGCAGAAGAAGAGGCGGTGGGTACTGGAGGAGGAGGAAGAGGCGTCGTCTTTGCGGTGATGGGCGGCGAAGGAGGTGGAGAGGAGGGCGAACTCGGAGTGGAGGTGGGGGAGGTGGAGTTCGGGCTTAGAGCGGAGCTGGGCGGCATCGAAGAAGATGAGAAGGGAGTAAGGGCGGGGGGCGGCGGCGGAGGTTAGGAAGCGCGAAACCAAGCGGTCGTCGAGGTGGATCACGCCGGATTGCGATTGCGATCGGAGGGTCTCCAACTCCGCAACCAGATCCTCACCCGACGGGGAAGAGGCGGCGCCGCCCAGCATCACCAGCAGGAGGATGAGGAGGGAGGTGGCCATCGGCATCTGGGAAGCCGCCATTCCGTCTGACTTAGGGCTCCGCGTCGACGGAATCGCAGGTCTTCCTTCTCCCCACCTTTACCTTGAACCCATCCACGGTTTCCTCAATCGAACCAATCGAGCTTATGCCGGTTCGGTTCGCTTTATCGAGGGAACGGTCGATCCGGCTTGGTTCGGGTGGCGCCCGCCGTGGTCAATTGGTAGACCCATAAGTGGGCCAGTTGAGCCCGAACGTAGACATTCACGGGCCAAGACCGGCCCATGGACCCATCAAAGTTTGAAACAGTATTGAGCAATCAAATCCTTAGTACCATCGAATTATTCTCTAGTTGCTTAATTTTATATCGTGCATGAAACTAGCGCGAGTCAGGATAGAAGTAAATGGGACAACTACGGATATGATCCATAGGAGTGAGGGCATGGCCGAAGAGACGCGACAACCCACCCCATATTGTGAGACTCGAAACCTCGTCGGCAGTCGATGAAGTTGGAATCTCGTGACGATAACAGGCGCCAACGAACCCATCGATTCCGATTTCCGCCTCCTCAGCCGCTGTATCAGCACACACAGTATTGGACTTTAGACAGCTGTTCTCCACACTTCGACTCGCTCTCCGGAGGCTAATGCAATGTTAAATGGCCAATCACAAGGACGGAGATAGGAATGTGTTTTCTGTGCGGTCGTCGACGAACGGCAGCTCCGACCTCGATCCACCGCTCAAGAGCGGACTGCCACCAGCATGCGACAGGGTGCACGTGTCGCCTTGTGAGGCGAATCATCTCAGGCGCACGTAATCCACGTCCATACAAATCAACCCTTGCGGGGACCACCGATCATCCCCTACCGACCGAGGCCCGGAGCCTTCAAAAGAGCGCCATCGTCGTCACCGAGAAGAGGAAAACCCACGGCGAAATATGTTGCAGTCGAGTCTTCCTCCCGCTCCCTTGTTCCTGCCGCGTCACTCCTCCTCCTCCTCCCCCGCCACATGGAGTCCCCGGCATAACTCTAAGAGGAGATCCCCCCGTTCCTGCCTCGTTCAAGAGGAGCCGGACCGGGCAGTTGAACCAGAGAGGGAGCCACCGCCTCGGCGAGTGAGCACCCAGCTAAATCGGTGGTCGCGGGCCCGGTCCATCCGCTCGGGGCGGCGGATCGACTGGCCGGCCTTGCGGAAGAAGACCGCGCCCCCACCCTCGCCGGCGCCGCCGCCCTCGTCTCCTCCCTCCGAGGCGGGCGTCCGGCCAGCCGTGGCGGGGGAGGGAACAGAGGGCGATGGCGAGGACGACGAGAGCGAACTGATGGAGGGGAAGGCTATCTACATGGTGTCGGATGGCACGGGGTGGACGGCGGAGCACTCCGTCAACGCGGCCCTGGGCCAATTCGAGCACTGCCTGGTCGACCGCATCTGCCCCGTCAATACGCACCTCTTTTCTGGGGTATGTTCGTCTATTCGTCCTGCCTATGCATTCATATTAACTTAGGCGAGAGGATATGTTATTCGAGTTTCATATATTATAGTATGAATTCTTTAGGACAACGAGAATTTTACCCTTCGATGTTGCATTGATTTGAAAGAGGCTGCTTTCTGAAATTTGCAAAGCTGAACCTGAGTTTGAGAGGCCAGGATGTGTTGGTGAAAGTTTATCGGGCTGACTGTTCTCTTTGTGATAAGATGGTATCTTAGTATGGCGAGGAGGAGTTTTCATGAGATGATGGTGTTAACAATGGAAGACTGAGCGCAAGTTGCAAATTTTGATCTTTGTGATAGACATTTCAAACTTTCCACAAGGCATGAGTCATTTGTTATTGATGGTGTTTGCTCAATTGGTTTTCCTTGTATAGACAATTGGCATGTGGACTGGTTGGATTCATGCCTACAATTTCCTGAGAGAAGCTCGTTGGGAATTCAATGGAATATTTGGAATGGATGTATGAGATGTTGTCTTGCCTGGTCATTGACAACCATAGATGGCCTAGACTTTGGGTTAGGGAGGATGATTGGATGCTGTATGAGCTAGAGTTTAAAACCTTGTTAGTGTCGAGTTTAGGTCTATAATTATGTTTTTTCTTTTACAAATGTTGGAGAGGGGTAAAAAAGATTATATGATGTTCTGAAGCTAAATTGAGTTTATCACAATGTAGAAATCAGTGACTGGTTGGGGAGCTTTGCGAACTTGGACTTAACAATGTTACCTGCTTCAAATGTCATGGAGTACAGACTTCATCTACAGCCCTGTGGCTTTATTGGCTGGGCTGGTATGTGGTATTGGAACATGGCGTATTTGGAACCCATGCCGTATCCTACGTGGGGTTACTACATATACAAAGGATAACTGTGTTCAGTTATCGCTGGATACCTTCTTTTACTTGCTCTTACTCAAATTTCCATTTGGAACCAAACTTCTTAGGAGGATATATGGGATGATTCAGGTGAGTTTCAATGTGGATCTATCTTCCTATTCCCTTATGGGATCAAGGTGGTCTGGGGTCCACCATGGATCCTCTCTTCTTGAGAATCTTACCTAATCAGAAAATTAAATGAATAATTCATGTCCGAGAATTCTCATTATCAAGACCCCATATTTTTGGTTACACAACAACATGTCATCCCAACTATTTGGGGTCAGCAACATCGATGTTCTTCCGTCACTGATTTCGGTGTAAGGCAGCAGCACATACGCTTGATTGTAGCTGCAGGAAGCAACATGTTTTTGTAGGTTAGTTTCTGTATTGTTAAAGTTGTGATATGCCTTCAGCATCTCGAGACTGTGAAAGTTCTGCATCCTTATGAGTCCGCTTCATTTTAATCATGTTGTTCATGTAGTTTGGTTAAGGCAGTTTCTTTAGTGTTTATGCTGTATTCTTTTGTTGTCCTATATTTTTGAGTTTCCGTAGAATATGTTGACAGTATGTTTCCATCTGCATTTGGTAGAGAGAAGTTTTAAGTCAACAGAAACATGGTGTAGGCTGCCTGACATGTAAAATTGCTTAGAGGTTAATTTACCAGCTTTAATTATTTACATTTAGAGTACAAAAGGATAATAATGAACTTGGAACGGCGACGTATACATTCGATTTCACTATTTGAATGTTCCAGTTTTTACTGATTGTATATCAGATTTGATGGAAAGTTGAATCATATGAAGAATTTGGAGACTTCATAGTAGATATGATGCAGATGGTGCTGTACTAGTTTTAATGATGGATTTGCAACCTACTACAGATCTTTCTAGGTATTTTTTCATGTCCATTGGGACAAGGAAATAATGGTTTGCACCATAAGTTTGACTGGTTTTTAACCTAAAATGAAGCTTTAAAAAACCAAGCATCAACAGGAGCTAGTATCCTAGATATAAGTCTGAGCTTCTTTCTTAGCATAACGAATTATTACCCATTTGATATGTATGCTTGATCATAGACAGTTTGCTAAATGTCCTCATTGCCACTAATCTTCTTCAGGTTGAAGATATGGATAGACTGATGGAGATTATAAAGCAAGCTGCCAAAGAAGGTGCTTTGCTCCTTTATACCCTTGCTGATCCTGACATGGCAGAATATGCAAAGGATGCCTGCAAAGTCTGGGGTGTCCCATCGGCCGATATACTTCGACCCATAACTGAGGCCATTGCTACCCATCTTGATGTTGCTCCTTCTGGGTTACCTCGAGGTGCTGCAGGCAGAAGTGCTCCGCTTAGTGCAGAATACTTCAAACGTATTGAGGCTATAGATTTCACTATCAAACAAGATGATGGAGCTAAGCCGCAAAACCTTGATCATGCCCATATTGTCCTTGTCGGTGTTTCGCGCACTGGGAAGACACCCTTGTCCATATATCTAGCTCAAAAGGGATATAAGGTGGCAAATGTGCCGATAGTTATGGGTGTGGACTTGCCGAAGACCCTCTTTGAAATAAATCAAGAGAAGATCTTTGGATTAACAATCAATCCAGTTATTCTGCAGACCATTAGAAAGGCAAGGGCCAAAAGTCTTGGTTTTGGCAGTGAAACGAGAAGCAATTATTCGGAGATGGACCATGTGAGGGCGGAGTTGGAGTATGCCAATAAAATCTTCACACAGAACCCGACTTGGCCGGTGATCGGTAAGCGCTCATTACTCACCGTCACTGACTAGTTCACATTGTTGATCTTGATGATTACATTGCTTTGCCTTTTTATTACAGAGGTCACTGGGAAAGCAATCGAAGAAACTGCAGCTGTTGTAGTCAGAATGTACCATGACAGAAGACAAAAATGTTTGATGCCACGCATCTCCAAACGGTACTAGAATGAGTTTGTAATTATCTGTATATATTCCGACAAATAGCAAAAAGTAATCCATGGTTTTTGTATATATATACACACACACACTATACTATACTATACTTGAAAATCATTTATGCTTTGTTGATCTCCGTTGATTCTAGTGCTGAAATGGAGATCTGTTACTTGCCACCATTACTTGAGTTACTACATTTTCCTTTTGAAGGTTTTATAATGATCGGATTACATATAGGCATTGGGAGTATTTATAATATTTTTGTATTGATAACTAGTCAATATGCAGGTTTGTTGTGCTCTCGGGACACATGAGATGAAGTGGACCATTCGAATTTGGGCATGAATAGATAATTCATATGACGAGGTTGAATCTGTGATTGTAACACCGATTTTTCTAGGAATTTTTTTCTTTTTTTATTGTCCTTTTTTTTTCCATCGCATTCAGATGGAAAGAAAGTCTTTGATTAATTCATCCCTTGTTCTCCTCCATCTTGTACTTTTTTTTTTTTTATTTTGGCATCCTTGTACCAGTTTGTATGTTTTGTACCAGCTGAAATTATATAGAGGACAGGAATCTTCCATCCATCTGATAAGTCTCTGTTTGCTAGATGTCTGAGGACATTTTGCTTCTTTTGCTCGAGTAGTGTTCTGCTTCCCAATGCACCTCCACTGTGAGGATGCTAACCTGAGGGAACAAATTTATATTCTGGTCTGGTAATAAATTTGCTTGAAGCTTTGCAAGCATTTGAAAGTACATAGGAAATTTACAAGAGAATTCATCTTTGTAGTCTACTGTTTGTGATTGGCAATTGTATACAATGTTATAGATAGTGTGTGTGTGTGTGTGTGTATGTTAAACTAATGTGAAGTTTTGAATCCTCGAGATGCCTCCGACACTGTGCCTTGTGATCTAAAGGCAAAGCTCGGAAATTGATTTAGTGGAAGGGAAGCATCAAGTTATTATATATGCATCAAACCCATCGACAGAGATAAAGTTCGTTTCTGTGCACTACTACAGGCTAAGATTAGTATATAGCTGTCTCGGTGCATCATTGTCTTACCATCCAAGTATTCTCTGTGTGCTCTTTTTCTTATTCGTTCCATCATCCAACATATTGGAATACAAAAGGATTCGATCATGACTGGAATCAAACATTTGTCTCTCTTCTAACAATCAGTGGGGTTTGAAGCGTGCGCCAAAATGATGCATCATCTGGAATCGGCATCGCCGGTGGTCGTCATGCTGCCCATGGAGAGCGTGAAATAGAGCAGTATCAGTGTTCCCATGCACGACCTGCACGTTTAAAACCAGCTTCTGAGTCATCAATTTCATCTCCCTGTTTCTACACTACCAAATCATCAAATAAAATCAAGGAAAGAAAAAAGAAACCATCATTGAGGTGTAACACTCGATCCAAAATCAAATAAAACCCCCTCCCTCTCGTTTCTTCCACAAGCAGGACCGGAAACACGAAGAACACGAGAGAATTCTCCATGCTATCAACATCACCACCAACAACAACAACAATTACCACGGGAGGAGGTAATCTCGTCGCATACTAAAACGCATGCCGAAAGATATCAAATCGGTCCAAGTCAAAAAGATGAACATGAAAAGATGTGGCGGCGTTTCATTCGAAAGACGCTGTTGCGTGTTGAGCGAATCGAACGGCTCCAATCGATCGCCATGTTGCCTGGCCCACCATAGTGTCACCGTCCGCCATCGCGTGATCGGGGTGGACCCACCTGATGGTCCCGTGGGACCGCCCGTCCCACTATTTCAGGGCACCTACCGCTACCACTAATAATTTAAATATACGTATATAACGTTTCCCGATAAAATGAATTATAACGGCACACAAAACAAAACATCGTTGGCCATCTCGTAACCGTAATAACGATATCCCAAAATAACACGAGAAAATAAATTAATAGAAAAAGAAAATAAAAAGACGCTTACAAGGAAGCGAAGACGAATAGGACTCTTCTGGGGTCGCGCCAGAGCGACGGACGCCGGCAGCCGGCCGCTCGCCTGCACCTGCCTCTGCCGGCTTCCCCTTCGACGGCCACGTGTGCCGACGCAGGCGGCTTATCCCTTCCGCTGGGCCCACCTGCGCGTATCGTTATTATTGTTTAGTGGCAAGTTTAGGGTCGATGAGAAGGAGTATGACGACTCACCTTTGGCGGAGACGGCTGCACCTCCTCCTCCTCCGCCGCCGTCACCGCTTCGCTGCGATCCGTTTCTTGAGAGGCTCTTCATCACAAGCTTCTGGTTTATCAAAGGAAGCCAACTTTCGATAGTTTGAATCAGGCACCGTGAAAGATCGAGAACGAGGAAAGAGGGTTACCGGGACTCGTGGGCTCGCAGTAGGATCCCACTGATCGGTTGCAGCGACGAGTTCCGCGATGTCGAGAGCCACGAAGCTGTCATCGGACTTCACTACGATCTTCCTCTTGTTGTCATCATCGTCATCGGCCATCGCCGGAACTTGCACCTTCTGCTCCTCTTTGGATGGGAAATCTCTAGGAACTGCTCGTGATGGATCAAAATCCTGAAACCGCACGAAGAAGGGACATGTAAAATAATTGGTAGCAGATCCGGATGAAACTAATCGATTGTTCATCAGAGGGCTCACTCACCGGTTGCTGCGTGCTTGCGCTCTCCATGAACTCGTATTTTAATGGAAGGAATGGAATTAAGGCTTCTTTGGCAGCACAGAATTTTGAGAAGAGGACAAGACAGAAAAGAACGAGGAACCCTTTTGCCTTGTCTGAGAAGAAGAAGAAGAAGAAGAAGAAGAAGAAGAAGAAGAAGAAGAAGAAGAAGAAGAAGAAGAAGAAGGAGGAGGAGGAGGAGGAGGAGGAGTAAAAGAAACGGGGCCTGCATCAGTCATCAAAATATAGAGGTAGGGAAGGAGGGCAAAACGGGAAGGTGATGATGATGATGAGTTGGAGAGAGCGAAACTGACCGTTTCTTCACGCTCTTTCTTGCAGCTTGAGCTCTGTTCATCGTTGATCCTAACACGCTCTTATCCACAATGGTCGACTCAACATGATGGTGAGATTCTTAATCGAGCGACTCTACCGATGACTTTGCTTCACTAAATTTATTATGGAGTGGAGAATTAATCCCAAGTGCATTTTTCGCATGGCTATTAATAAAGTGCGACTGCAACACAATGTTCTTCTCTTAATCAATGGGGTTTACCAGTTGTACAGTGAAGCCTACGTGCGTTGACTTGCTGGATGACAACCTGTGGCAGAAGATTCTCCTCGATGGGTTGTTTGTGGATAATGAGAAAGGGAATCGGCGGTCCGTAGAACATGTGATGTATTCCCATCCGTATGATTTCTTTTTCTTTCGTTTGTTGCTTTGTGAACAGCAGCAGAAGGAAAAGAAGGAAAAGTCAAAGCCAAACCAAGCGGGTTGAAGGTGTAGAGGAGGACGACGGATCCATGCGAGAGGGAAAACAAGAACGGCGCAGATCATGACGTCCGATCTCAGCCTAGAAAACACTTTTCGAGCGGATAAATTATATATGTGCGATCATTTTTCGGGCATTAACGCGGCCTTTGACGAGGTTCATCTTGACTGCTAGATTTCTCGAGAGGTGATTAGATTAGAGAGTGGTAGACTAGTCTTAAACTAGCCGGCCATGTGGAAGATCAATGGAAGTCAACTTTGATATCCCCCGTCGAACGAAGCGAAGCATGGATATGCACATCTTCGATGCGTAGCTTCTTTGGTTGACCAACTCATTCTTTTCGTCCGTCTCGATCGGAATCCTCGCCCCATTAAGTCGATTCCGACTCCTCATTCATAGCGAAGGGATTTAATCCATCGATCGGCCCATACTAATTGCTAGTGTGGAGGAATCCTCTTCCATCAATGACTTCGATCTCTCTCCGATCAATTGTTTCGCGGAAAAGGCAAAAAAAATCCCCAAAGGATATTGTATTGAGTGGAGATCCGAGTATATAACTTGAGAAATGGCCATCAAAGCATTAAGAAGGTCAACTCCTGGCTTGAGGAGCAATCAAGTGGTCAAATACATCTCTTTAGATTTATGCAAGTGTAGATCTCCATGCGAGATTTCATTCTTGAGACATTCATTATATTCAAACTCAAAACAGTTGATTAACCTGGATGAACAATTGTTTCATCTGTATCCACCGAGATGAGAGGTATCAATCAAGATTGGAAGTATCAATCAAGTGGTCACAGCTTATAGATTTTTTTTTTCTTCTTAACTACTCTGTGAAACAAATCTAAACTAAGAATCGGTCTTCAGAACTGTTTGTGTGGTGACTGAGTATCCAACTAGTGGAAGCAAATTTGCAATTTGGTTCTCACAGTAGCCAAAGATTTATTATCTAATCTTCTGAAAGAAAATATAATATTATACTCCCAACATTCTGGTTGATAGGGATAATATCAAGCACTATTATCTCCCTCCGCAATGTAGGCTAAAAGACAACATCTAAAACCAAAGGCACGAGAACCAAGAGTCACACTGCCTGCTCTAGGTTTTGAAAATGGCCCACGTAACCAACCCCGACTTATACATCAATAGAAGTCATATCTTTGCACTAATAATAGACAGCATGGTCTGTCTTCAACCGCCTTCCCTTCTCAACAAACGATAAGGGGATCATGCCCTGCCTGACAAAAAGAAGCAAGGAAGTCTGACCGGAGGTGTCATTCTGATAGTCCTCAGATGTTGCCCCTAGGACAAGCATGAAAGGGAAACAATGATACCTCCAAAACGGGGTTGGCCATAGACTCGGACGTCAACCTCGGGCAAACAAAGACTGGTTGGGCTTCATTTCTTCAGCAGGAGGCACAGGATCGTTATAACCCAACGCTCTAGGCTTTGTTATGAGGCAAGGCTCTCGACGTGTCAATGGAGTGTCACTGCACCCTTCTGTTCTACATCGGTGTCATTTGTCACTGGACTCATTTGGTGATTCGCTTTTCAGGTATGTCATTATCTTTTGTCACTCTGTCCACACTTGCAGGAGAATCCGATGAGGGCGAGCACAACAAGTAGAGGGGAGGAGAAGTTAAGGCAATACGGCTAGCAATCGTCATGCTACAAGCAAGAACAATGAGAGCAAGACATGCAAAGACGAGTAAGAACGCGAGCAAGACATGCAAAGACAAGTCTTGGGCAATGGGTGTTGATGTTGATAGGAAGAGAGGATAGAGATATCAAAATAGAGGAAGAGTATGACAAGCTTTCAATCTTCTATATTTCTCTCAAGAAAAACTCTTTACAAATTTCAGAAACTCTATTACTCTCATGACCCAACATATGGGGTTTATATAGTCCCCAAAGATATATTATATTAATTGTATTCAAGATGAATCATTCTCTTTCAAGAAATCCTTTCAAGAACCAATAACCAATTTGACTTATCCTTCTATAGACTTTTAATCCATTTTTTCTTCTCGTTGAAATGATTCTCTCACTTGATACAATGAACCTTTTTATGACACTTGAACAAGTTTAATTCCAACAATGGGGTCCACGAAGACAAAGATAGGTTCGACAAGAGCTAACAAGGTTTGGAGATAGGAGCGATGAAGGGAGGTAATGCGATGTAGTACATATGCGACAAATCCAATAAAAGATAGATAGAGGTAAAATAATTTTTTCACATAAGAAGGAACATTTTACGAGAATTTTTAAAGATTATAAGTGCTACTAAAATCAGTATTTACGCACTACAAAACCTTTTACGAAAGGTGTTCACCCCAAGTTTCAATTTGATTCCAACGAGTTTCATTTCTAACATTTATATTTCTTTGAGAGAAAAAGTAATCCATAAAGATATAAAATTGCACAATAGAGAGTGCATGCAATTATAATATGGTATCATGCTTCGTATACAATTTTCATCTTGAAGCGTAGGCCTATCATGCTTGGCTCAACATTGAGACAGAATGTATCGTGAAATAAATGTAAACAGGTTATCTCCCATTCGAGACAAGCAATAGTAGTACCATAGCAAATGCTGGGTATGGTATAATTTGAATTAAGTAGAGAGACTATTGTAACTAAAACAAGGCAAATTAGCATTGCATGTTTCCCATAAGTAATATATATATATTCTTCCAACAAATTTAATGATTTTTTTTTTCTATTTGATCACAGGACAACCTTCGACGATAACTCCGGGTGCTGTTGGACAATGAGCTAAGGGGCAATGGTCGCCCATCTCCAATCCCCACCAGTTTGGTCCATATACACCTCGAATTTCAAGGAAAAGAGTAACGATAATTGTCAAAAAAGCTGCTCCAGTATCTAGTCCAGCTGATAACACATAATTATAGCGAGCCCACCACTGTTTGAATTTTCGAAAGATAAAATAATTGAATATTATACCAACTACGAACCATGACCAAAAGTTAACCGGAGTAGCTGGGGGCATGGCGTGACCAACACTGAAGATAACTGGCCAGTTAATTAGTCTTATCCATTTTTTTTCAGGATATATACGTGATAATATCCACACCGGCACCGGCGCAAGGAGTCCGATAATAAAAAAGACGAAAATAATAGAATATGTGCCGTGAGGATAAAACATTTTAGCTGGACCTATAACACCCCATGTGACTCCTACAGAAAAAAACCTTCTTTCGGTAGGGCATGTCCAGGGACTTCCTTTTGGTAACAATTCCGGATGACATATATTTTCTACCGAATACAAGAACCACCATGCAACAGTAAAGCCAATCACACACGACAGTAAGGTACCTAAAATCTACATGCAAAAGAAACATGGTGAAGGTAATTTAGTAATATAATTAAATTCAAATTTCGAGATATGTATGTAAGTATGTATATATTGCAATTCTCAAATCTATTGTAACACTAGATGAGAATGAATATAGCATAATGTTCCATAAATACCTGCACCAAGAATATTATTTTTGGAGGAATCTTCATATAATGCGATGTCTTCAGCATACTAGTAAAGTTCAATGCCATAAAAAGTGCAAAAAAACCATATGTTGTGAATGCTATATTTGCAATAGGTCTACCAGGATGCAAGTACCCAATTACGATCTCTAAGAAAAGCTTCACTGAAAACCCCTACAACACAATAATTAGCATATTAAAAAGATGAGTTAAAAGGGAAAATGTTTAGGATATTAGCATTCATGCGATGGATGACTTAATATTCATATGTTTCATCTTACCGAACTAGCAGTGGCTGCAAGTACACCTTCCGGAAACAAAAATATAAACACCAAGGCACAAGCTAATAGAACTCCCCAGTAACGAAGTTGAAGTTGCTCACTAAATATTTCACATACGAGGATCGCGAAACCCATCATCGAGAACAGTATAGAGTAGAACCACCACGAGGGAATAGACTCATAATTTTGCTTCATCAACCTTGTGTGGACATCTTGCCTTTGACTCTGATATGACTTGGCAAACTGTTGCCATACTGATCTGCTTATGCCAAGAGAGTGAGAAATCACTTTTTAACATGTAAATGGGGGGAATTTTGATTCGAAAAGATTATAACACTATAATTAGATAAGATATATTATGAATATGATTGAATTCTGAATATGGTTATTGAGAAATTCATATTACAGTAGGATTCTTTTGGGGATGTCCTTAATGGGAGGAACTCTCTTAATAATTTATCATAAATCCTCTATTCTCGTCTATAAATTAGACAAGACCTTTAAAGACTAAAGTTTCTCTCTCAACCTCCTTAATCAATTAATCTAAGTGGTCCCGTGAAAAGATAGAAAGAGAGAATAAGGAGAATCTAATTCTCCTTATATATTGATAACGATTTTCGAATCTAAAGACGATGCCCATATCATACGAAGTTCCCTTTTTAAAGGACACCAATCTAGTGTTATTGATTTCAATTATAGCATAAAAGTTTTTTTCATATTACATATAGCATATCACATATTTTATGCTTAACCGATCATTTCAATTGCAGAAAAGCACACTAAACATCGAAAATATTAAACTAAAAACATTTATGAGATAAAAAAAATTAATGATTCTTACCTCCCATAGAAGAGAACAACATGAGAGATACTTGAGGAAAAAGTAGCCAAGGTAAAACCATAACAATATATTAGGTAGGTACTGAAGTATAATTTGGAGTAATTATTGTATGCTTCTTCGTCGAATGTGAATGACTTCTCATCTAAAATCCGAGACACATTGTATAATTGCCCATCGACATCAAAAATATCCGATGAAAAAATAGGAAAGCGTTTGGCATCGTAGCCATTGTTCCAATAAGTGAATGGTACGAGAACATAAAGAATAAGAATGAATCCAGCCATCGTGTTGACCATCACATACGTAGGAGTTGCCAGAGGACTGCCTAGGTAGCCTGATATGGTCATCCAATCTAGCGCAAAGGACCCGATGCCTAATCCATGGAATCCAGAACCAATTTGCTGCGCAGTTATCGAGTCTTTCCATATCCAACAAACGAATGACAGAACCGTGATAGAAGGAAAAAAGTAAACAGGAACAATGCTGTAGGCAAAACTTGCAACGATGACTATGATGAAAAACTGATATCGTGACAATTTTCCCTTGACTCTTTTCTCCGGCTCGTGTAACGCTCTACGAGTGAAAACAACGAAGGCACGTTAAATAAATAAATTAAAAAATAAATAAATAAATGTCTCATGTCTTTTGCATTGTTTACAAGAAGAGGAACGCCACCTAACCTGTAGAAGGAGACGTCTACTAGAGTCGAAGGCCACCACATATAAGGCGAGTCCACTAGCAACTTCATGAATATGCCAGCAAACCCAAATCCGAGAAACTACACACCATAAGGCATTTACGGCAGTCGTTAATACATCATATACTTGGTTCTTCACCAATTAACTAAAACATCGAAGACCTCGATCACCATATTATTATGTTTTTTTTTTTAAGGATAAATAATAATAATATTATTTTTCTTTAAATATACAAATTACTACATTTCACGAGAAGCAGAAGCAATCACCTGAATCGATAGCACGAGCAGCATGGCCGGCAGTAACGGGATATCCTTGTGGTAGAAGACTTTGGATATGGACAATATATCAAAGCCGAAAGGATAACTAGCTGAAGCGGCCAACACGTTGGTCACCACATGTTCTTTCAAGTTGAAGGGGCCCGGATTCAACGAGAAACTCCACTTTGTGCATGGCATCCTTACCACTTTGTTTGGGAGCGTGTTAGCCATTAGTTTTCCGACTATGAGCACGATCATGTTGATGCAAGTAGGTGACAAGAAAAGGAGTTGCTGTCGGAAACCAGATAGTGCCGAAATTATGGACCCAAGGATGCAGATGGGGATTCCGATAAACCATGTTCGAAACGTCAAGGCCTGCAATGTATTATCATCGGTTGGTGGCACCGTCAACCGAACTTGCTCGATCGGAGAATCGTCCAGAATCGAACCTGAAAGACGAGAGGGAGGGAGGGAGGAAGGAAGAAGAACAAATTACATGGTGCATCGGGCAGTGGGTAAAACGAAAAATGTCACGGCACATCACCTTCTTCATCCGCCATTTGGTTAGGCATCCTGTAAGAGAATAAGGAGTATTATTGAGCAGCTATATAGTGGAAAGAAATCATTCTCCGACCATTAACAGAAACGATTTTGATGTTGTTGCCAAATATACTTACTTTTATTAGTTTCGAAGGTGTAGGTGTGACCGAGCTAATTATGGAATTAAATCTGCCAGTGATAACCAAATAATAACAATAAAGTGTAAAAAATCATTGATGTTGTTGGCCAAACATACATACTTACTTTTATTAGTTTTGAAGGCGTAGGTGTGACCGAGCTAATTATGGAATTAAATCTGTGAGTGAAAAACAAAATAAGTGTAAAAAATCATGAATTCTTCATGATGAGGAAGAATTATGGTACTATTTCTTTCCTTGGAAATTACTAATGTGGTGCGATGTCGCGCAGTGGTTTTTTTTTTTTTTTTTGTGGCCCCGTGTGCCAGAAGTAGCACCGGAAGGATATGTGGTTTCGAGAGAGAGAGTTGTGTATTTAAGATATTTGTGTTTCCTTAGCTTCGTTGAAACCCCTTGCAGACAATGAATGGGTCTAAGGAAGTGCAATTGCTATTCTCATTGTCCGTGATAGTGGTAATAATGATGGGACGTGCGTTGACATCAGCTCCTCCAAGATAATGATCCGTGCCTCGGTTTGACTTGACGCGCTTGACCGAGGCAGACCAGGATGACGACCGGGGCACGCCACATCCTGCGTAAGCCCGGTTCTTCACGCAACGCCCACATTGGTGTCGGACGCTATCGAAAGTACGGATCTGCCCCCTGCAAGCGGACACATCAGGAAACAATAAACTTCCCTATAAAAACCCTCGCGTTCGGCTCGAGAAGGAGTAGAGGAGAAAAAAGAGAATCTCATAAGACTATCCGCTGACTTGATTGTCGGAGGGGTCGGGTCGAGCCTCCCGACCCTACCTGTGTGCAGGGACGAAGATGGAGCGCCTCTCACCGCGTGCCTAGGCGAGGAGTTCCCTTCCAGAGGAAACGGCAGTCGGTCACCCCAATAGTCTCAAGGGTCGCTCAGGAAGATCCTCAATCATTCGGATCCGAACCCAATCGTGTTGACTCCGAGGCCACGGTTTAAGGTTGTTGACACCAATCGTCCGTATGGCCTCCTCCACGTAAAGACAAGTGGAATCTCAAGAGGCATGGGGAGGAGGTCTAAGCGATGGGGGAGTATCCGCCAGATTCAGTGTTAGCGGGTTATTTGGGTGGAAGTTCAAACCCTAACTCTTCTCTCTGGTTGGTCTGAGTCCCATAATCTCCCTTCTCTCCCAACCTCAAGCCCTGTTTCTGCATTACTACTCTCACACCCTTTGACGGTTCACCATACAGTGACTGTGATGATCATCGTGCATTACCTTGGCACTGCATGGGAGGTTAGATTGGATGCCTGGGTTGGGTAACATACGGATGGTCCAGGTAACCAACCTATCAGGGACTTCCTCAGTTTGCATTACCTTGTGCTGTACTTTAGTTTGTCTAGTTTCTGTGTTTAGTTTATTTTTTTTTTTTTTGTCTAGTCTTTTTTATCTTATGTGTTATGTTTTATTTTATCTAATGTCTGTGTCTGTGTTTGTATTTAAGTTTAAATGAATGTATGAGACGTTTTATATATTTAGTTTTTTTATTTTAAAATAAAAATTATTCTAACAAAAAAAAAATCATCATCATCACCATCATCAAATGTGACCAGAACAGAATTTAAATAATATATTAACATAATATTTATCTAAAAAAATTAATAAGAAAAAGCTTACTAATTATTTTTCCGAAGGGTGACCGGTCTCGGCGGCGCCGAGGGTGTCACGGCCAGAGTGTGTGTGCAGGGGATGCGCGCTGGATGTCGCTTATCTCGACGTACTTGGGCGCAAGGCCGTCCTTGGTTCTCTGTGAGATGGAGAGCTGCCGGAAGAACCGGACTCCGGCATAGGGAGAGAAGCCGCCATCATCCTTGGTGCGGCCGTCGGGGGCGTCGAGCGGCGACGGGGGACGGCGACTGGGTTGCTTCCGGGGTCGAATGTCCCGGCCTCGATCCACGAGTCCAGGAGCTCGATCTCCTGCATTTTTCCGAAGCCGGTCTTGGCGGCGCCGAGGATGTCACGGCCACAGAGAGTGTGTGCAGGGGAGGCGCGCTGGATGCCGCTTATCTCGACGTACTTGGGCGCAAGGCCGTCCTTGGTTCTCTGTAAGATGGAGAGCTGCCGGAAGAACCGGACTCCGGCATAGGGAGAGAAGCCGCAATCATCCTTGGTGCGGCCGTCGGAGGCGTCGAGCGGCGACGGGGGACGGCGAGTGGGTTGGTTCCGGGGTCGAATGTCCTCCATGTTCTATCTATCATGTAAGAAGACCGGCATGCGTGCATTCTGGATTGCATTTCAAACGAGCAACTTACGGATTAGAGGAACTTTGTCGGACATGCCCCCAACAAAAACTTCGTTGAATCATTCCAGCCTCATCCGTAGCTTACGACTGACTCCGATTGCGTCCAAATCCCTTACGTAACGAACAATCATAATAATAGACGATAAACACAAAAAATGAACGGGCATTTGATGGAATTTAGGATCTAAAGCGACCAAGTAGCAAAGAGCTTTTAGCACCCATAAGATCCAAGGAGGTACAGCATCAGCCGAAGTGACTCGAGAATCAATAAGGCTTGTTGTTACATATGGCATCGATACAGAAAACTTGGACTCGTCTCATGTTCCATCGTTTATGCTTCGACAATTTGATCTGATCTCCCCGTCTCGTCCTGTTAAAACGCCAACGCTTCCCAGTTTGATCATCGACTTGGAGAACTGAGCGAGAAAGAGCTTTGGATCATCAACATAGGATGCAGCCAATCTACTAGTGAAGTCGGTGAAAGCCAAGTTCTGGTCGAGGCGCAGCACGGCCCGGTAATCGAGCAAGCCTCGGTAGAAAGAGGTGTTCAAAGTGAAAGGCGAGGAGGAGGCAGCTGCTGCTTGGTTCATGAAGACTTTGGGATCTTTGCTCACGTTCTTGATCTCCACCACCTCGAAGGGGCATTTGTGTCGGAGCGTATCGAGCAGGCCAGGATCTATGTGTGGGTCAGCTAAACCGCTACCACGGAAGTTGTAAAGCCTGTCGATGAAGAATCCACAGTGGCACAATCCAATGCTATGAGCCCCTACAACGATCGAGCAACCTTATCGTGAGAGACTCGAAATATTTCGACGTTGTGATGCATTCCATGTATCATCTCAAAATTAACATCTCATCTACTTTTGACTTGAGATCTTCTGATCAAATGATTTGTTCTAACATGACTTTTCCATCGTCCACGAACTCTTCAAAGGTCAACAGATAAATGGATAACATCTACCAGGTCATAATAATTGATTAGAACTCACCCAATCTCAGTCTAGCCTGATGGCCGAGCCCTCGTTTAGCTACTGGGGACTTCCTAAATCGACTCGGGTTAATCCGAACATGAGCACCCTTCTTTCATCCTTCCATGTGAGACTTCGACGGTGCATTGTTTCCGTTCTCCGATGAGGGCGCAGACTCGTACGCCATTAATGCCATGCACATGACATGTGATGATGCACTCAAGCGCCTACCGAGAGTATCTAGACGTACTATATTCTTTGTTGGACTTCTACTCTAAATCTTAGTGGAACAGCTTAGACAGTCGAAGTAAGATAGCCATGAAAACAAATCTCTCTCAGGTGAGCTAAAACTTACCTAGTAGTGTTGTGAGATCTACCAAATCAAGGTTGATCGTTTGGAAGGCAGATAGGGCAGCCTGGACGGAGAAGGACGGGCCAGGAAAATGAGCATCTTCCATCAAAGAAACAGTCCCATCTCTTCGCCCGGTCGGAAGAGGGTACGCCTCTCCCCCTGACAGTGCGACCCCATCTCTTGCGGCCAGCGCTAATATGTCAGCACAGGACACGACGCCGCGGCATTCCTTCTCCACTTCAGCCTTGATGTCGTCGATCACGTCGAACGCCCTCAGTGTCAGGTTGGGAGGAGCCTCCTTCTCCGCTATATTGTAATCGGTGCTGTCGACGAGCACCGAAGCATCACATCCCTGTAGCGAAGCAGATCTCACAACTCCTCGAAGAGAATAAACTACTGGATGGGTAAGAAAAGTAGAACATACTTTGATGAAACAATCATGGAAATGCAGGCGGATAAGGCCGGCAGGGACTGATGGGTCCTTCTGGCAATGCTTTTGCACCACCTCTTTCACGATGAGCTCCGCCCTGGGGCATGAGTCCCTGTAGAAGTTCAGTTCTAGAGAGAAGGATGTGGTGAGAAAATGAGCTGCGAACAAGAGGAGGAGGGATGAAGAGAGTGCTGCCATCGCAGAGAAGAGCCTGTGCTCTCACAGCAGTGTCGTAGCAGATGAGGGCAACTTATGGGAGCTGCGTGCCATCGCCACCAACGCTACAAATTTACGAGAGCCGTGCGATTCTTGTTTGCGTGTTCAACGAGATCTTGGGATGTCACATGAAGTCAACATCTAATTAATCAATGCAGCACCAAATTTTAATCGACTGATTCCTCGTTTCCAGATCAAATTATGTCCTGTTTCGTTTAGTTTGGTTAAAAATAGCTGTAGATCTCACTACTCCTCTTCGCTTGGGTTTCCGAGAAGGTCAAAGTCGCGTGGAATAGATCGTAAGCAACCGTGGATAGATTTCTTGTCGACACGGCTCTTAAGCTCCGTAATAAGAGACGCTTTGAGTTTGACCTTTCTGAACTCGTTTAGCTTTCGGAGACTCGACTCCGCTGCTTCCGAGAAATGGGAAAAGCCAATGAAAGCCCATAGCTTCGTCCGAATGCCGTGTCTCACACAACTGAATCCAGACTCGAAATCTATCATATCTATCCCTTATTACCTGCTCGGATTGGCCAATCCAACACAGCACACATGAAACAAGGATTGCATCCATGCAATTCACTCGGACATCCAATCGAGATCATAGCGAAACAACCAACTTCAAATCAAAACAAAAGGCAAGGAAAGCATCACACGATCAATCCAACATAACGCACATCAATATCTGCATTCTTTATATACCCGACACTAAACGATAGACGTATTTACAAGTTAGTGATGCTTATTGGCAATATAATGTGAAGATTCGTTATGTACAAATATTCCCAAGAATGAAATTCCCAACTTCCTTACATCATAACCTTTCGTTTCAGAGTTGAATTCCTTTCTGCTTTGCATTTCCACAAGACGTATACATGTCTACAAACACAAGATTATATCTCCACGGACAATTAAAAAATAGTTGCTACACACCTGAGATCGCACCGGTTCTTAAAAGTTTCCCCAACTCAACTGTAAAAGGCACGTCAAAACGGGGAGTTAGAGACGTGTCCAAATCGCAAGCAAACAAATGGCTCCTTGAGAGAGTATAATCTTACAATTAGCGCCATGATATATCATGGAAGAAAATGAAACATCCAAAGGGCAACATACATGAAAAATATATATATATAAAAAGCACACTACAATAACCAAAATAATAAGGCGTGAAAGGTTTACAAATCAACAGCTTGGTGGCAAGGAAATTCGTAGAGTCCTAACCATAATGCTACAAATGAAATGTGAATAATTATCTCCCAATGCTAGAATTTAAAAATGAAAACATATAAGTGAAACGAACTAACTCTACTTTTAGACTATTAGTGGTTCACATATAGTTCCTAAAGCCAACCAGATAATGAAAGCTCATTCACTATGGACTCTAGCAATATCAAACAGTAAAGAGGATAATGAATAGCCATTATCAGAACAAGGTATGGAATACAGTTCACGAATGAATAGTAAGACGATTACCATACTGACAGCAATTCTAAGACACAACATGTTAAAATACTAAATAGACAAACTGAAAATAAATGATGTTTCAATTTATGCAGGACCGTACAATGATATGCCACTGACCAAGGTTTCAAATACTAGTCAGTACAGAGCATACCAACTGGTATATACCAGTCCAATAACGGACTAGTATCACACCATACCGGTCAGTATTTGAAACTGGACTGCATGAGTTATACTGCCTGGCAGGCACACATTGTACCAGTCCGTTAGATTACCGAAATCAGTATCAGATAGACACCTAATATCTTGACACCCACTCTTTTGTTTTACATGAAGGGTAAAAAATGTTGGACATTGAAAGAAAATACTACAACACTCAAATAATAGATGATAAATTGACAAATATAGCTAAGCCAGACTTCATGTGGGCATCATTCAGCTCAAATCATGCAAAAATGAAAGCTAAGATTCACCTCAACAGATCCCATTGTCATATCCAGAGAGTGGGTCCTGGATCTTCAGGTTCTTCATATTATCTACCGGCTCAAGTTGGGCTTCCAACTTCAAGTCATCGCTACCATTTACAAACTTGAGCTGACCTCTTATATTTTGGCTATTTGTAGTGTTATGTACAAAGCCCTTGTTGGCATTTGCAAAGGATCGGCTCCAATCATTACCACTGATGTCATTTGGAAGCTCAGCCATTGTGGCATTATCAGATATGCAGTCCAGAGAGCTGCTGCTGCTTCTATGTGAAAGCCTTCCACTTTCTAACAGTCCTGATTTCTGGCGCGGTATTGACCCCAATTTGTTGACAACAGATGCAGTTGTCCTGAAACAAGAAAGAGAATATATATATATATATATATATATATAGAAGAAAATATAATTAGGACTGATTACTTATAAGGGCAAAGCAAAAATACTCGAGCATTTCAAACTGCAACATGGATGATTTTGGCAAAGTTATCAGAATCAGACCAGACCTTGGTTGCTGGAACATGGGAGTTTGGAGATAGTCAAAAACTGGAATCAGATCTTTCGATCTAGTCTCAATTGTACAGCTTGTGATCTTTTCTATCTCAATTTCCCCATGGATATTACTACTGTAATGTTCTTTAATATTCTCATCAATCATCACTTGAAAGCAAACCTGCAAGTTAAAATTCATGCAGGCACAAAAACGCAATGATCAAATAGAAGAAAAATAACCCATCAGGCAAACAATCAAACTCCAACATAAGACATGAAATACCTCAGACTTTGCCCATAGTGGGGTACAAGCTTCATGAACATGCAACTCTACCTCTGATAAGTATGCATGATGAGTTTCTTCACCACTAAGCTTCCCTTTCATGTCCACAACACTACCAGCAGGATAGATGCTAGTCCCCTTTCTAAGCCCTTTCTGGAAAATTTTAGCACTCTGGTCATTTCCATGATCACCGTATATGTCCACATTGTCACTCCTGTCTCTTCTGTTTCTCTTATGACAGACATCCCATTTCTGAAGCGCCTCAACATCTAACCTTCCATCAGCTTCTTGTATTGACTGATAAGAAGCATTACTTGAGCCAGATACACTGATGCCATAATTTTCACCTATCCATTGCCGCAACACATATTGTATAATACAGCCAGAAGGAGCAAATACAAGTAAATAATATTGTGTCCTGACTGAGCTGATATCAATCTGAAGACCAGAACCCTTGCAGTTATGGAATGCCGAAGCAATAGCACCATAAAGAGGACTGACCTTGCCTGTCGCAGCTGCTGCAGCACCACTGACGGCACCTTTTAAACCATTACTCCCATTCCTTATTCTGCTTACGGCTGATAACGTGAGTGGAGTACCAGATGCAAAAAGGCTCTGGTGGCTATGCTTCGAAGATGATGAACTATAACGTAGATGTCCTGATTCATAGCAACTGTTTGCAAATTTACCCTCACTTAAATGAGGTTTCATAGTTGCTCCAAATGCCGGGAGTGCAAATAAATGACTGGTTCCTCTTGAAGAGCTGATCATTATCGATTTGCTGTCATCACTAAAACTGATGTCCTGTATAATCTGATAGAGGGCACAAAGGAAATTATCAAATTATATGTCAACAGATCAAGATTAAGAGAAACATAAGAATTTGCAAGAATGATTACCGCATTCGTTATGCCACGCTGCAACCTGTAAAGATGAATGCATGTTCCTTTTATATCAGACTCTGTGGAGCCTCCACGCGGAGAGGGTACTATACCAAAAATGTTGATGTTGTGACCATGAATAGAAGCTGTCACTAATAACATTCCACTAGGGTCGAAGCACAATGCAGAAATAGGACTTGAATGTGCCCTGAACTGGGCTATGACTGATTTAGAAATAATGTCTCGAATTATGACCTATCAATTCAAAGATAAACAATTTAACTTTTGGATAGATAATTTTTAAACTAATAGCTACCTATTAAGAGGAAAACATATCCCATATTAATCTTTTACCAAGCTTAAAAAGGTAGACCATAGAGCAAAGACAAATTATAATATTTGCAAAAGTACATAATTCTGAACCCAGAGTACAGCATCATACCATGCCAGCATTTTCTGTCTCAGATTGTTGTCCATTCATAGTACCATTGAGTTTCAAGCTGGAATTCCCTTGCTTTCCAGAACCATTATTGTCCACAAGAAAATCTGAGTAATACTTGGAGAGCTTCTTATATCCCATGTCTCCAAGTGTCACTAGGCCAGCGGCAAGCTGCTTACTTGATTCCTTTGCAAAGTTTGCTACCAAACTACCATTCGAATGTGGTACGGACACACCTGTAGGAGGATACATGTGTTGGGGGCTCACACGGCCAGTGCTTGAAAATGCTACTGGGTTACCACTATATGCCAGCCACCTTGTACCAATTGCCAGTGGTCCATAACCTATGCCACCAGAACCAGGGCAAGCCGGAACTATGGGGTAAGTAAGAACCGTATATTCTCTCTCCAAAGTTGCAGCATCTAAACAATGTATCTGCATCATGAGTCGTATTAATGCTATATCTGTACAGCTAAAACTTGTTGAGGATTAAAAAAAAAAGTAATACCTACCTGGGTAGCTTGACAAACCACAATAACTCGAGAACTGCATCTGACAGAGAAAACAGCTGCCCTGAACTTCAAGACATGTACATAATCATGGGTCCTTAGAGAATAAAACCGAAGATAAGTAGATAACAGATTATCACTACCCAGATCATGATGACCATTGGACTTATTACAAGGAGAACCACACCCATCAGGGTCATTGCCATCCAAAGTAACTGAACTATCTTCAACAACAATCAACAATGGGCGAACATCTGCAAACTTATCTTCACGGTATTTTGATGGAATTAACTTCTTTTGCATTTGAAGAAAGGAAACAGGTCCATCATGTCTTGATACCAGCTGTCTAACATCATCTGCCAGCTCAACATCCCAAACCTGGAAGCCAGATCTGTAACCCAACAAAAGAACTTGCCGAAGATGACCACCTTCACATTCCAATTTATCAAATCCAGCCCAGTACACCTTTTCACCAACATCAATTATTAACCAGTACCGAATATGCATTTAACATGTTACACAAACAAAGCAAAGGAGCACAAACATGAATAATTAGTGCTTAAGTGTATGCACATTTTAACTCCATATTGATGTTAGGCAATGTCACCACATATTACCCTGAAAAGCGGATGATAACTTCAACTTCTGAAAATAAACATACATTGGATGCAACCTTTCTTTTTAGATATCAGTTTTTACAATATGAAAATTAGTAGAATCTACGTCACTCTTACCACTTCCTAATTCTCAAATTGCTCAAATTCAATAGGAAGCAATGCCAGTCCTAACTAAGAAAGTCTTAAAAGAGCATCAAGTATCTGTTCACCTTTTTTTGTTAAATGGAACTAAGCAAGACTTCTGATAAATCGATGAATTAGATGATATAGTCTTATGGTAGCACATTCATGTCTCAATGTATTAGATGTCCATGGTAGTTTCATGCAAGGGCTGTTGTACCATCCAATATAGTACGATACGGGCAGTACATACTAATCCAACAAACTGCCGAGACACGGACCGCCGCCCCGTATCGGGTGGTATTCAAAAGGGAGGTCTGTATTGGGCAATACGAGCTTTGTACTGGGCGAAACGATCGAAATTTAACTGTTACCAAGTTATACCGATCAGCAATGATTGAATTTCAATCAATATTGATCAATGGCTATGATTCATCTTGATCTAATAATCAATTTGACTCTTAGACCTCTTTGAAACCTAATTTAAACCCTCTCCCTCCCCTCTTTCACTCTCACAACTTCTAAACTCTCCTTCTCACGCATTCTCACTCTTTGAGGTTGATTGTTGATCATTCTTTTTCAAGGTTGAACGTTCTTATGATATGGAGCAGCAGGTCAGTGGCGATAACATATAGTTTTGGTATTCTCCAACCTCCCCACACATACATGTCACAACCATACTTACCTCAGGAGGCTCCTCGGACAAGTATTGTTTAGGATAATCAAGAGATAACCGTCACCACGTTGATGCACCAATGACATATAGTTTATCAGCACACTATGCCATTGGAGCAATTTCAAGATTGGATCCGACATATATACCATATCGATATATAAATTCATAGGATCGAGGACCTCAATCCACTGGCTGTAGAGGCCCACCGTTCATTTCGATGGTAAAAGCAGGTATATTCAATTTGTTGTAGCTGTCTACTTGATCTATTCAAATCTTTTTAACACATAATCTAACATTTCAACTCGTATCTTTGTAGATGATTCAATATCAATGGAAGAACCATTCGAAACGCGTCATAAAGCTACTCTTCAAAGTCCAAAAAAAAGATAAATCTGCTATCCCTTCCTTATTTGAACATTTTCTTATTGAAATTGAACTAAATTTGCATTTAAGTTGTAATTAAAATGCTATAATTTAGTTTTTTATTTTCCAGATATTTTCTGAGAATTTTCGACCATTTTTTGGTTCTATTGGTACGTACCGGCATATCAACATACGGTATGTTGGTACGAACCGGTATTACCAATCTGAGCCTAGACCAGCACCACCAGCCAGCACAAGACTGCAAACTTTGGTTTCATGAACATGTTTAAATGTGTTATGAATCATTTGTGCTAGCATTGTCAACAGTTGCATCACCAACTAATTACTGGTGCTTCGGTCATGCAACGTAGAGCATAATACTTAAAAAGTAATGTCCAGTTTTCCATAACTGAGGGACAACTATGTCTGTCTTCACAATACTTGTGAATTTTAATATTTCATAAAACTAAATAAAAGGAGAAGGCCATAGCAGACGATTCAAAGTAAAATTTACCTTAAACTACAAAATAGTTATTTTTAGTACTATTAGTAGATCATATCTTTATTAACTCAATATTTTCTTGATTTACAATCAACAGATTATTTCTTCTAATTCTTGTGTGGGTTTATGGTCGGGAAGTATGTAAATAAATGATATCTTTTAGTACTAATTGTGGATCACAAAACTGTAGTTATCAGTTCCATCTACTTCAAAAGAAATTAAGTTTCAAAAAAGAAATTAAGTTTCGAAAAGAAAAAAGTATACTTCTGCATGAGCCAAATTCATCCTACATCCAGGTTTTTCAATATAGAGGAACACCAAGAAAAATCAGAATAACTCATCTAGTGCCAAATAGCATTAATAAGTTGTTACCACCTTTATAAAGACTAAAACACACAAGTAATATACTTCAAGTTGAGATATATATGGTTGCATTAACTAGGTCGACTGGCATTACCAAGTGCGCATGATTGATTTAATCCTGCCAAAGCAATCAAGGAATATATTGTTCTTAACATATTTCTGGCTATCTCCAATAGCAAGTAAAGTTTTTCTTAGTTAAAACAAAATTGTATTTTTAGATTTGAAAAAACTTCTCAGATCATGTTGCATGCATAATCGATTTATAGCTATTGCATTCAGATGGACTTTTACACAGTATACCCATGCTGCATGAAGATATACTTTTCCATAAAACTAAAGCCAATTAGCATTACCATGATTATGCATAATGACAACCACACAGCACGAATCAATTCAAGCACTACAAGAATCCAAATCAGAAAGGTAAAAATGGATAGTATGTGGAATTTATGTTGTGTGATTCTAAATAGATACTGTCCTTGGTCAAAAGCTAATCACTATTCACGAAGTAACACGTCAACAACTATTCATTCAGTATATGCAAGCTTGACAACCCAGAAAATAAAAATACTACACGACTTGGTTCCGCATGTCATCATCTCTTTTTGGGTTGATTAATAAAGCAATCTCTAAAAGAAACCAGAAATTCGTGACATCAACCAAGAAAATTCTCTCTATGCTTCAATGTAAAGGGCGCATAGAGACGGTGACAAGAGAAAACCTAACTTCTGGCAAAATCCAGCTAAAATACGGGTAAATGAAAAAGGGTATTTGATTACAAAAGAAGAAACCTTTTATACCACTCAAGTAAAACAAGCATGAACTTCTCTTTCAATAATGCCATATTAATTCCTTCTGAAAAGAAACATAGAAAGGTAATTGTGCGATCAAATTACTCCTTTTTCCTGGCATAAAGTAAAATCCAAGGATCAACTAATTTTTGAGCTGAACTAAAGCAAAATAGAAGTTCATATAAAATCCCAAAGTAGGACCGGACCAGAAGGCTGCAAGCGGTACCTGATCGCGGCCTGCATCATCATGGCGATTGGAGATCGAAGACACTATGGACGCCCCCGCGGAACGCACGTTAGATGCGACGTTGGACGCACCCGACGACACGATCCTCATGTAATTCGACAGTGACCGGACCGAGAAGAAGCCGTTGCCGCCGCTCCGGCCGTTCCTCGGCGCACCGTCGTCCTGATGCTTCTGCGCATCGTTCTTCATCCCCCAACCCCCAAATTCCACCGGAAACGAACCCCGACGGAGCGAAACAACAAAGAAACGGAATCACGACTCGGGCTCGTCAAAGAAAAGTTATATCTTGCGTATCATGACCCGAGGGCTGTTTCTTTGGACTTTTCTTGGGCAACAAGAAACAGCCCAAACCCTTCTTCTAGCTGCGTAGCCTCTCCATCTCCCCCAGAGGGAAAAAGAATAAACTAGAAAGAGCTCAACGCAAGATCCAATCTTTCTTCCCAAAACCGATCCTTCGATGAAGAAAACCTCGTACCTGCTCGATTCTACGCCTTCTTGATGGAAATCTAATTCAACTGCTCGGAGAAATTAGGGCTTTCGGGATCAATTTGGAGCTTTTCCGCGAGCTTATCTATTTTTCCCCTTTTCGGGGGAACGATGACACGGAGAAGAAATGCGGGTGATCAGATAAAGAGTCCCGTTTACGTCTCTCTCTCTCTCTCTCTCCTTCTTTTATTATTATTATTATTATCTATTTCGAGGAATTATTAATTATTATATACTACTATAAATATTGGTTTAATTTAATATAGGAAAACAAATATATCTAAATTCGATGAATTAAAGCAACGGAGTTTCCACGAGAGACACGTCTTTGTTTCGCCCGTTTTCCCCTCCACGCGGCGAAGACGAATCGAAGCTCGACAGGCAATAGGAGCGAGGGGTCCATGTACTGTGTCTCGGTTGATGTACCTAATCACCTACCAACGTTTTACTAATTTTAAATACAATAAATGATGATTCATATCTTCATTAATTATCCAAAAAATTATTAAGATATTAAGTATACAAAAGATATCTCCTTAATTAATCAGCCCCTTCATGTAGTAGTGGTGCGATTCCTCCTCGTCTTAGTATGTCGTCTGAACCATTCAAATCATTTTAATTTTGATTGGTTTCCCAAATCAAAATAGGATGTTGATGGTCAACCTCACCACAAGTGGCCACCTCTATTCAGTTTCCATTGGTTGGAGCATCTATTTTAGTAAAAGTATAAGGTGGACTCTCTTGTCAAAAACCCTTTTATGTTATTGGTAACCCCTTACTATTAGTAATTTTTTTAAAAAAATAATAAATTTAACTTTATTAATTATAATTTCTAGATTATAAATTTTACTTTATTATTTTCTAAAATTATTTAACATCTAATCTCGTTCGATACTCTCTCGATATCATAGTCCCGATTCAAGATAAAGGTATCATTCTATCATCGTCTCTATCTTCCCAATCCATTCCTCCCCCTTTATTATTATCCTTATCGACTCCCGACTCAATTATAAGCCGAAGAAGAAATGTCTCTACTATTTCTCTTATAATCATTTTTTCATGCACTTATAATTATACTAGTCCAGATCCAAAAGATGTGAAAGATAAAAACAAGCAAAAGATGATGAGTATTTATGTGCAAATAGGATATTTTAGAAGTATTAGAAATTCTAAAAATGGGTTGTAAATAACAAAAAAGAGTTGTGAATAGGTATCTACCTATTTTAAACTTAAAATGGATATATATAACTTTAATTTAAAAAATTTTGATTTTGAAGGATAAGTGTATTTCTTGAATAATAACGAAAATAAATTTAGACAAATATTTCTTAGATGATAAAATAAAAGCAAAGACATCCGCTCTCTCGAATATATTGCATAAATTTCTATAGATTACACAACAATAATACGCAAAGAGAATCCTAAGGATACATGTATTTTGTGTTCTAAAGCAACAACATAATTTAAACATACTAAAGGGAAGAAAAAAGAATATGAATTTGAAGGAGGAGAATCCTACTTGATTAATAGGGAATAATACCACTGAGGAGTATCTCCCATTTCTATCGCAAGACACACGAGGAGTGTCTCTGCAAATAAACACGATCATGCCTCAATCATGTGAACTATCTATCAGTAATGGTCTGATTGCGCCGACCAGGAAAAAGGAGGCATCCAAAGGACTCTTTAATATAAATGTGACAAGGTGAAGCTGCAGGATCTTATGCCTTTACACCTTCAGTTCATCGTTCATCTTCATTCAACCTGAATGCAGTAGTCGAAGATCAAAAATAAAAACACTGCAGCCTTCTCGTTGGGCAGTCGCTGTCTTCTCTAAAGGATCTTATCCAAGGTTCCTTGACTTCCCTCCTCCTTCATTTGAAGGCAAAGGAACCCAAGAATGACACACTATCAATACACAGACAGCAGCTTCTCATCTATTCTTAATATATCATCATATATACCCTCGCATGCTTCAAAACCAAGACATGAGATCCGAGGGAAAGGAGTGAGAACAAATGAGTGTTTGGTTCATCAGAAAAATACCCAGTTTCAAATATGAAATTGCCCCCACCAAACTGGTCTTTTAGGCTACTGAGCCACCGTCCCTTTCTCGAACGACTTCTCTCCGCCCGTTCTTCGTTTGCACCCTTCAAAGGAGGAAACATTAGTCCAAATGCTAAGCAATGGTTGGTGGTGGATAGCAACCTCGACAACCAGAACTGGTCGCCTATTAGTCACCAAGAACCTCTCCTCTCTCTTCCACCTCGTGGCCTTCCCGTGTCGATACAACTCCTGGTTCTCCCGAAAGGAACAAACGGAGCATTATTTGGCTATCGCTAATAGATTTCGTTTTGTCGTGAGGTCTTTGAAGTCACCATGCAACTCTACATATCGCCGAGCATGAGGCAGGTCACGGTGTTCCCGGGGAAGGGGGTGAGGGAATTCATCAAAGTGAAGGTTACGTCGAGAAGGCTTTCTTGTAAGATGGTCATCTACTCCCTTCTCTTCCTGACATTCTTGCTCAGATTCATATTTGTGTTGACGGCAATGGATACGATCGAGGGAGAGACGCGATGCTCTTCTTTAGGTATCGCCATTCTTACCCCTCCACCCTTTTTCTTTTTCTTCTTTGTCTTGCATATATCATCAAGTTTCAGAATGAGATCAAGAGGATCGAGCTTTCTCTTTCCGATCCTGCCATTATCATGCTATACGAGCGACCGTTTATGCATTCTCTCTGACTTTTAGTTCATCAGACTCGATACAAAACCAAAAATCCAAAGTACTTCGATTTGATCGATCAAGCATATCATAGCTGAACCCATGGCATTGGGCATGCACCGGCTACACATTAATCAAGTTAGATGTAGTTGAATGAGGAAAGAGGCTTGGATTCACTAACAAGTTGTTACTAAGAACACGATGAGTATGTTTGAAGTTATAATATTCAACATATATTTCCGAAGAGATAGAAGGGTATGCTAAGTTCAGGCAGCAAAAGATATAACATCTTCATGTCCAACTCCTAAGCAAAAGCAACTCTCAGAATAGTTGGCAGGCTGCAGATAGGGACTGGTGATACACACTACCGACTGATCGAAGAACATGATTTACTGTAGCAGGTTGCTGGCCTGTCACAAGCTGAATCTGGTGACATCCAATCTAAAAGACCTTCAACCAAAAACAAAGAAAAAGAAAAAGTTCTAATTCTTAAAAGTTGACGCTCGAAGAAAAGAAAGTGTCTATCATCATTTCTCTTGTTGGGCATGGTGGGGTGAGGAGATTGTGACAGCTGAAAATTCCACTTCACTCTCCTCGGAAGCTATTGCAATCTGCAGTGGTAGATGTCCTAAAATGGATGAGTTTGCTTGATTACTCGCCCAATTCTATCTGTTGATACGACATGTTTTACCTTTTACTTCGGTCATGTTATCCTAATTAGAATACCTTCTCAATGTACTCTGCTTGTTGGCCATATCTCAGGGTGCATAGGTAAGAGATTAGATCCAAGGATGTGGAGGAGGCTGGACTCGGTGGTACGTTTCAATCGCTCTGCACTTGGTCTCATCTTCAAGCATCTGAAGCAGAGGGGAAAAATCATACTCATACTCATAATCATAATCATAATCATAATAGTAGAATAAGATGATTCCAACTATGTTCTCTTGCAGAGGGTTCCGGAGGAGATATATCAAGTGTTAGAAGAAGCCGAGATCCAGGAGGCGATGCCTCGGGCGGATGTCCCTCAGACACTGGAGGCGTTCGTCGCAGAAATGAAGAGTAACAGATCGGATGCCAAAACATTTGCCCTGCGGCTCAAGGCGATGGTGAGTACGAGCAAAGCACTGGTTGTTGAGGACGGGAAACTGGGAGCGTTGACTGTTGACTTTCAGGTCTCGCTGATGGAGCAGAAGACGAGGGTGGCGAAGATACAAGAGTACCTGTACCGCCACGTGGCGTCCAGCAGCATCCCCAAGCCGCTGCACTGCCTGGCGCTGCGGCTGGCGCAGGAGCACTCCACCAACGCAGGGGCCCGCCTCCAGCTGCCGGCTCCGGAGCGGGTCCCGGCCCTGGTGGACCCCGGGCTGTACCACTTCGTGCTCGCCTCGGACAACGTGCTGGCCGCCGCGGTGGTGGCCGCCTCCCTCGTGGCCAACGCCTTCCGGCCGGCCGCGGTGGTGCTGCACGTGATCACGGACCGCAAGACGTACGCGCCCATGCAGGCTTGGTTCTCGCTGCACCCTTTGGCCCCGGCGGTCGTCGAGGTTAAGGCGCTGCACCACTTCGACTGGTTCACCAGGGGCAGGGTCCCGGTGATGGAGGCCATGGAGAGGGACCGGGCTGCGCGGTCGCAGTTTCGGGGAGGGTCGTCGGCGATCGTCGCAAATGTTAGCGAGAAACCAATCGTCGTGGCGGCCAAGCTGCAGGCTTTGAGCCCCAAGTATCACTCTGTCATGAACCATATCAGGATCCATTTGCCCGAGGTCAGCATATCTATCCGATTCATCACGTCAGAACACTTTGACATACATGTCTAAGAGGTCTTTAGTTCCTTGCGCTGCAGTTGTTTCCTAGCCTTAACAAGATTGTATTTCTCGACGACGACGTCGTCGTCCAAGCTGATCTTTCACCTCTGTGGGACATCGATCTGCAAGGCAACGTAAATGGTGCAGTCGAGACATGCAGAGGCGCGGATAAGTTTGTGATGTCAAAGAGACTCAAGAACTATTTGAACTTCTCCCACCCATTTATATCTGAGAACTTCGACCCTCGTGAGTGTGCTTGGGCGTATGGCATGAATGTTTTTGATCTCGATGCGTGGCGGAAGACCAACATCAGTGTTACTTACTATCACTGGCTACAAAAGGTACATCTGAAGCTTTTATCAATGTTACTCCTTCAACTTCTGTCCTGCTCACAGCTTTGATTGTCCTTTTTTCTTTGCCATTCACTGTTCTTAGAACTTAGAATCAGACTTGAGTCTATGGCAACTGGGCACTCTGCCTCCAGGATTAATAGCCTTCCATGGTCACGTTCACGTCATTGATCCATACTGGCACATGCTGGGTCTTGGCTACCAAGAAAACACTACCGTAGCAGATGCAGAGAAAGCAGCGGTGATCCATTTCAATGGCAGGGCTAAGCCATGGTTGGACATAGCGTTTCCGGAGATAAGGCCTCTATGGACCAAGTACCTGGATTTCTCAGACAAGTTCATCAGAGCTTGTAACATAAGAGCTTAACAGGATGGACATGGGGAAATGATCACTGCAAAGAATCGACCGTGATGGTTGATGTGCTCTTATGCTTTCATGGGTTGATCTGATGTCAGAAGCTAAAGACCTATAATAGTTTTGGTTCCTTTTTACCTTTGTCTAGGAAAGATTTTGTTGATTTGTTGTTGCATTTTGGATCATAAATAAATGATGCAATTTTTATGAGTTCGTGTACAACAACAATTTACCAAATGGAATGAAATGCCACATTCTTTCGATACCAATTATAATTATATGTATCAGAAATAAATATTATCTCGGATAAAACTTTACATAGAGGGACAGTCTTTTGATTTAAGATAATGCTTATGTATGTCAGTGTCTTTTGGTTTGTTCATGCTTTACACAACATGTAGAGGGACGATCGAAGACTTAACAAACCCAACTAGGTCAAGACTTAACAATCTCAATTTAGTTACAAAGTATTTTCTGAAATGATTGAATGTGAGGGCGTTTTCTCTAACGCGTTTTCTCTTTTGTAAGTTCTAAGAGACCATATGAGGTTTCAGGAAAGTTGACCTTTGCCAGACGAACACGCAAGGATACAGCACGACTTAGACAAAACCAACTACGTCCGTGACATTCCGATAGAAGAAATTTTTCCAAATTATTCTTATTTTCTTAGAAGAGAGAATAAGAAGGGAAAACTATCCGAATATTACCCAATCGTATCTCACTGTCCAAACCCAGTCGTACAAGTATTATGAATTCCATTGATACAAAAGCTAAAAGCCTACGGAAATGGACATCCATCTATACAGAGGAAGAACATCTAAGAAATAATGTAACACCATATTCAATTATTTCGTAGTACATTCATGACATTCATTTTTCTAGAAATAATTATGTAATACATCAGAATTTTCATGAACAAGAATCTCAAATCGGACAATAGGAGTGCTGAATGAGAGCGGTAAACTTATAGAAACTCAAAAATATGCAGATGTCCCTGTTGTTGAGGCAAATAATCAAACAACTTACGGGCCAAATATTGCAGGAGGAGTACACTCAACTTTCACGGACTTGAGACGAAGCAACACTTACTTGTTCACCTTCCTTCCAGTCACATTGGAGACCAGATCACTGATAAACTTCACGGACTTGGTGACCGGCGAATTCGCGGCCATCAGATTGTACAAGACGTTCTCGACCTCCGCGATGGACGGCCTCCTCTTGAACGTGGTGACCATCTTCAGCTCCTCCTTGTTACCTTCTTCCTCCACCATGACCACCCACCCTTCCCCACTCACCACTCCATCCCTCACGCATTTCAACACCACACCGCTCCTCTTGCTGAGGACGCCTCGGACCTCCAACCCCATGAAGGAGTAGACCACCTCGAAGGAGCTCACAAAGCTCTCGGCGGCCCTGCCCAAGTCCTTCTCCTCCTCGAACCCCCACTGGGGGTTGAAGAGGACCACCGGCTTGGGGTAAAGGCAGTCGGTGACCGCTTTCATTTCCTCCAACTGGGACACCTCGGGCGCCATAAAGACCGCCAAGTCCGTGGAACTCAGCGACTCGGACGTCACCGAGGCACAGTCCGAGTTGACGATCGAGTCGACCGAGTCGAACGCCTGCCGCGCCGAATCTGCCACCGCGGGAGAAGGCCACAAGATCAACAGCCTCGGTTTCCCGCCCTTTTTCCGGATGGACAGGTCAGAGAAGACGTCGAGGGCGAGCTGGGTGAGGGAGCCCGGTGAGTCGTCGACGACCGGTATCTCGACGCGGTACCGGGGATGTCTCAGCTTCTTGAGCTTCCTGGTGGGGAGGGGAGGCGAGTTGTTGAGGGGTTTCTGCAGGGTGGTGGAGAGGCAGAGCTTGGCCTGGGAGATGGCTTCTTCTCTAGAGGAGGGAGGTTTGTAGGGAGTGGGGGAGGAGAGGTCCCGAGTGGAGGAAGCGGTGATGCGTCCTAGTGAAGAGCTGACGAGTGAGGCAGAAAGGTGCGGTCTTTTGGGGAAGGTGGGGGACGCGTGTTGGAGGTGGACATTAGGATGATGGAGCGGAGGTGAGGCTCCGAGGCAGGTCTGGGAAGGAAGAAGCTTGAGGAGATTGGAGGCCATTAATTACGGTAGCAGAGATGCAATTGCCAAACACCGCTCGTTGGAGCCTGAAACGGATAAGCCTGTAGCTTAGGCTCCACGACCAAAAAGGCAATGCCCGTGATCAGCATCATGTCAATTAATACGTTGACATTTCACACTAATGTATTTTCATTAAAAAAAATACATTTTTTATAAAATAAAATTATCTTTAATTTTCGTCCCATCATCTTCATCCCTCTCCTATCTATTGGTGCATCGTACTTTTATCTTGTCCATTGTTTATCTAAAGTCTTGACCCTATCTATTGGTACATCGTACTTTTCTCTTGTCCATTGTTTATCTAAAGTCTTGGCACTAGGCTCTCGCTCTTTATCTTTGTTACAATTTGCATCGTTGTTATCATTTTCATCCTCGCCTCCATCTCGAGCATCTCCCACTATGCCAATTTCGAAACGAACATTCTCAACCTTTTGAATTTCGAGCCCCCCATCCCCTCCTTAAAAAAAAAAAATACTTAATAAACGTAGTCCACTTGTTCCGCCTATCGCTTTCACCTTTTTTTATTGCTCGATAAAAAAAAAATAACAGTTTGGGAAGGAGTCTCAAAGCGATGCCTAATGTGATCAATCATGGAAAGAGGGAAGGAAAGCCCAATCATGACCACCTCCTTCCCCTCTACCGAGGTCGACATTAGAGATGGCGAAGGTGGGGCCTTAATGATGTTTTAATAATAATGGGTAAAGGCAAGAGTAAGGACGCAACCAATAAATGAGTACGAGGGCAATAATAAATAGGGCGAAGACAATGGACGATGACGATAATTGATGGGGCAAAGACATAGACCAACGAGATTGGAAACTAGATGTAATATCATCTTTTAGAAAATAAAAAATGCTCGGGAATATGTGAAATAATTTTTTAAAAAAATTTATTCATTTCGAGTTTACTATGAGTTCCATGTTACTAAAATAGAATATTCGACTTGTGACCATAGAAAAACTATGTTGGGGCATACCCGATAAAACTTATCTTATGTTAAATCAGTAAGAATTGAAAGAACTTAATAATGTGAATATATATATATATATATATATATAGGTTGAACCTAGGTTTTTTTTTATAATGGACTTACTTAATAGTCAAAATTAAAGTGTCAAATTTATAAATATTATAGTTATAACACTATGATTTATGTTAACATATAGAAATCATGAATATGGTTATCTGACCATGAAACATCAATTGATAACGTGATTGGTTATGAAGATTCCTTCGATATTGATATGATTGAAATTCGATCGTTAAGCATCATTTGATGATGACATAATTAAATTTGATTATAAAGTATCTCTTGATAATAATGAAGTTGAATTCAACCGTGAAGAATCATTCGATCATGACATGATAAAATTTATTCATGAAATATTTTTGATAATAATATAGTCGAATATAATCATAAAATATCATTTGGTTAAATTAATATTGTTAGGTTGTTTACTATCGAAGATATTATATTATGACCCCACTAAATAACGGAAGACAATGTGGGTAAATGATAAGGAGAAGCGACATATGAGCAACCTGATGGCATATCACATTTAGGGTGTGATGCAAAATTATCATCGTTAAGAATGCCTATCAATTTTAACATGTCAACAGAGATGTGTAGATGTGTAACAATTTAATGTATGTGTACAATTTAATGTATGTGTTCCTGATTGGATGACGATCAAATATTTCTTATGACCTCTTCTGGATTAACTCCTCATTTTAATTTTGACGGTTATCATCTCTCATGTTCGGAAAAGAGTCAGCAGTGGCATCCGACCACCGATAAGAAGGCATTCCACCGCATCAAGTGGCTACGCCGAGCCACACGATCTGCGTCAACTTGGATATGATTACTTCAGTAGAAACAAGGTAAAAGGTCGGCTGGGTCCACTCGGATGCGACTCATCCCTAAATTTCAGTGTCGTAGCAGTCTTCCAGTGTTTCCACTTTATGTGTTGGCTTTCTCTTATGATGAAGGTCGACGCCGTCTCGTGGTGACATGTGATTCCCACCCGTTAACGGAAGCCTCCAGGACCGTGGGCCCGAAAGCTCCTCTAAAGAGAGGCGTCTATTATTAGTTCTGACATTTTGACGAACGACTTAAATGCCGGATAAGAGGAGCTAAACAGTTCACGAGAAGATGCATGTCTGAAAAGAAAGGCCACACAGTCCGGAGTCAGAGCCAACGGCAGGATGATGATAATAATCTTCTGAGGCCATGAAGACGTGGTGCTCCATGTTTCTTCTCCGGTCGGTGCTGCCTCTTCCAATGGCCATCATCCTCGTGACATTTGCAGGAGGCACCAATTCCACTTCGCAGCATCACGGCGTAGAGCTCCTCCTGAAGCAATTAACTAGCTGGAGGCAGCACCAAAAGGAATCCATGCAAGGGGAGGCAACAACCCCGGGCTACCGGACTCTCGTGTCATGTCTTCTCTGCTTCATTGCCGCCTCGGTTTCAAGCGCAGGAGGGGTCGGCGGTGGCTCCTTGTTCCTCCCCATCCTCAACCTGGTGGCTGGATTAGACCTGAAGGCAGCCACCACGTACTCAGCCTTCATGGTCACGGGGGGTTCGATAGCCAACGTTCTGTGCAACCTCTTCTTCACCAGCGTCGGCACTGAAGCAACCGACCCACCGATCAATTATGAGATCGCTCTGCTCTCGCAGCCAAGCATGCTGCTAGGGGTCAGCCTGGGGGTCATCTGTAACATCATGTTCCCGGAGTGGCTCATCACCGTCCTGTTTGCCGTCTTCCTTGCGTGTTCTACTTTCAGGACATGCAAGGCTGGGGTTCGATGCTGGCACGCTGAGACCGAGGAGACGGAAACGACCGATGGACACGGACGGGAGAGGAGTGTGAATGGCGCTGAAGAGGCTCTTCTTGGTGGTGCACAGAGTGGCAGGATAAGGTTCCCTTGGAAGGACGTGGTGGTCTTGGTGATGATATGGGTCTGTTTCTTCCTTCTGCATGTCCTCGCAGGAGACAAACATGGGAAGGTGAGATTCTCCGGCTGTATTCCATCTTGCATGTCGTATGTCTTGCTTGACACTCGCAACATTTTGTCTGAACTGTCCACTAGTTGGATCACTCTCCTGTGGTCCGACTGAGTTCTTCCCTCTCTTTCACGACAAGTAAAAGCTAATCTCACGTAGTCAGTCAAACATCGACAGCATGAAGCGCGGTCTGCTCTGTTTTGTTGGCTAATCGTTCTGCTGTTTAACTCAACATCGGCATTTCATTGATAGAGAAAATAAGCTCTGAAATGGTGTTTGATTGCTGCTCTCTGAACTGCAAGTGCTCTTCAGGGTGCAATCAACTTGAAACCATGCGGAGTTGCATATTGGTTCATCACATTGTCTCAGGTCCCTTTGGCTATTGCTTTCACGGCATACGTGCTGTACGAGAAGAAGGATTCCCATCATCGGCAAGTAGACACCCAGGTCAGTCAACGTGCTTTCTTATTCTTTTGCTTCGATAGCCATCGATCACATCAGGCGATCATTTGACGAGATCACAGCAAACTCACACAGGACAAAGCGCAAATAAGGATCCAGGCGTTGCCGGTGTTTGCATTTCCACCGGCGGCACTCTTGACAGGGGTTTTGAGTGGCCTATTTGGGATTGGTGGAGGACTCCTCCTAAACCCTGTGCTTCTGCAGATCGGGATACCTCCCCAGGTGAATTTTGAGGACACTCATGGATTGTGTTCATCAGCAATGTAGACTTTGTCCGCCGATAACTCTTCTGCTTGCCCCTGATTTGTAGACTGCAGCAGCAACAAGCAGTTTCATGGTGATGTTCTCAGCTTCCATGACCACGGTCAAGTACATAATCCTGGGAATGATACAAGTCGATCGAGCTTCGGTCTATGCAGTGCTGTGCTTTGCAGCCTCGGCTATTGGATCGATGGTCATGAAAGGAATCGTACTGAAGTCGGGCAGAGTTTCTCCTATTGTGTTCACAGTCACCGCAGTGATGGCCGTAAGCACGACCACCATAATTTGCTATGGTGCGATTGATGTTTGGAGAGAGTACACCAGTGGAAAGTATATGGGCTTCAAATCATCTTGTGAGAAATAAAATTTAATGTTAGGATTGAGATCAAGTATAGTTATCGATCGATAATAGTAATCAGAGTCCAATTAAAATCTCAATATATCTTAATCAATGAATTAAGACCATAAAGTCTAACACATCTCGCTGGCAATGACAGGAGAAATATTGTTTTTTAACACCTAATGTTCATATTGGATTTGAATCAAGTCTGTGTCTTTTTGGGCAAGATGTTTTCATATCATTGGTTGCTCAACATGAGCCTCCTAATGAATTGATATGTTCCTACCATCCCAATTATTTTATGTGATTATTTTTTACGCTGACTCGTGATTGACTGTCCGAAGAACTTTTTTGTGTTTAGTGCTAGCTGTCGGTGAATGGGATTAGGTGATCAAGAAAAAGAAGAAGAGTACTCGTGATCAAGGAAGAGACTGTGAAGAACAGTACTCGATTGCTGCGTACCCAATCCCCTTCCAAGCCTTACAGTTCTTCCACGCCAACAGCTAACACCATTTAAGAAGCTGGGTTGGTACAAAAGAGCAGCAACGCAGAACTATATCTATCACAAGAGGCACCCACTTGGGTTTAATGCAGGTCCAGCTGTTGGAGAATCGTTCTTATCTACTTCACATGGCATCCAACGATTTGATCTTGTTTCAGCCTACCCAAACAATTCTGCAAGTTTATGCCACATGAACTCGACTCCAAGAAGAAAAATCCCATGATCGTAGTAGCTATGCAAAGACTTTCTAGTGATTGTTACATAGCTACTCACTCCCATGGCTGCGTGCCTTCTACCAACTTCCAAGTGTCTGTCATCCGGCATTTATCTTGGCAGCCCATCGCCTCCCTACTTATACCCCATCTCTTGATCTCTTCGTGAAACCTGGTTTGCGTCAGGCGAAAGATGGCGGCGACTTGGGGAGGATTCATCAACGTCGTGGCCTTGGCGGTGCTGGTTCAAGTTGCGGCCGCTGCAACTTACACTGTCGGAGGCTCGGAGGGAGGGTGGGATCTAAGCACAGATCTGCAGACGTGGGCGTCGGCTCAGACGTTTGTGCCTGGTGACAGCCTGAGTAAGTTTGCGATGTTATCAGCGCAACTCGGTTTCTGTTTGGCCGTAGGAATCTCTTCTATATAATGTTTATCCTTGTTGGTACCTCGTGGAGCTCTGTAGCAGCACTCATTCCGGTTAAATGTTGTTTGCAGGCTTCGCGTACGCTCCATCCCATGATGTGGTGGAGGTAACAAAAGCAGAATACGATGCATGCACCGCAAGCAGGCCGATCCAATCTTACACAGGCGGGAGCACCGTCATCAAGTTATCGGCACCCGGGAAGCGACACTTCATCTGTGGGATCGCAGGGCACTGCACCGCAGGGATGAAGCTCGAAGTCGACGTTGTCTCCGCAGCGGCGGCGGCGGCGGCGACGCCACCGCCCGTCCCGACACCAACGAACCCTGAAGCTCCTGCTGCTTCTCATGGACCTCGTTCACCGGGGAGTTCGCCGCTCGGCAGCGCCACGAGCACGGGTTCATCATCGTCGGAGCCACCGGCTGTAGACCTGGTTCTCGCTCCAGTTTCGCCACCTCCATCGCAATCTGCAGCCGACGGAGTTGGCCATCCAAAGCTTGCGATTGGACTCACCATGGGAATGCTGATGACTGTGGTTCTGTGACGACGTGTTCTTTCTTTTGCGTTTCCGATGCGACCGAAACTGTTCCGATGTGTGTCGGACATCGTTGAATTCTTTGACGGTAGCGTAGTACGGAGATGTCATTGTTCTTGCATTCAAGGAAAATAACTTCGACTTCAAGTAAATATCATATATGTAAAATAGAAAGTATATACTTTTTGAATACGATAATCAATAAAATATCTTATAAATGAGAGAAAGCTCTACAAGGTTACTGTATAAATTTTTTAAAAAATATAAAAAATTAATGATATTATAAAATTTTATATATCATTATCTAGAAGCTTATCTACGATCATCAATGATATCTTAAATTTGTATGTCAAAATTTTTTTCTCTATAAATCATTTAGATTAATCAATATAAATTTTTTTCTATCTAATTTTTTATTTAAAAAAATTATTTTTATATCTATTTGATATAATCCAAAATTATAATGAGTCACTAATATCATAAAAGATTCTTAACAAATCTATCAAAAAAATAAATAAAATATCTCATTATGATTAATATTTTATTTATGAGTAAAACTCCTAATCATAAATCTGATTTTATATCATTCGATATTGTCATTTAAATCATGTTTAATCTTAATAACTCATACATAACTCATTTTAGTATTAGTTAGATCATTTAAATTTCACTTATCTTTTGTCAATGTTATAGTAAATTTTAAATGAACCAAATTAATAAGAAAGAAAATTAAAAATAATTACACTTGAAAGAACATCGGCACTCTCTGCCCTAATCTTTAAACTGCTTAACTGCAGAACGATAGAAATCCAAAAAACATCAATTCTGATAGCTACAGCAAAAGCCATCCCAGTAGAATATATGCAGGCCATAGGTCCAAGGTGTGCAGCAACTCATGCTTGTTTCATAAAGAGAGAAGGCATCGAAATCAAAAGATGACAAACACATACATCACAGCATTTCCTGGGACTTACATAAATGCATTGCCATCTCGAGCCATCATGGAAACCAACCCATTCACAGATTACATTTGCTTCGCATCAGCCACCTCAGCTGCACGTAAATATCATGTTAAAAGACAGCGTGTAAGTCAATTGTTAAGGAAAAGCCATACATATCACGGAGTTCCCTAATCGGTTAATCTCAAGGTTACTGCGATCAACAATAGTAAGCAGCACTGAGTGCAACGAGGAAAAGAAATGAAACTGCATAGACTGAATAACAAGCAGCATTCAAAACCATGTTTATTGAAGGCAAAGGAAAACTGTGATACCCCATGAACCCTAAATCTTACTGCTCTGACAGAGAATTGATCGAGTATGAAAACCTCGATATCACTAATTAGCCTTCTCATGATTATGCTAATCTTATGTTAACCAAATTTACCTTCTTTATGAAAATTGCACCGAATGACGTCTCAGTAGAAGACCACACAGAGTGACCATAAAACGACAAATTAAATCAATATCCTGTACTACATAACTCAACATAATTGCATTAGTAAAAAAAAAATACACTACACAGAGCTCCAATGAACTTCTGAGATCCAACTGCATGGTCACCATCCTTCTGGTGACCCGTATCGGAAATGACATCGACACATGGTTAATGTAAATCCACCAATTCGAGCAATCTGCAATTAAAAAATATATATATATTTCAATGAAAACAAATATTCTTCTAATCACAAGACGTGGATAAAGTTATTACGATAAACAGCAGCTCAAGATGATTTATACAATAAAAGAAGTCACCTTGGTGCTGATACAAACAGTAAAGACCATAACATGGAATAGATTCAAGTTCCTGCTTAATTTTTAATTTATTGTATAACTATTCAAAACAGTTAAACAAAGGGCTGGCATTGCAGTTAAATGTTTAGATAACTCAGAAAGCAGGAAACCAAACACTGATAAAAAAAATGTGCTTGCTTATCCATACCATGAAATGCACCATCCGCAAAATTTGCCTGATTGGTTTTATTCTACCGAAGACTTTCAGCAACCATGCTCTCAACTGGATTTTGTAGTTGATCGCATGGGGCGGGAATCATAGCAGGCATCTCGAGGGATCTTGATTGTAAAACTTGGTTTAACTGATTGCTAAGCACCTCTGAGTGGCTTTCAAGGAATGCATACGAATCTATAGTTTTAGCTGCAAGTGCTGCTGCAATACTGAAAATGCGGCATAGAGAGCTATAACGTTTTGCCAGTGATGATTGAGGAAAGCAATCAAATGAGAATATAGAGTCTTCACTTAAACCTCTGGTCTTTGCATCCTTCCTCCACCGCTTCAATATGTACTGCGGCGGAAGTTCTTTGATATTTTGAGTATCTAGCACTTTTAATACATGACAGCATTGAATCCCAAGAAACTCAAATTTCTTGCAACTGCAAGTCACAGAACCATCAAAAGAATCAGATTTCACCAAATGATCCATAGCTTTCTCCTCGATCATAACCTTGTATTCAGATATTGTCCCTACTTCATTGCAACCATACAAAATACAATCCATGTACAGTTCAAATTCCCTTTCAAACATTTTATATGCAGCTGGAGTGTAAACATTTGCAGCTTGCCTCAGCATGCGCATAGGTGGTGGCTTTTGGTTACTCTGGTTAGCATTAATATCAGCTTGTAGTTCAGCACATCGTTTCTCGGATAGTATTCTTTCATAATGCTCAAAAAAGCCCAGTAGTTCAGTTTTGTTGCATAAATATTTCTTTAGCTCAGTATTCATGCTCTCCTTCTGTTGAGCACTCTTCATATCCGCATAAAATGTTTCTCGTCCATATACCAACGCCCATTTCTCTCTTTCCTCAAACAGAGTAGCCATCCATTTATTGTCTATAAGATCATACTTACCACACATTGCTTCCCATTCTTTCAAAAACTCCTCCTCATCTTCACAATCAAAGAGGCATCTCCTGAAGTCATATCCTAAAGTTCTCGATCCATGAAATACTTGACTTAGTTGTACAATAGCATTTTGGTAAATATGCCAAACACAGTAGCGATGGTTTGTAGCTGGCAAAACTGCAGCTATCGCCTCACTTAACACAGCGCAACGGTCCGTTAAGATTGTCTTAGGCTGTTTTCCACTCATTGCTGTCTTGAAACTCTCCAACAACCACTTCAAAGATTCCACGCTTTCATCATAAAGCAAAGCAGCACCAAAAATAACGGTCTGTTTATGATGATTAATACCGGTAAATAATGCAAACGGCCGATCATAATCAAGCACCTTGTAGGTCGTGTCAAAGCATACAACATCACCAAAGTAACAGAAGTCCATTACAGACTTTGCATCTGCCCAAAAGACATTGGTTAAATTGTCATCCTTATCAACTTGTATTGCATAGTAGAATGATGAGCTATCTTCTTGCATCCTTTGCAGATACTCCAATGTAGCACCAGCATCACCCATTTGAATAGCCTTCATTCGCTTAGATCTTAGATAGTTTTTATAACCTGGAGGAACAAAGGTACTACATTGTGGACTATTGATGTGCTTCTGGGCATCATCATCTGCAGATTCATTGACTGTGTTCAAAACATGATCTGCACCATTTTCTGCAGTCTCAGACGTCAAGATCTCAGCGGATGATGGAGCTTCTAGCTGATGGTTATGAAAAGTAACAAATTCAGTTACGCGATATTTGCCAGTTGATGATATTCTAATGACCATACAGGCAGGACAACCAGTTCTAAATTCTTTTCGTGGTTTCTTTACTCTCTTTTCTCCTTTTTTCTGCTCACGGAATCCTTCTCTTGAGCAAACAAACATCCTTCTAGTGACTACATTTTCGGCACTAATTGTTGCACTTGTTTTTCGAACACGGAATCCCATCCTTCCAGCATATGCACTGTAGAATTCATAGGCCTCATCTTCACTTTCAAACTCCGGTAGCCTCACTGTATCATCCACCAAATCCGCTCTTGCAACTCGAGCATTGCGCCTCAGCTTCTTCGCCCTCAATTTATCATAGGTAGCTACCATTGCAAGTTGATGGTTGTGGTTTGGTACAAATTCTGTCACGCGATATTTGCCATTAGGTGTAAGCCTAATGGTCATGCATGCTGGGCAACCAATTCTTGTTACAGGTCGTGGACACTTGGCCTCTTTCTCTCCTTTTTTCTTCTCTCGAAAGCCTTCTCTCGAGCACACAAATGTCCTCTTAGTGATGATATTCTTTGTTGATACTGTTGACTTTGATCTTCGCACAATGAAACCTTCATTCTCAGCATATGTATTATAGAAGTCGTATGCATCAGTTTCACTGTCAAACAACATATCAACCCTTGGTAGCCATTTTGCATTACTAGCATCCCCCAGTATAGTAGTAACGCCAGCACTTGCCATGTCCGCCATCCTTTCCTATCCATCCACATAAATTCAAGCTGAAATATTTGGATGTAACAACAAAAAGTACAGTAACAGAAATGTTCTGACTAAACAGACATAAGATGCATTGCCAGGAATATTTACGTTTTACTTGCAACAAATAGCCATGCACAGTTAAAAAATTCTCTCACAAGATTATGGAACCCATCTAAGAATGTTGAGCAAAAAGTCACAGTAGGGATGCTCCTTTGCTACTTAGGTGACCTTAAATCATGCAAACATCTCTGCTCGTGGGGGGTAAGATCACATACATTGATGCTGCTCGGTACCTGCACCACTAGAAGCCTTATGTATTGGGTTGCATTTTTGTCTGGTACCTCCTTTATATTAAAGGTCACCAACATACTAGAGATTATGTCTATTTAATTCAAAATCAACACAAATGCAAATCAAAAACAAGTTGATGAGAGGTACCAATTGCCTCCTCTTATTATAGGTTCAAAGATAAATGGCTTCATGATTTTGAAGTTCTGGATTTTCAATAAGACATATTTAAATAAGCTTCGATTTAATTGTCAAATAGAATACTATCCAAAACCTTGAATCCTGAGGTAGCTCTTGATCTAAGCAGCTTTTCTTCCTTTTTCTGTCATTGTCAAGACTTCATCCACTAATCCATGCCCAAGTCTGATCAAACATCAGTACCTTAACTCCTTGACTTGCAAAATTGGTAGGAATTTGCCCAAACATGTTACCAGATGTGCATTCAACTGTCCTTATATATTTCAAATTTTACTTAGAGAAGCACCTGAATCATTTGGCATATGTGAAACCATCTTTCCATGGTCCTGTAGGGAAACATAAATAGTCAAATAAGAAAAAAAAAAAAGAAGAACAAGTACCTTGTCAGGATCATTTTGCACAGATGAATGTTCCGATGTTGATGGAATAGATGGTTGTGCAGCCCATGGTACTGTTGGAGACAATATGACAAGAGGGCTTGGCCACATCTGAACTAATGATTGTAGTGTAGGTGGATGGCCACCAACATGTACAGGTACATGTGTGACAGGTTGCACAGGAGTAAAAACTACAGTAGGGGCAACAGAAGTTTTCTTATTCCTCTTCCTACTGCAACCACCAAATGCATACATCTTCTCTGTCTTACTTTGTTGCAAGGAATCCTTCCAACCAGACCAATAGTTCTGCACACATTTGTTCTCACTCATTATTGACTACACAGTAAATATCATCAAGAATTTTGAAGAATAATTTATGTATGATAATGTGAAGTCGAACAAGCTACAGATGTCAAAAGACAATATTTTAGTAACCTGAGCCATCTAGACCACATTTGAAATGACTATGGTTACTTTTCTCTAACAACATACCGAAGGTATTACGCATCCTTCAAAGAGATTGACATTTTAATAGTGCTACGAAAAACCAACTAAATCCAACCCTCAAAGGGAGTTCAGCTTGTCAATCGTAACTTGCATCTACTCATTACTTTAAGGCTCTTTTTATATTATGGTGCTAAAGAATAACATGATGCACAGATTATTTATCTCTTGGGTACATTATGAAGAAAGATCAGGAAATGTTTCCCTTGAACCTAACATTGTCAAGAATCAAGTGTGCCGTTACTTGCAGCTGCAAAGAGCTAAATATGGAAAAAGATGGGTAATATCATGTTTTAATTAATCTCTTTGCTCTTTTCATATTTTCTGTTTCATTTTTCTCTCCTTGTCTGATTGGTGTAGCCCCTAGTTAAAATACCCCTGTGTATTAATCTATTCTTCAGCCATCAAACAATGGAATTTATTAAACAAGAATTATCGGAGTCAAAAAAGATGAATTTACTCTTCAAAATGGCTCTCGTGCCTTCATAGTTGGACGTGAAGCTTCTATCAACTCATCATATACAAAAAATCCAACTGATCCCAGTTTGAGATGATGTTTGTTGGATCAGTCAATCCTGACCAAGAATGATCTGAATTGTCTGTTTCAACAAATCCAGAATGTTACAGGACATCAAATATTTCATAGGTGGAATGATTCAGTAAGGGTAGATGGAAATCCAAGAAAAGAATCAAGGTTTTAGATCCAATCAGATCAAAGGCAGAGAAATTTGATGGTTGGTTAATAGAAACTACTAATTTACCAATTTCATTTGAGAAATGACAGCATGAAGATAACTTGACTCATTATAGGACAAGATAGCAAGAAGATGTCCCTATACTGCAAAATATTAAAAGAGCAACAGATAAAAAGGCAAACTACATCTAGTTGGATCACTGAAGAATAAATAGCAAAAAGAAAAAGAAGATTACATTAGACAAGGGGAACAAGAGAGAGAAAGAGAGGGACCTTGTTGTTGGCCAATAGATAAATTCATCATTCAACAATCTTCAACTACAAGCCCTATTACAAGCAACCTTTAGTGAAAGACATCGATCCTAATTAAACTAGGATTCCAGAACATCATATAATAATTTGACTACATATAGCATAAAATTAAAGAATAATAATAAAAACAACCCAGACCCAAGATGACATGACCCTACACTCAAAGGTAACTTGTGCTATATTATGGAAAAGAAGAAGAAGAAGAAGGAAGAAGAAGAAAGAATCAACAACAACAACAAAGCGTAAGAAGAAGAAAGAACACAAAGAAAAAACTAACATGTTTAAAGAATAAACTAATATAGTTGTAGTGACCATAAAAAGACCATAGTGAAGCAATCCTTTACTCTTTAAACTTGTTCTTGATGGAATATGACCTCCATACATGTACCACATAGCCCAACAAAAAATAAAAGGAGTGACAAAAGATTATTAATGTTCTCTTCTGATAAATTGATGTGATGTGATATATTAATTTTCTAATGTTCACAACGAGAACTAAGCTACATCAAGCAATTATTTTTGGATACTAGATGAAAAAAAGTACATGTCCTTTTGCGATATTAGTTATGTCGTATGAAAACGCATCAATCAAACTTGACCAGTACCTTGGAGGACATACTTCAAACAGTGAATGGCCAATTGACTTCTATTAGGATAGACACCACATGCGGACAAGCTTAGCTACCCAAGTTTGCTGGGTAATTTAGTTGATCCGCTGCAACATTAATAGTTCTTTTTTTTTTCTTTTTGACTTAATTCCTTCTATATTCCCCTTCCCAGTCGATGAATCAAAAACCTCAAGCTTCATCTTCATGTATCCACAAGCTTATCTCCGGATTCCTCAAGCCCTAGCATACCGTTCCGGAACAAAACCCTCAAAACCCCAAGGAGAAAATTCTCAGATCTGAGCACTGAGACGTATTCGGACATATACTCGCATCGACAACAGCAAGAACGACCAAAAGATTCGGTTTCTCCAAGATAACCCAAAATTTCGAATGGATTTCCAACGAGAAAAAGAACCATAGCAGCAAGAAACAGGAGAAAGGGGAGAAAGAAAGAAAGAAACCGAGGTACTCATGGGGATTTTGAGATGGAAGGGTGTGGAGATGTGTACCTTGGATCGAACCCCCGGAGGGGGAGGGGGAGGAGGAGGCGGCGGTGGGGGATCGGCGGACGCCGAGCGAGGGGGTGCGGAGGGCGGGGAGCGAGCTCGTCTCTGCGGATGGGGGGACGGATTTCCTGTCTGACACGGAGACAGGCTCCAGAATTTCCCACTCGTATTGCCGGTGCGGGACCCACCATGTGAATGGACGACGGGACGGCACCGCTTCCCTCCCCCGCTTTGGTCGTGTTGGTGGGCCCATAGTCACCGCTCACGGGACCGAAACAGGGAACGCTTCCTCCGCCTCTCACGGGGCCGGTGGGCCCCGCAGCCAATATGCTGACGCCATCGTGTTCGATAGGTGACGTCACGAGAGGGAAAGCCCTGGGCCGATTCGAGCCGCCTCATTCCTTAAACGGGTCCGGCGGGGCCTGGGCTAAGACAGCACGGGTCCTACCCAATCCCGTGAACCCGTTCGTGTCAACGTCTTTCATTCAAAGCCCATAATGCCGCTACAGCGCCACATCGAAGTCCGTCGTCATCATGGATCCTGCACACAGCAGCACAGTAATCGTACGAACACGACACGGCAGCCTGCCATGAGTTTAAACAACAGCCTCGGCCCACGGCAACGGACATGCATCCCTTCCCCGCCGCACACGCTTGGGGGCCGCCATCCGGATGAGCACAGGGACGCACGTGTGGATCATAGAAAGCACAGCAGGTGGCGCCGGTCAACACGACAACGCCGCGCTGGCCGCCACGTGAACGGTCGGAAGTCGGCCGGCCCGCCGGTGGCGAAGCCACCACAGAAGCCGGAAGCTTGTTATCATTTCTCTAGTCCTCCCGTGCGGATGGAGGGTCCCCGCCGTGTCGCTAGCTTTTACCATCTCCCCTTCCTGCACGGTCCAGCCTTGTCTTCGAGCGTAGATCCGGTCGGAGTAATAAAGAAAGCAGCAGCAGCAGTAGGCAACCCCTATCTATCTATAAGACATCTAAAAGACTTTAAACAAGTGGGTTCGACTCGATCGGCTCACTGCTATCCGTCGCTATTCCAAAGGATATTATTCCTTTTGCTTTATGTTTGTCACTGGCAGAAACAAGACGTGGTTGCTTTCTCAATAGTTTACTTTATTATTTGCTTTTTTAATTACTTCCCAAAGAAAAATATCCAAAGAAGATCGGCGTAATAACGAAAGATGGACGATCGGCATTTAGGATCCGTGGGTTGCTTTCTGGGGGCATACCTGTGCGGAAGAGAGAGCGAGGCCCAAAGAACATGCAAGGGGCTTGTTTTGCGTTCACTGTTGTTATATTTCCAATGCCAACGCCACTATACTGCATGTGCATACATACATACGTACGTACATACAGATTCTTTAGTTTTGTTGGTCTGGATAAGCTTTCCGGTGGTGGGTGTCAGGACTCGGTTGGAACCCACCGTCTTGGCAGCAGAATGTGAGGAATTGATGCTCCCCCACAGCTTTGTCATCTATGTCGTTCACTGCAGACATCTCTCCAGTTGGGGCAGTTCCTGTCAGGAATCTGTTTCCGTCCATTCATAAAGTTGGATTCGGATTAGGTACGCCTAAGACGTTCACAGATCGCGCCTTCCTTTGTTGAATTTATAGGAGACTTGTTTTCCAGGTTATGTTGCATTCGCTTGAATGAGCTGCTGCATTCATCTGGGAAGCGGATGATGCAGTAGAGCGGTAGCGCATGTGTGAGGTCTGGAAACATTTGACAGGCAAAGACAAAGAGTTAGAAAGTTGGGTGGAAGCTATCGCCGGATGAGATGCGTCTGCCCAGAATTAATTTCCTACTCGACATAGTCCGGCACATCGTCGGTTCCACCACGGAACTCATGTCAAGCTGGAAGAAGAGTGCGGACATGAAACAAGTGAAGAAAGTGATCCATCCACCAACTAGAGATCACGAAAACCATGTGTGCATTTTCTTGTCTGACGCATAATTTTAGGCCATGAGCAACCTCGCTTTTTCTCTTGCCGGCCGAGAAATTAGTAGGCTTGGAGCAGGAACTCCACTGACAACGTTGTTCCGATGACATCCCATGAGGGCCTGATGGCCGGCTTTCCTGGCGTGAAATGGAAGTTTGAGACCTGATGAGAACATCATAGCACCAGAACCGAACCACAGAAAAGACGTTCCTTAACAGGCGATGTTTGTACAGAGTTGGGATGAACACAGAGATAGCTTGATCCATGACATCGAACACAGAAGAAGAAACAGCATGGGAAAAGATGGCGGAGGAATCAAAAGGGAAGAAGTAGAACGCGTAGATCTCTAAATTAAGCGGTGGTCATTCTCATCAAAGGCTAACATGCATGTCTCCGACTTTTGCTCTCCGATAAAAGCGAGATGACGACGCATCAGATGCCACCGGCGTCCTTGTCCCATTGCTTGTTGCCCGGCGCCCATTTGGGGCACTTGGGGCTGAAGAACGTGGACTGCACCCGGCCGTCGAGCAGCTCGACGACGGGCCCATGCCGCACGCACCGTGGCGCCTTGTACTGGTTGATGGAGGCCCCCTGGCTGAGTGCGTAGTCCATCATCTTATCGAACGTCCCTTCCTCCACCACCCTGATCTCCAGCGGCCCGATCGACTTGTCGCACACCCGTCCTTGTCGGTACACGCTGTTCAGTGACTCCTCCACTGCTAAGCAGCAGTCCTCGAACACCGACGCCGGCACCGTCGTATCTCCAGCTCGCAACTCCCAGTAGAGCACGTAGTGGCCTGGGATGCTGACGGTGTCTGCGCAGCTCGTGTACTCCACCAGCGACGCACCGAACGGCTTGAGATGGTTGACTGCGTTGCTCACCGCTGCTTGGAGCTCGACCTCGTCGGTCTTGTCAGAATCGATGCTCAACACCACACTTTTCCGCCGGATAAAGTTGAACTGCGGTGTCTTGTTTTTGAATCCCGCCACCCTCAACACGTCACCGACTCTATATCGATACAACCCTGCCATACACGAAGCTCCCGTTTTGATTACCTCCACTTCTGCTGTGTGTACAGTATAAAGATATATGAATGTATGTTTATGTGCGTGCATATCACTTGCCAGCGTAGGTTGTGACCACGAGCTCGTACTCCTGGCCGAGCTTCACGTCCACGAGGTCCACCAATTCCCGGTGATCGAACTCCGTTCGGCCATTGCCGCTGCAGTGAATGGGCAGGAACTCGAAGTAGGCGAAGGTAGGGATAAATGTGTAGGAGACTTCGCTTGGCTTGCACATGGGATTGAGGTTGAGGCCAAAGTAGCACTCCGACGACCCGTACATCGTGCAGGTCAATGGCAGGCCACCGCTATAGAAGTCAAGCGTAGGGATGTACTGGGCCATGGCGCCGGTGACAATCACGTCGACGTACTTTGTGTTGGGCCACAGGCGGGGTATGATGCCCTGCAATGAACCCCTGGCGAATTCCGCCTCGATTAGGCGAGCGAGTTCCGGATCCGGGCGCAGAACGCGCACCACCGCCTCCCGCACCGCCCGGTCGGTGATCTCGGCATCGAGCTCGCCGGACCGGATGTCGCGGCACAGTCGCGGCCAGTACTTCTCCAGGAAGCGGATGGCGCGGATAAAGCCCGAGGCGAAGACGGCACCGACGCGGACCACCTCGGCCCGATGAATTAGGCCGCAGAGTAGCTGAGCGTACATGCTTTGATAGGAGTCCAGGCAGAGGATGGCTTCGTTGGGGCTGGTAAGAACGTTGTAGGGGTCAAAAGGCTGGCTGAGGAAGTGGCGACTCTTGTAGTAGCTGGTGAGGACAGGACGGGCTATTAGGCCACCAGGAGTGCGCGCCTCGGACTTCACAAACAGGAGGTACATTCCCTTGCCCTCGTCGAGGCCCGGCACGAATTGGCTCATCACCGGCATTAGCAGGCTATACAGCACCGAGCGGCGGTCCAGCTCGTCCTCGATCATCGGCATGAGTTTTCGCTCGCCACCCGATGTCCCCGAGCTGATGGAAAGACGCAGAGGGCATGTAGCAAACTTAGTCGTGCATCATTTGTCGAGGGATACATATGAGAACGAGCAGCGAACCTCGTGAGGAATTCGGAGATGGGGCGGCCGGAGAGGATGGGAGAGGTGTCTCCATGGGCGATGCGGAGGATATCGAGCCGGATGTCTTCGTAGGTGACGACCGGGATGAGGCGCTTAAAGGCGTCGGGATCGGGAGCGGTGCGGCTGGGCAGGCCGTGCCGGTGCAAGTACTCGGCAGGGGCGTTCTGCGCCAGGATCTCGGCAAGCACGCGGCGCTGTACTTGGTCCGCGTTGGCGGTCACATCTTCGATGAATTCGAGGGCCTTGCGGTGCTCATCTGGAACGGAAGCCGGCGAGAGTATGGGCTTTGGTGCCTCTGGCATGGTGGCGGCAGGGCTGAAGCAAGAGCTTCGTTTTAGGCCGTCGAAAGGTGGAGGGCAGCGGTGGCGGTATTTAGGAGAAAACAGTAGAAGAAAGCTTGGGTGGAGGGGGAGAGAAAAAGGATTGGGTTTTGATGTGTGCGTGAAGAATGGGGAGAGGGTGAGAAGTATTTATAGAGAGAAGATGATGGGGAGGGGTGGAAGCAGTGGGGATAGTTGCATCCATCTCACTCATGTTTCAAACCCAAACAGTTGAAAGTGGGAACGAACGCCTTTTTCTTGGCGTGATCAGATGAGGTGGTGGTCTTTCATCCTTGGTCGCCGTAAATTACCGATACCGAGGTCTCCCTGTGCGTCTCGCACACACAGGCATCGCCATGTGTGTGCGTGTGTGTGTGTGAGCTTCATGTATCCTCAACGTCTGTGCCACACGTCATACGTTCGGAGTGACCCACAATTATCATTAGCTACAGGACTTGCTTTGCTTTAATGATCGATTATTTTCCGACTCCCACAAATTTCGTCTCCACTTAAGACACCTGCTTCGATAACCACTGGTATTAATACTATTAATCACGATATTTCGACCGGTA